TAAGCAAACATTTACTAATGCGAAGTCAAAACCTGAAATAAGGAACAAGTAATAACTTCAATTTTGATATTGTTATTATTCATTTTTTTAAATTAATTTCTAATACAATTTATATGTACATATTATAATAAAAATTAATATTTTCTAATATATAATATAATTGCTTCAAGATTTTTGTTTCTAAACAATTTCAAAAATTTTAGTTTTATTCTTTATTGATTTTAGTATCTTTAGTTATTATTATTGAAATTGGAACTCGTCTCTGATGTCCATTAAGATTTATTTTTTTGGGATCATTTTAGGATCCTCTGCATATGTAAATAATTTTGTATGCTAATGAAATTTTTCAATATTTAAGTTATGTTTTTTATCATAAAAATCTTCCTATTACTTATTACATATCAATTTTTTAATTGATTATTAATCCTCTTTACTTATGAATCTTCCTTTAATTCTTAAGCGTTATTCAGCAACTTAAGATCTTCCTGAGTAAGATATTTTTCTTTCCCAATTTCTTCTTTTATTTTTATATCTTTGAATTTTTTATTGTCTTTCCTAATACTTATCCATGACAGTTTTAATTTATTCTAATCCTCTATTTGAGATATTTTCATCATCAGTCAAGGCATTAATGTCACTTTTCTTTTCGCAGGAATCAGTTCGTTTTTGTAATGCTCTTAATAATGATAAATTTATTCCTATTTAATACCAAGAGATATACCTTGACCTTAATTAATGACATTCTTTAATTGATCTATTATATATTTTCTTTTATATGGACACATATGATCATCACTTAAAGAATCCAAATTATCTTGATTAGGAAGGCAATGCAAAAATGTTTAGCAACTCATGTGATCATCTAATGTTCCCTATGCTTTATACATAATTATATACATTAGTTAATTCATCAAAATTTAAAGTTCTTAATTATGGTTATAATATTCCACTAACTTGCTCTAAGTCCTTCTTTGTAATATCTTAACTCATATATTATAATAATACAATTTTAAAATAATCCACTTTATTCTTTTCTACCTTCATTACTTCTTGACTTCTCTTTATTAATTAGTCTATTCATATTAATTATAAATAATTCTTTGTGAAAATATTTAAACAAAAATTATAATATTTTATATTTATCATCCTTATTTTAAACCATATCCCAATCCAATTCCTTATCAAATCTAAATCAATAATAATAAATCTCATTTTCATTAATAATTAAATTTACCTCATCAATAAATCATAGATTGCATTAAGTGCAATTTTTGAATTTTGAATTTTGAATTGATAAATTTTCAATCTTAATTATAAAGATATTTTTATTTTGTGAATATAAATTCCATAAAATTATTTTAAATATATTTATAAAGAGAAAAAAGATAAGAATATTATTCCTAAAGGGTTATATATTTTTTTTTTTATTTATATGAATTTCTAAAAAGGATGTGAGTTTAACTTAGAAAAAAAAGTATATTCAGCTGACTTTCTTTATTATTTTTTAATAGAAAATTCTAGAGATAAATTCAATACAGCTATTTTACAAATAATTTAAATTATCTTAATTTGAAAACTAAATTATGATCCTAATATGACTTTATATGTTTTAAGTTAGATCTCAACTTAGTATAATTTTTATTAAAAAAATTTATGCAACTCTATATATATTAATTAATCATATTCTATTCTATTTCTTGAATTTTAATTTTATGTAATATTCATACTCAATATCCATAAAAATAATATCAAAAAAGAACATTAAAATTTATAAATTGATTTATTTTGTTGAAAATGATTATTATATTCAACCTTCTAATCTTTTTTAAATTTTGTCAGCCACTCCAATACATGTTCCATTTCCAAAATAACTCCCACCTTTTCCTCCTGCATATTCGGCATCTCTAATAGTTATCTGATTGCGAACAGTAATTCTTTCTTCTTCATATCCTTCTCCATACATTACATGAGCTGGTTATGTAACAACATCTCCATTATAACCTGTATGATGAATAACATATTCTTCATTTTCATCAGTAACAACCTTTATTCCAACATGCTTTAATATACCTAATCCAGAACTTATTCCACTAGAGGTATTGCATTTTCTTTTTACTTTTGAAGCTGAAACAATGATTTAATCTTATCGATTCTTCTTTTAAGGATTAGATGATTAATTTCCCATTATTAGTTAAATTAAATTTTATAATAGATTTTATTTGTCTTTAAATAAAAAGATAATTCTATCAGAGCACTTAATAGTCATAAGTAGATTTTATTTGTCTTTAAATAAAAAGATAATTCTATCAGAGCACTTAATAGTCATAAATGTAGATTTTATTGTTTTTAAATAAAAAGATAATTCTATCAGAGCACTTAATAGTCATAAATGATAAATATAAAGACATCAATACGTATATAAAAAAAGCATAAATTTAAATATTGAATTGTCTTAATTTCAATTAATAAAAAAATATATTGAATTTTTTTTATTTTATAGAATAGATTTATAAAATAGAGTCAAAAATAGATAGATTTTTTTATTGAATTAGCTATTGCTATTAAATTTTTTAAGATATAATAAAAACTTTAAATCAAAATTATTTTATGATGTTTTTTTATTTTAATATTTTTAATATAAATTATATTAAATCACTCCAAATAAACAATAAACGACATTAGCATTATACCTAAAAGGTATAGAATGTATTTAATTAATTTGTTGTTATTCTTATTGAATTCTTCAACAATTAATTCAGTTGAGGCTATATAAATAAAAGTTCCAGCAGTTATACTTTAAACGATTCCCGATATTAAAGTACTTTCTCTGGCAATAATAATTCCAATCAGGATACCTATTGGTGAGAGCAAGGCCGCAAATATAATGAATTTAACTTATATAGCTTTTTCAACGTTAGATTCTCTAAAAGCTACTCCTAAGGCCCATCCTTCAGCCCATTTATGTCCCATCAAAGATAATCCTAAAGCTAAGGTATCAGAAGTTCGTGCTGTAACTCCAACAGCTATTCCTTCAAAAATAGCATGTAATCCTATAGCAGCCGATAATAAATATGGTTTTAGATTATTTTAATTGTGTTTTAAAGAGTGAATTAATTTATCTGTATGTTAATGATCAAAATTTTCAAGGAGTATGGCTTAATGATGCTTTTAATGGTGATCTAATTCTTACAATTCCTAACAATTAGAACAACAAGGGTTGTCTTCTACATTTCTGAATAAAATCTTTTCTACAAATAGTAGAAGTGAAAATCCCATAATTGCAATTAAAAATGCAATAGGATAATCTATGTATTCTAATAATATTTCATTAGCTTCTGGTAGGATATGAACTATCCCAACAGCTAAAAATAATCCAGAAGAAAAGGCATCTTGTTTAAAATTTAGATGATACTTGTATATGAAATCAAGAGATCATTTTAGAATTAACTTTTTATAGCAATTTTTCCTAGTTATTCTACTTCAAAGTACATAAGCACTCCAAAAAGTAATTTAAGCCACATAATTGGATATAAAAATAAATCAATTTAATTATAAAATCATGGCTACTCCTCTTTTTGTCCAATGACTATCAGATTAGGTGATTGGTACTTTAATATTACATATAAAATTAGCTGATCCTCCAGTACTAGTTAGATTTCCTCTTCTTTAAACAGTATTATATAATGGACATGCATAAAATTATATAACTTATTGTTCTAACGTAGGTTTGAAATGTATAATAGGAGCGTCATAGTAAAGTATTAGATTTTCAGGTTCTTCAATAGAATTAGTTTTAAAATCGAATTTAGCACCATCAATATAAATACCTTCTACATAAAATCCATCTTCTGGTTTAGATAATGGTTTAGTCTAATAAAATTCATAGTCAAATTTCACTTCATCTATAGGTATTTTATGTTTTCTAGCATAATTTTGTAAAATTCCTGTTAAAAAGCTTTGTATAAAGAATAAACCACCCATCCAATATAATATAGGTTCACCTTCATTTATCCATTTTCGAATAAAAGACAATCTATCTAATAAATCTTTAATATAAGTTGCTAAAGGTTTAGTGGTTTAATATGAAGCTTTCAACCATTCATTAGGTACTTAATTATCCATAACATTTCCAAGAATGTCTTGTGAATCGTCTGACATATTAATATATCCATCTATCTATTTAATAAGATTAGACAAAGATGAATTTATTGTACGCAAAAGTTTATTATATCTGCCAACATCTTATTGTAATACAGTATTCAATGAATTTTGAGATAATATAGGATATTTTTATTCTAATTCTAAAAGATTAAATTATTCAGGCAGTAAATCAATTATCTCTTTACATTTTTGCTTTACAATAAAATCAGTGTTTTATTAAGCTCCTACAGCTCTTGGTAACACTTACAAGATTTCTTAACTAATTAAATCAACTTGTAAAATTGATGAATATATTTCTGCATTTGAATGCAAACCAAATAATTATGGAGGATCATCAATGGGTAAAGTTTGAATATAATTGATATAACCAAAAACATTACTAGATTATGGTATTTTTACATAATCACTAAAAACATATCCTTCTTTAGCTGTATTTTCATTTAAAAATTCATTTACTAATATATTTAATAATTTTCTATCTTAAGGATCTGTTACTCTACCACCATAATTTGATTCTGCTACTAAATATTATAAAGCATCCCATTAAATTTCAGTTTAATGATTTAAAATGTATAAAATTTATTCTTTTGATATTTCTAAATCATGTTATGAGAAATTATAACTCACATTCCAACCTAATGGACCATATTTTCTTCTTTCCAATATACATGCATGAAATAAAGTCAAAGAAAAAAATAAATTCTTCCATTCTTCTAATTTTTTACATTATTCAAATTTATCTTAATCTTATTAAAAATATGACCTTAACATATTATTTTTTAAACCTCTTGGTAATTCATATGTTAATTTCAAAGCTAGAAAATATTTGATAATTTTATACTTTTTAGTAAAACATTATGTGGAAATAAATTTGTTGGTTAACTTGTTAACCATAATCTAAATTCCTTATTTATATTCTAGCTTTTAAATTGATTTTCAAATAATTATTCTAATTCTGGCATAAATGATTAAGCAACATGACAATTTTATAATAAAATCCACTTTCCTTAATGCAAACCATTCTTTATCAATTTCAAAGCCAATTAAATTTAACCTTATCCTAAAGAAACTGTGTGGATATGATCTTAATATCCTAATTTATCTGCTAAGGATATTATTTCTTATCTTGCATCACTACCTGGCTAAATTAAACATAATAATGGTGTAGATGGAGTAGATTCTTAATAAAATTACTCAAAAGTAAATGGTATATTCTCCAAGAATTATTTACCCATCAAAGTTCTTACTAATTCATTAAAACTATTTATAAATTACTCAGGTTTTATAATTTTTATTAACATTAAAGAATTGAACTAATTTACAATCTAAGGTATTTATATTTTATATGATTATTGACTATAAAAATATCCATCCCAAAATTAATGATTATCTTCCATATCTTAACTTAACCATCCAAAATCTTTAGGATACTTTTCCATTAAATCTACCAAACCTAACCACATTTTTGGTGTTAGCCATTCATAATTCTAAGGTATCTTTAGATCTGTTTATGTTATAGAAGGTCCTATAACACATGTCCTTATTTATTCTATTGGAATATTTAACACTTTTAAACAAAATAAAAATCTAAATATAAATTTATCTTTATCTAACAATGATCGATTTATCGTAATATAAATATGTTATAGAAATTTCTCTATTATATTTTATACCCTTTTTTATTTTCCAAATTAAGCCTCTTTTATTGATCTCTAATATTATTATATGTAAAATTCTAATGACCACAAATATGTAGGTTCTATAATTGATAGGTCATTTACTATAAAATATATATTAGATACTAATTCCCCTACTTAATTATAAAATTATTTGATTTAATTAAAAAGTTATTGATCATGTTCTAACTTTTATAATCTTTACTCAATTTCAAAAGCATCTTCTTTTGACTATTTTAAAGTCTTAATTAATACTTCATTTTCTAAAAGATCTCCAGAAGCTTCTGATAATAACTTTAAAATAAGATTTTCTGTTTGTATTTATTTATTCTTATTTAACACATATTATGATATGTTTTTATTTCTTTATTCATCTTTCAATGGTTCATCTATTTTAACAACAATATTCAACATTTAATCAACCAAACCTTCTTGTGTAACTTAAAAATTTAGCATCGTTACTACAACACAAACTTATGGTTGATAATGAGGATTAGATAATTTTGTTGTAATATAAAATCTAAAATCACTAGAATATTCTATCATCTTATCACCAAATTTGATATATAAATTTCTTTATCCTCTTTATTAATTAAATTATAATATTTATTCATATAACGGATCCAAGGTTTATCCTGCATTTTCTAATAAAACAGCATACCCAATTTAAATAGCATGCTATAATTGTAATTAAATTTAATTAATAGGCCACATAGCATTAAAAACTATTAAACTTTTTTAATTCTCCATATTCTTAATCCATTCATTAGCTTACAGTTGAGGATCTATGATAAGTGGCCATCTAGTTGATTATTTCATTATAATTGCGTTATCAATACTAAATTAATCATTAGGCAATTTTTATTAAAGCCATCGGTTGATTTGAACAGGATCGCTCAATTGATTTTATAAAGAATAATTGTTTGAGATTTAAACATTATAATCTTATAATTTTGATTTCCAATATTCTAAACAGACTTCTCTATATTAAATAGGGAAAACACCTAGATAAGCAATAATTGCTGAATTTAGCATACAATCACCGATAATATTTTTTTAATTTTGCTTATACTATTATGCTTTTAAATTCCATCTTGATTTTTCTTCACTTAAATTTGCAATTAATTATTCAGCTCTTTACAACTATGAACTAATAGTAATAACTTATTCTTCTATTCTTTCTTTTTCAGACTTAGCACGATTATATTCTAATTAATATTTATGTAATTCTTCTAAAACAATTTCTAAAGCATTTTTCTTTTCTTAAACAAGTTCTTCAGCCTCTTACAACTTCTCTTCAGCTTACTTTAATTCTGCTTTTTTTGGTTCAATTATTTCAACTGCCATATAAGATTCTAAAACAGCTCTTATCCAAAGAGCTAAATTACCAGCAGCTTTAGATGCATTAAATACTCTATCTTTTTCAAATAAAGGATTTTTAGCAAACACTTATAATTTTTAAATATTCTTAAAAGATATCTATCTAATCTATTCTAATTTTAAACTTTTAATTCTCTTAATTAATTTATCATTTAGTAAACATTTCTTAGCATAATCCCAATAATCTTATAATACAGGAGGTTCCTTATTTTTGCTTTTTACTAAATGATCTTCTTCAAAAGCATAAGCTAAACCTTCCATAACAATTGCAGCTGATACTGGTGGATTTGTAAATGATTTCAATAATATCATATCATCTTTAGTAATTCTCTCTAAGGCTTCAGTGGCTTATGCTAATAATGGCAACACATTATCTAATGCCTATTGACAACTATTTCTTAATTAGTTTGCCTCATCACTTTATTATTAACAAATCTTCTCTTCAAATTCACAGGCTTATTTCTTCTTATCAGCTTCCTCTTATCTTTTTTAAATCTTTATAAGTAATTGATTATTATCTTCATTTGCTTTTTATAATTTAGGTTATAATTCAAATAATTTAGCTTTGATTCTATCTACATCATTTTCAGCTTTTCTAATTTATTCAACTCCATTTTCAAATTTCTCAATAAATACTTAAGATTATCCCATTTTCTAATCTTAAATTATTTAAAAAGTTTAAAGCATTTATAAATATTATGTTGGAGTCACATAAAAATATCTTCTTAATTCTTACTTAAATCTTTCAGTAATTTAAAGTATTTTATAGTGAACTTCAACACCCATCTATACAAGCTATTTAGGTAGAAATTATTAAGCTGTTGATTCCAAAGCATCTTAAGGCCATGTTGAAAACCAATCAATAGTTGTACAATTTATTATTGTTGGAAATGTTCGTAATCTCTTTCTATATAGAGCACCTACAGGTTGCATACATAAAATCACATGTATATTTAATTTACAATTCTTTACAAACTAATTATAAGTTGTTGTTTCCTATATTTTAATCCTCTCTTCTGGTGGAAATAAATGAGATACTTCACCATGACTCATCAAATTACATACATCTTCTAACATATATTCAGATTAGAATTAAGAATCATTAAATAATATTGTATTCTATTCATTTTCTAATCCTGTTTCTTTTAATTAAATCAATAATTAATCATTCCATGATCTAGAATCTATAGTTTTAAGAGCCTTATTAAATACAATAAAATTAGCTATTTTACTTAATGATGATCGTCCTGTTCCACCCATACCTATCATTAAAACATGACCATAAACATTTTAAAGTATACGAACTATTCTGATAATATGTATAATTGCCATGTTAAAAAAAATTAATTAAAGTTTATTCTATGAATCTAATGAATTATATTTATCTAAAGTCATGAGCAATTTTTCTCTTAATTTTGATAGATCATGAACTTCTTCATATTATTTGTTTAAACATGAAGACCATATAAGATTATTAGTTTAAATTGGTTCTATATCTAATTAAGCTAAATTTTCTTAAATGAGCTACTCAAATTTATTTTAATCCTCTTCATCTATAAGTCTATCACTAAATACTCTTAAACATTCATGAGACCATAACTTAAATATATGAAGAGGATTTTCAATAACTTTTACTTTACTAATTCCTTCAAATATTTTAAAAATATCCCTTAAATTGTAAATATAATGAGATTTTTATGGAGTTGGTAATAATAATTTTTAAACACTCTAATAAAGATGAATAGTTTTTTCAACTAATTTATTTTTTAAGCCTCTTATTTCTTCTACTTAATTCATTATTAACCATTCACCAAAAACATTTAACATAGTTGTTAAACTTTAATGATTGAATCCTCCAATGTATAAAAGATTAAAAAATCTTAAATATCTCAAAGTTATTTAATTTCTTTCTATAGGATGGATAGCTCCTAAAAATGTTATCTCGCAAATGTATTTAAATTCTTTAGAATCCAAATCATACCATCCATTCATTTCCATCCATTACCGTAATAATTCTACAGCTGGAACAGATCCTTCAGGTTCTCTATAAGGCATATTTAAATCATCTACAAAAATGTTAATTTATCCTTCCTCTGCATAGTAATGTCCTTTCTTTCTTCTCTTATTAATTTTAGTTTCTATCAATCTTTGTAATCTATTGGCAGTTGTTTAACCAGAACAAGTTATTAAAAACTATTAGTATTTATTCATAGAAAGTGATTTACCTGTCCCAGTAGGACCAGCAAACAAAAAATGCAACCCAACTTAACAAAAGTAATCATTTCTTATAGTTTCAGCTGTTTATGCAAATATTTCATGAAACTACATAGATCCTTATATCCTTTATGGAGCTTATGTCTAAATTTAAAAATAATCTTTATACATCAATCCATTTAATCCATTTTCCTTCATTTAAAAAATATTAGAAATAATCATCTAATATTTCTACCTCTAAATCCAATTATTAATCAGCTGGAAATTATGTTTATAAATTGGACATTTTGGTCTCTATTAAATTATTCAAAAATAAATTAAATTTAGGTCTAATTTATTCATCCATAGCTGCACCAAATGACCAAATTAAACAAAAAACCATTAAATTATCATTATTTTTAGATGCTAAGTCTACTGTTAGGTACTTTGAAAGTAATTTTAGAAAACTGCATGTTAAAATATTGATGGAATCATAAATTATAAAGACTTAATGTTTAGATTAAACCCAAGCAATTGTGTTGTCTAAAAAACTATAATAAATATTAATAAAATTATTACAATCTTATTCTTCTAATTGTATAATCTTAATCATATCCTTTAGGTAATTTAATAGATTAAACAATTAGATACCAATTTATAGGTAAAAAGTAAATCATACCACATCTTGATACTGTTGCTGGAGAAGCTGCTTTTAAGTCTTCTATTTCAAAAAGCATACACATCGTATCTGGTATTTTTAATATTTCACCTGATGTTAAACATAACTTTTTATTATCATCCAAAACAGTATTCAAATTTTCAATCCATATAGAATCTACCGGACCATCAAACATAATCCAAACTTTTTATTTTTTATCAATATTATCTCTAATCAAAATTGGAGCTACTCCATCTGCCCATTATTTTGTTTCTGGATCCAATCTTCCATATAATTAATCACTAGTAATTGCTTTTGGATTTACTTTTAGAATAAGAGCATCTTAACTTTTACTAAGTGTTTATAACACAGAAGTTTTGCCTGAACAAGCTTAACCAATACACATTACACCATTTCTAACATTAATATTATTGTTTAATTAAACACATTTTTCGAAGAATTCTTTATCTATTTATAAATCTAAATCTTAACATCCGTCATATAAATTTTGTAATTCATCTCCTTCAACTAATTATATACCAGGAAATAAATCTTAAGTTATTGCCATAAATAATAGGAGATCACTATCAGTGAATTTTGGTTTATTTACATTTATTAATGCATTTAAACATATTTCTTCTTCTATTTCATTAAACATAGATTTTGCTGAATTTAATACTGCTTTCAATGTTCTCATTCCAAAATCATAATGTTCTTAGCTTGATAATTATTCATTGCATAATTTTAAACAAGTTACAATCTTACTACTTAATTCTCTTGCTTTCTAAAAACCAATACTATATAAATATATTTCTGCTATCATCGCATAATCAGGTACCATCATTGCACAAGGTCTAAATAGAATTTTTAAATTATCTGGTAATTCTGTTCTACCTGCATAACCTGGATTCATAGTAACATTAATTGCACAAGTTCTAATTAATTGGACATCTTCTCCTTCAAATATAAAATTTGTTTTCTCTTCTTTAATTGCTTTCTAAATAGTATAAATTTATTAAGCAACAACAGATAAAACTTCTGCATCAATACGATTGAATTCATCAAAACAACACCAGGATCCAGATGAGGCTAAACCCTTAAAGAATTTACCCATAGCAATATAATTTAGACCATCTGAACAATTAAAGACAATACAAGGCATTCCAATTGCTTTAGCTAAATCTTTAACAGTTTCTGATTTTCCTGTACCTGCTGGACCTTCTGGAGCTCCACCATAATTCATATGCAATGCTTCCAACAAAGTTCTTTAACATCTATCTGTTAATGATGTCATTACTAATCTAGTAACCTTTCCTAAATACTCAAATCCATATTAAACAGATACATTAATCATTCTAGCTGAAACATTCCTATTATCTTCATTATAATATCTTAATTATGATATCCAAGCAAACTCAAAAATTGTTTAAACATTTTATTTATATAGTGATTATACTATGTCTTTAGCATGTACTTCCATAACTACCATTGCTTCTAAAATAGTTTTAGGAATAATTCTATTTTCTTTTCTTACTAACTAAACAGTTTCCTATAATTCTTTATTCAATTGTTCCCAAAATACTCCCAAATTTAATTTTTATTATCCTCTAATAGCTGATTCAGTATTACGAGTCCATCTTATATGATTAGCTAATAGAATGCATTATGCAGGCCATTTTGCAATAAATTCCTACTTAGTGGATATTAAATCTATCAAAGTTTAATAAGAATAATTTTTGATTGCTGTTCTCATTTCATTCTATAAATCTAATAACCACAATTCAACATTTCCTCTTCTAGAACCTTCCATAACTTTAACTTCTTAAAATAATTTAATCTTTTCTTCTTAAGTAGATTGAAATCCTGTTATTGCCTAAGTTACAGAGAACTATAATTTATGCATAGCTTCAAAACATTTATAAATATGATTCTAAATTTATGTTGGATCTTTTGTTTAAGATAAAATTTGAACTAACTCTTCATCTGAAACAAAATAAAATCTTGGGAAAACAATTCTCTTTTATTCTAAATATACAGTTAAACTCTTTTAGATTTAATCTAATAACATTACTCCATTACTAAAATCTACTTTCATACTATCACTATCTACACATTCCCACAATATTGGTTCTTTCTTAAACTCCCTCATACATTTTCTAAAAGCTTGATCAACTAATTTAAAATTCTGTGTTTCTTCTACTAATTTTGTTTATATATCTTCACTTGAAAAGATTGGGTCTAAATACATCCATTATTTTTGACATTTCATACCAAAATCTAAAGTTTCTTAAATCAATAATATTTTATATTCCAATTAATTAGCTTATCCAACTGATAATTTTATATGAGGTTATGCTTTTAGAATAGTTAATACACTGAATTATTCATCCAAAATTACTTATATTTCATCCAAATTTTTGAATATAAATGTTTCTCTATAAGCACTTACTTCTAATGTAACCTAACATAACTTATCATGCATTTCTTATAATCTTTTTTCTATATTCCATCCTTTTTCTGCTCTTATTGAAATTTATATTACTTGATCTTTATAATTTAAAATTCCTCTATTCAATAATACAAAAAATGGAAAATCATCTTTTGGATCAAAATTACTAATTTTACATTCCCTAAATAACTCCCTCCAAAATTAAGGTTTTTTTGTAAATGCCTCTATAGCTAATGATTCAACTACCCATAACATTTCTTTAAAAGAATCCAAAGCTTTTCGAAATCCTTTTAATAAGTTTTTCAAATTTTCATTTTCCACCTCGAAATTAGCACTCACAGATCCTATCTCACTAGCAAACTAATTAAGCTTCCAGATCATATCTTAATAGTTCAATGATTTGAAAGATCCGCTTATCCATTTTTCTTTTTGGGACTCGAATTTGCTCTAATGCATATGCTGGAGATGTATACCACTAAAGTCCATAATTTTTCATAAGGTTTGAATTAAAATATTATGTTATCTAATTCTGCCTGATTAGTTAATTGCATCGATAACATTTATTAGCGAATATTAAAACTAGTGATTTAATCCTTAGCGTAATTGAATGATTTAGTTAGTTGATTAACTTAAGGAAGATAAGTTTTAATTTAACCATAATCATCAAATAATTTTATTTAATTAAAGAGTTCTGATATCTCTTACATTATCTCTTTAAAATCTTACTCATCCTATTTTAAACGCTTTAAAAACTCTTTCTCCTTTACTAAAATAACATCTTTATTTTTATGGATTATTTAAGTAATATCTTTTGGTTTATATAATAAATGGTAATAAGATTCAATTATCTTGTTATCATATTCAAAATAGTTTTCTTCAAATATTTTTACGTATTTCATGCTAAAATTAATATTTAAATTTACATCTAGCTAATTTCAAATCTTAACTTCCCAAACTAAACATTTATTTCATCAAGCATCAATTTCAAATCTATTAATTCCTATTCAGTAACTGGAATGTGTGATCCTTTCTTATAAACCTCATCATATTATTCTCCAATATTTTTTATGTTAAATAAAATAACTTCATGAATTCTATTCATTATCATTTTTTTCTATTCTTCTGCTTTATTTATTAGAAATTCTTTTATTCCTTTTAATCTTAAAGTAAATAAACCTAATTTTACTGAATTTGATAAAATTTTGCTTATCTCTATTTTTGCCCATTCTAAATTTTTGATCTTCTCATCTATTTCATCAAAATTTAACTAAGATAATGGAACTCTTTTTGTTTCTATTCCTAAAAGCTAATTTACTTCAGACGTTCTGAATCTCTTTAAAATAAATTCAAACTTCTAAAACTTCTAAAGTACCTTAACGCATTTTTGATATTCAACTTTTATCAATTCTATAGTTGGATTAATTTATTATATCAGTGATTCAACATCATCTTATGTTAAAGCCAATTCCTTTTTCAATAATAATAATGTCATAATATCACCTTCCATTTTATTTACTCTACTAATTTATTCTATTAATTATGTTTAAGGAAAAGTCAAGAGCTCAATAACTTCAGATTCAGCTAAATTTATTGTTATCTTATCATCATATTCAATCTCTTCTTTTTATACTTCTTGTTCTTTCTCTCGAAATGATTGTTTTGTTAATCTTTCCATCTTCTTTACCTATTATTTTTTTTACTTTGTTTATTTTATTACTTTAACATGTAACTCTAGAACTAAAAATGTTGATGCATTAATATAAAAAGAATCATTTGGCTAAAGTATAAATTATTAATAAATATTAAATATTGCTTCTGTATTTAAAGATAATTAGTGTTTCAAAAAATCTGCATAAATTAAATCAAGTTTTCTTAAAATTCTATGCAAAGGACTTTAAAAGTGTGTTTATTAATCTTTGCCTAAAAAACTAAATTTTTTTTGTAAAACATCTTAAATTTCAGATTATTTATATTTTCTTTGCAAATTGACTTAATAAATATAACTTTTTATATTGTTTTAACAATATTCTAAAAATACTATATTCTACAGAGGTAATTCTAACTCTTTTAAATCTACTATTTGAAAATTAAACCTTAAACATCTTTAATTCATAACCTACCATACTTATATTGTAATTTATTGCATAAATGATTAATTGTTTTCTATTTATTACTAATACTTAGTGTAAAATTAATATTTTGGCAAAGGACAATATATTTATTTGTATTTCTGCAAATCCTTATAAAATATACATTTTTTCATATCAAAAGTATAAATTTAATTCACTTCCTCTAAAAGTTTAGACAATAATCCTTAACGATCATTTTATTGAAATTTTCTTATGAATCTTAACTTCAAATATGAGGGTAACTTATTAACTTCCACATCATTTACATTTATTATATCTTGAATTTTTTTCAATTCAATTTTTTTCTAAGATCGAATTTAGTATTTTTCTTTTTGGGCTTATTTAAACAGATCTTAATTTTAATTATAAAACTGAATAGATAATCTAGTAACATTTTTTGTTTATCCTTCTGGAAATTTTTAAACCGAAAATTTCTTGCTTTCTTATACATAATCCAATACTGTAACATCATACCATATGTATGAACTAATTTTAACAAACTTCTTACTTAGTAACTTTATCATAAAACTAAGCTTTGGCTTAAGGTGGATCCATTTATTTACATTTTTCAAACCATTCTTAATTACTAATTTCCTTATCTTCATCAATTACAAGTTGATTTCTTTTTTACGATCTACTAATCAATATTAAAGGTGTCCTATCAGTTTTAATTCGAGAAAACCCATATAAAGTGTATTCTTCAGAGAGTTTTTTGTCCTCAACTTTCCTTATACTTCTTGAAGTAGACCTGAAAGTTCTATTATAAAAGGTTCTGTCCTAAAAAGAAACACTTTGATAACTTTTCATGATACCTTTAATCCGGCTCATATGAATCTAACATACATTAAAATTATTCTTCCTCTTTCCGTATTTTACTTATATCAAGTATTTTTCTCATTCTCAATTTAACTATTGGTCCTTTAATTATTAATTATAAGTACCATCTTATTTTCTCTACGGTGATCTGAAACTCTGATTCATTGATTTTTTTTAATAAAATATTTAAATAATATTTTCATTTACTTAGATTATANAACATCTTAAATTTCAGATTATTTATATTTTCTTTGCAAATTGACTTAATAAATATAACTTTTTATATTGTTTTAACAATATTCTAAAAATACTATATTCTACAGAGGTAATTCTAACTCTTTTAAATCTACTATTTGAAAATTAAACCTTAAACATCTTTAATTCATAACCTACCATACTTATATTGTAATTTATTGCATAAATGATTAATTGTTTTCTATTTATTACTAATACTTAGTGTAAAATTAATATTTTGGCAAAGGACAATATATTTATTTGTATTTCTGCAAATCCTTATAAAATATACATTTTTTCATATCAAAAGTATAAATTTAATTCACTTCCTCTAAAAGTTTAGACAATAATCCTTAACGATCATTTTATTGAAATTTTCTTATGAATCTTAACTTCAAATATGAGGGTAACTTATTAACTTCCACATCATTTACATTTATTATATCTTGAATTTTTTTCAATTCAATTTTTTTCTAAGATCGAATTTAGTATTTTTCTTTTTGGGCTTATTTAAACAGATCTTAATTTTAATTATAAAACTGAATAGATAATCTAGTAACATTTTTTGTTTATCCTTCTGGAAATTTTTAAACCGAAAATTTCTTGCTTTCTTATACATAATCCAATACTGTAACATCATACCATATGTATGAACTAATTTTAACAAACTTCTTACTTAGTAACTTTATCATAAAACTAAGCTTTGGCTTAAGGTGGATCCATTTATTTACATTTTTCAAACCATTCTTAATTACTAATTTCCTTATCTTCATCAATTACAAGTTGATTTCTTTTTTACGATCTACTAATCAATATTAAAGGTGTCCTATCAGTTTTAATTCGAGAAAACCCATATAAAGTGTATTCTTCAGAGAGTTTTTTGTCCTCAACTTTCCTTATACTTCTTGAAGTAGACCTGAAAGTTCTATTATAAAAGGTTCTGTCCTAAAAAGAAACACTTTGATAACTTTTCATGATACCTTTAATCCGGCTCATATGAATCTAACATACATTAAAATTATTCTTCCTCTTTCCGTATTTTACTTATATCAAGTATTTTTCTCATTCTCAATTTAACTATTGGTCCTTTAATTATTAATTATAAGTACCATCTTATTTTCTCTACGGTGATCTGAAACTCTGATTCATTGATTTTTTTTAATAAAATATTTAAATAATATTTTCATTTACTTAGATTATATTACTTGTTGATATACTTAACATTGAAATTTATAATTTCCTTTTTTTCGAAATATAAACGACTAAAAAGAATAAATAAATTTAAGTTTAAACTAGAAAAGCAGGATAAATTCATTTTTATTCAGCATTAATTAAATTTTAATCAAACAATAGAATCAAAAATAAATTTATCTTTATTTGACGTATAAATAATTATTGAGATTTATCTTATAAATAATTTTTTTTCAATCTTGATACATCTATTTGCTAAATTTAATTATTTGATTTAATAATAGTTTTAAAGGACTAATTCTTTCGTCTTTTTAAAGTTATAATTAATTTTGCATTTCTATTTAATTGTAATTTGCTCCTTTCATTTTAAATTTTAACACTAAAATTCTTAATTATGAAGAAGATGAATTTTTTTGATAAATTAATAAATAAGGTGAAATAGAAATAAATTTATTTAATTCTAAATAGCATAAAAAAAAATTTTATTTCTAAATGAGAAAGAATCAAATAAATCAGTAGGGAGCTTTTAAAAACGAGATTTAAAAATCAAATTAATGAATTCTTGTTAATTTGTTAAATATGTAAAGTATTAAAATAGTATCTCTTCGAAAATTTTCAATAGTCTTCGGCTTAATTACAAAAAAAGAATAATTTTTTAAATAGATTTTTCTTCGTACTAGAATTTTTTGAGCCTGGCCCTTATTTTTCATTTTTCTTTATTGTTGATGAATATTTGGAATTGGATAGACTAGTTGAATATTTCGATTATTTTGGAGAAACTTTAAGAGAAAACTCTGTTTGATTGGTCTGAGATAACAAGGTTGAATTGGCAAAGGCTAATATAGAATTCAAAAATTACATGGAAAATCTTCATTGGGAATTCCTTTTTTCTTTTTCGGAATGTATAATTGAAACAAATATTAATTATTTACTTCTGAAGAAATTGGAGACTCTAAATATTCATTTTATTCATTAAACTAAGTTATTGCAAGTTAAATAAGATCTCCAATTGTAATTTAAATATTAGAAGTTTTTATTGGAATTTCATATTTATGATCAATATTCGAATCATACCAATAAATAATATAGAGGAATTGTTTTTCATAATGGTTTTAAACTAATATCTAAAATTTCAAAAAAATATATACATCTGCTTAGTTTATAATAGTTAAGTCTGCCAAAGTTTGAGAACCTCTTCTTTAACTGATTTGAGGAGTTAAACTCAAGAGACTTCCTTTTTATATAATTTAAAAATACTTTATGTTATAATTGGTTTGCTTTTACAATATTTCTCAGTGAATGCAATATTTTGAGAAAAAACATTATAATTGTTGCTTTATTTAAACTAAGTTGTTGTACATTAATCTTGATTATTATGAACTTATTCATCATTGAATTAAGTTAATATTTTTCTTTGAATTCTCTCAGCTGACATAGTAACTAGATTATAATTATATTTATTTATTCAAAGCCTCCCTTCTCTATTTAAAATATTGATATGAACAATTATTTTATTAATAGCTATTATTTTATCACGTAATATTTAAAATATGAAATAAAAAATTTAGAAGTTATTAGATGATTAAAGAACTTAACTAAAATAGNTATTTAATTGTAATTTGCTCCTTTCATTTTAAATTTTAACACTAAAATTCTTAATTATGAAGAAGATGAATTTTTTTGATAAATTAATAAATAAGGTGAAATAGAAATAAATTTATTTAATTCTAAATAGCATAAAAAAAAATTTTATTTCTAAATGAGAAAGAATCAAATAAATCAGTAGGGAGCTTTTAAAAACGAGATTTAAAAATCAAATTAATGAATTCTTGTTAATTTGTTAAATATGTAAAGTATTAAAATAGTATCTCTTCGAAAATTTTCAATAGTCTTCGGCTTAATTACAAAAAAAGAATAATTTTTTAAATAGATTTTTCTTCGTACTAGAATTTTTTGAGCCTGGCCCTTATTTTTCATTTTTCTTTATTGTTGATGAATATTTGGAATTGGATAGACTAGTTGAATATTTCGATTATTTTGGAGAAACTTTAAGAGAAAACTCTGTTTGATTGGTCTGAGATAACAAGGTTGAATTGGCAAAGGCTAATATAGAATTCAAAAATTACATGGAAAATCTTCATTGGGAATTCCTTTTTTCTTTTTCGGAATGTATAATTGAAACAAATATTAATTATTTACTTCTGAAGAAATTGGAGACTCTAAATATTCATTTTATTCATTAAACTAAGTTATTGCAAGTTAAATAAGATCTCCAATTGTAATTTAAATATTAGAAGTTTTTATTGGAATTTCATATTTATGATCAATATTCGAATCATACCAATAAATAATATAGAGGAATTGTTTTTCATAATGGTTTTAAACTAATATCTAAAATTTCAAAAAAATATATACATCTGCTTAGTTTATAATAGTTAAGTCTGCCAAAGTTTGAGAACCTCTTCTTTAACTGATTTGAGGAGTTAAACTCAAGAGACTTCCTTTTTATATAATTTAAAAATACTTTATGTTATAATTGGTTTGCTTTTACAATATTTCTCAGTGAATGCAATATTTTGAGAAAAAACATTATAATTGTTGCTTTATTTAAACTAAGTTGTTGTACATTAATCTTGATTATTATGAACTTATTCATCATTGAATTAAGTTAATATTTTTCTTTGAATTCTCTCAGCTGACATAGTAACTAGATTATAATTATATTTATTTATTCAAAGCCTCCCTTCTCTATTTAAAATATTGATATGAACAATTATTTTATTAATAGCTATTATTTTATCACGTAATATTTAAAATATGAAATAAAAAATTTAGAAGTTATTAGATGATTAAAGAACTTAACTAAAATAGTAACCATTGTAGAAATTAAATATCTGTTACGATATTTAAAAAAATAAAATTAATATTTAATGTTTTAAACAATTATCATTATAATTCTAGTTTAAAGAGAATAACTTAAACATTAAAAGGAAATTTAAAATTTTGAAAAGAATAAATAAAAATATGCTTATCAATTATACAATAAGAAATTCGAAAACAATTTGATGATTGTGAAATATGTTGAAATAATTTTTAATTATTATATCATCATCTAGCAGTATTGAGTTGAAAACTAATTTAATCGAAATTACTTTCAAGGGATAATTTATATTTATGGGAAGCTGAAATAGTATTTAAAGCAGTTGAGAATTAAGAGTTACTGTTAAATGATTATTTATTACTATTAGACTTAAAAAAGGCTTCTTTTTTTTATTTGATGAGATCTAAATTTTATTAAAATAAATATTCCTTGATTTCTGGTTTTCTCTATAAAATACTAGCACTCTTCAATCTAACTGCCATTTTCTTTTGTTTAGTTACTCTCTAACTTGCCCCAGATAATGTAGAGTTGGAAGAACTGTATTTTAGAAAGCAGGATTCACAGACTAGTATTGTTTTAATTAAGAAAGCATCATTAACTTTCATTTACTCATATAGTGCTACAGTGATTTATGGATATAGTTTAATAATAAGTGGAGGTATGTGAGAATGTATATCTCTAATATGATCTTGGCTAACGAAAAAGGATTTTGGTTTCATTACTAAAATATTTTCATTAATAATAGGATTTGAATTTGGATTCAATTCAAAATGTTTAATGATGAATTCATATGCCAAATGATATAAATCATCTTTTTAACAAAGCAATCCACATTCGACACACTCTATATTTTTAATTAAAGTAACTGGATGCATAGTATTAACAGTTAAAACATTTTTAATTTAATGTGGACGTTTAAAATTAGTATTGAAAGATATTGGAGTATTATTTTTTTTAATATTAGAATTTCCCCAAATAGATTTATATTGCTGTATTTATTCATCTGGTTCTCCTTACAATCGAATAGATGTACAATAGAGAAACCATACTCTATTCTATTTGTCTGGTTTAAAGTACATTACAATTCTAGAAATGTTAGTTTAACCATAACTTAAATTAGTTAATTTTTGAATGATCATTTGACACTGTTTTCTAATTTCATGTGAGATTTGTTTGCCTCTGAGTGGAATCACTTTTGAATAGGCTTCACATCCATCAAATGTTGCACATCTTTCTAGATTTAGAATAGGATGAGAATTTACCATAAGGATCGAATTACATATCATACAGATCCCTGTTGTTTTACTTTTTTGAAAGAATGCAAACAGAGGGACTCCATATAGCTTATATTAGTTATTCATGATTGGCAATAGGATCAATAAATTTTTAAAGTATTCCTTCAGGTGCTTTATTATTATTTTTAATAAATTATGGAAATGTTTCTTTGGTCAAATAATAGATACAGATCTTCTCATTGACATCAAATTGTTTAGCTTTTGAAATCTCATGAGTATCATTGATTGGATCTTTAACATTATATCTACTATTGTAAACATAATATGCAATAACTTATCCATTTTATTTTGAGTTATTACAAAAATGATTAATGATATTTTCAGGTTTACGACAATCATTCTTCTTCATAAGAATTTCTCCTGATTAATTTGTAAAATACCAAACTTATGGCATTCCATTCTTGAAAATAATTGTGTCTGGCAATTTTAATTAAAAAGACTCCTTGATTAAGGAATCATCTTTCAACCAAATATAATGATATATTGATTCAGCAATCCCATTCGTATTAGTTATCATTTAATTTATATATTTATTATATTAATCAATATGTTAATGTATCATGAGCTTTAAACATTTCTCTTAAGCATTCTTCTACAGTAAAGCATTATTAATAGAAGTATGTTCTAAAATGTACTTTATTTGCATATGTCCACTAATTACATTTTTGTAAGTTTAGTAAATAATCAGTTAAAAACACTAATTCCTTATCATATTTATTATCATAAAATGGAATGATAGGTATTCCATTATCGATTTGATAACAGTATGAATAAGGAGCATTATCGATTAATAACATATTCTAAGAAAAATTATGGATAATAATTTACCTCAATTTAACGATTTCCAATAACTCTTAAATCTTTAATAAATAGGCCTTCCTCTATTTCTAAACAGCTCTCTCTATAAAATCTATACTAAAATAATTTTCTATCAGGATCGATCAAATCAACTGCTTTGTCAGCATAATATTGATAACCTGCTGTAAATAATATAAGTTCATAGTGATTAGCTAATATTTTCAACATTTATTAACAATATGGTCTGATATTAATTTTAGTCTAGAATTAACTTAAATAATTACCTCAACCATACCTTCATTAGGCATTTTGACCATTATTACATAATCAGTTGGATCATTAACATTTTCATTACAATGCAAGAGAGTCTCATCTAAATCAAATACTAAAGTTCTTGTATGATTTACTAAGGGAGGTAAATATTAAATTTTATTATTTTATTTCAAGGTCTAATTCAATCTTTTACAATATTGTAAACAAGTGAATGATTATTAAAAATGCTCACAAAACAATTCATTAAAATAATCTTTTAATTAATTAGTTTGATATTCTAATTCAAAATGAATTTTATAAGGTGAATGTTTATTTTTTACTTATTCATAATGAAAATGAATTAGTGAGGTTTAATAATACTTTGCATCCTTAAACAATGGTCTAACTAAACACTAAATAACAAAAACAAGATTACATAAAGAGGATTATTTTGTTTGTTTACATTTGAAGGAGTTTTAGATCTTTAGAATAAATCATCCATCTTATTAATAGTGATTGATTTATGAACACTTAGACTTTGCTTAGAAGATCTAGTTTAAATAGATTAAGATGATATAGTATTCGTATCTTATTTATGCAATTTTATAGCAGGACTCTCTTTTTTAAATGGTAATGTCTTGCCTTTTTCATAATTAGGTTTCATTTTGCTAATTATATTACTATTATTTTTAGCATCTTTAGTATTTGATGAATTGAATATTATTTTTTTCACAGATCTTGGAGTAGGTTATTAATTTGAATTATTCACTTATGATTACTACAATTGTGCGCTATTTTTAGTAGCTAAAGGTTTAATTCTTGATTATGGACTCAAAGTAGATGTTCTATTTGAAGTAGAAAGAGTTCGTTATTTATTTACAGCTCTTTCAGCACTTGAATTAGGATTTGTCACTAATCTCTTTTTAGGGTCTAAACTAATTATTAAATCTATTATTCATACTGTTTTTAAGGCTACAATTTTTCTTTACTAATACTTTCCTTTTTCTAAATGGATTATGTTCTTGGTCGTGCTGATTATAATTATGAATATTAATTCCCATATTATTTGCTTTCCTTTTTAACTATACTTATAGTATTGTTAGAAGAAGTTGTTGTATCAAGTTTTGCTTTATGATTATTGTTACTAAATAATTTAAAGGTTTTCGAAGATTAATTGTTTGTTTTACTCATCTATATTAAAAAATTAAATTTATATTATAATATATGAGAATCGTTCTTGATAATTTTGTTTTATTGTTCGACTTATTTATTTGATATTGATTAATGTAAATAATTGCTATAATTTTGAACGTAATATTAATCAATTGTGTAGAATATATTGAGGTATATATCCAACAGTTTACTAAATTTCATAACAATGTGATCTATTTTTAATTTTATTCTTACTGATTTAAATCAATAGATTTTTTCTCCATACTCTTTTCAAGAGTGGGGAATGTATATTTAGGTCCATCATTAATATCTCTTGGGATATTATATCTGCCAGGTCCTAACAAACTTGATTCTTAAGGCTTATGATATTTTTTTGCAATAGGATAACTGGGTGCTTTATTAGAAATCATTGAATCATTTGGATTATACTTTCCTGGTCCCTAAATTAAGTTTAAAACATAACTGGTAAATTTTCCATATGAATTTCATCTTTAGAAGCTTTAGGTATTATAGGTCCATTCTTCTTAAGTTTAGTTTCAATTACATATGCTCCTGGTCCTGGTGTTCTTTCTGTTGATATCATAGATGGTCTCATTGCTTTATTGAAGCTATAAATTTTATATCTACATTTCAAACCTTGCATGTCTGGTTGGATATTTATAATTACTAACATCATAATCAAGTGGAGATGGACCTATTTTTTAAAAATTTTAACTATTTCTCTCAGACTTTCCTATTCTTTTTTAATAAGATTTTATTATACTTTGTTCCATAAATTCTTTTAAATTTTCCATCTGCAACATCTGTATTATAACTACCTGGTCCTGGAACATTTGATCTATCAATTTATTAATTAGTTTTGGATCCAAAAGTAAAACCTTAATTTTTAGGTAAATTTAAATCAAATGCTCCTGGACCTGGTCCAATCTAACTCCAATTTATGTTTCTTTATGATTTTGGAAATCTTTTAATAAAAACATCTAACTTACTTAATATTTGTTAAAAATTTAGGCTTCTCTAATTCATATGAACCAGGTCCTGGATGATTAGATAAAAGCATATTTGTTCTTTAACTCGTAGAAAATCCTTTATTTTTTGGTCTATTAGTATGAGGATGTTCAATTTCATAATTTCCTGGTCCTGGAGTTTTCATGATTTCATTTCCAATAGAATCAAATCTACTTTAAAAAGTAAATGCTGGTGCTTTTTTTTAATCAGATAAATTATATGACCCTGGGCCAATCTCAGTATCTCTTGGAGAAGCCTCTTTTGCTGTAGTAAATACAACTGAAGATGTATGAGGTAAAATTGCCTAAAAAAGTTATGCGATTAAATGCCTGAATTTTATTTTCATAAACCCCAGGATCAGGAGCTATACTAGGTTGATAAAGTGGTTTTCTATTAGATTTAGAAAATTTATATCCTGTAGGCTTATCTAATGGATTGACAGAATAATGATTAGGTCTAATATGATTAAATATTTTACCCTGGATTTGGATTGCTTTAATATATGGCACCTACAATTAAAAAATATATTACATTCATATCTTTTGCCTAAAGTGAAAGCACCAGAAAATTAAGAATTAGGACCATGAATCATTATTTATAAATAATTTATGAGACACAATTATAATAATGAATTTTATCAAAATAATCGCAAAAATACAATAAGATTCATATCCATTTTCTTCTTATTCTCTCTATATATCATTTCATTAATAAAATCTAATAAAATATTTAAGGTATTTCTTTCTAGAAAGACAAATTTATATAAACACGTTTTTCATATAGCTTATACTCTCTTTTATACCACTAATATCATATTCATTTTTCAAATTAATACTTTGAAAGTACATTCTAAAACTTCATAAGATTACTCCATTCCTAAAGAATAACCTAACACTTTAGATAAAAATTATTCATATAAATTAAATAANCTGTATTATAACTACCTGGTCCTGGAACATTTGATCTATCAATTTATTAATTAGTTTTGGATCCAAAAGTAAAACCTTAATTTTTAGGTAAATTTAAATCAAATGCTCCTGGACCTGGTCCAATCTAACTCCAATTTATGTTTCTTTATGATTTTGGAAATCTTTTAATAAAAACATCTAACTTACTTAATATTTGTTAAAAATTTAGGCTTCTCTAATTCATATGAACCAGGTCCTGGATGATTAGATAAAAGCATATTTGTTCTTTAACTCGTAGAAAATCCTTTATTTTTTGGTCTATTAGTATGAGGATGTTCAATTTCATAATTTCCTGGTCCTGGAGTTTTCATGATTTCATTTCCAATAGAATCAAATCTACTTTAAAAAGTAAATGCTGGTGCTTTTTTTTAATCAGATAAATTATATGACCCTGGGCCAATCTCAGTATCTCTTGGAGAAGCCTCTTTTGCTGTAGTAAATACAACTGAAGATGTATGAGGTAAAATTGCCTAAAAAAGTTATGCGATTAAATGCCTGAATTTTATTTTCATAAACCCCAGGATCAGGAGCTATACTAGGTTGATAAAGTGGTTTTCTATTAGATTTAGAAAATTTATATCCTGTAGGCTTATCTAATGGATTGACAGAATAATGATTAGGTCTAATATGATTAAATATTTTACCCTGGATTTGGATTGCTTTAATATATGGCACCTACAATTAAAAAATATATTACATTCATATCTTTTGCCTAAAGTGAAAGCACCAGAAAATTAAGAATTAGGACCATGAATCATTATTTATAAATAATTTATGAGACACAATTATAATAATGAATTTTATCAAAATAATCGCAAAAATACAATAAGATTCATATCCATTTTCTTCTTATTCTCTCTATATATCATTTCATTAATAAAATCTAATAAAATATTTAAGGTATTTCTTTCTAGAAAGACAAATTTATATAAACACGTTTTTCATATAGCTTATACTCTCTTTTATACCACTAATATCATATTCATTTTTCAAATTAATACTTTGAAAGTACATTCTAAAACTTCATAAGATTACTCCATTCCTAAAGAATAACCTAACACTTTAGATAAAAATTATTCATATAAATTAAATAATTACTATCAATAAATCAATTGTTTTATTAATTATTTTAACTTATTTTAAATCTTCAAAAAATCTCTAATCATTTTTAGGATATTTCATTAACTGCACTATAAATAGCTATAATTAATCTTCTTGCTTAGAAAATTAAAATGTTAATGAAGTGGTATCATTAAGAATGTTTTCTACGAAAATAAAAGTGTATAGCATTTATTTTCTAATTGTTTTATATTTTTGAAAACTCTTAATACTTTAACAAGATCTGGTCAATATAAGATTCTTAATATTTAGACAATTGTAATTTCTTAACTAAAAATAAAAGACCATAAATTTTAAAGAACAACGAGTAATGAAATAAATATAGATTTAGAATTATAAATAGAAAAAAAAATAATAATAATAATTTTTTTTACAAAATTAATGGATTTTATTTAATAATTGTTTTAAAAAATCTCACTAAAAATTGTAAATAAATCATTATCATAAAAGTTCAAAAATATTAATTGTTAATAAATTTTCATAAAAAATTGCAGAATCCATATGAATGGCATCTATTCATTAAAAACGATTGGTTCTTGAAAATAAAATTGATATAAAATCTCATTTTATTTCTTGTTTTTTGATTTAAAAAAGATTGAATCAATAGATATAGTTTTTATGGTATTATTAATGTATTTTCAGAATGGATTATTTTTCGATAACAATATGTTTAAAACAGGAATTTATTAAAAATTAATAATATACTTATGATAAAGATAATTGAATCAATCATTATTTATTCATTTGTATTATCATTTTAATTTATACAGTATTAATTTAAACCTCCTTATATAGGAAAGATGAAAAATATGAAAAATGATTTAAAATTAATAGGAACACTGCATCAATATCCATATTATTATCTTTTCTATTTTCTTTGTAAAAAATTACTATTAATGTATAAGCTATTTTGTCCTATAAATTCTCAATCAATAATAAATAAATGTTAGAAAATGATTAATAAAATTTAGAGGACCCTTAGAATAATTTACTTAATCTTGAATCAGTGATAGAATTTGTAAAACCAATTAGACACAAATCATCTTATTATGAAAAGGATTTTTTTGTAGAACCTTGGGATGAAAATTAAGATAATTTTCTATAATTATCTCCAAAAATGAAAGAAGAATAATAAGAAAGAAAAACTAAAATAATAAAAATTAAGCTTCCTTAATCTCGAAATTAAAGTAGACATCGTTCAAATGAAAACTCATAAGCAGTTCAAATTTCTCTTCCATTTCATGAAAGAGCTGGAAGTTGTCATACACAATTTTAAGATTTAGGATTTTCTAATCAAACTGCGGCTTACAAACGAATAGTTGATAAGATGAAGAGTATATAAATAAAAAAAAACATAACAATTGAGAATAATAATAATAATAATAATTATAAACATTTTAGTTTAAAAGTTTAAGCAAACAAAAAGAAAATTAAATAGATTGTTTAAGTAAAATAAAAATAGCCATTCTCATGGTAAGATTATTACAAATTCATCTAAAAAAATCATAATTAAATAAAACCTAATAATTTGTTTAATCCATAAATTAAGAGTTATAATATTTAGATAAATAAATCTCTATAATAAAAGATAGATAAAGAAACTACTATAAGAAATTTTCGTCTGAAATCAACGTATACTAAGACTATTGCTTGATAATTTTGATTATATTTGCAAATACTTATGATTATTATGTCATTAAAATATTTACTGAAAATCTTAAAATGTAATTCCTTACCCATTTGATTTATTGACTAAATCAAACATGACTTTTTCAACTTCGATAGTGCTGTTTCTATCAATGATTTTACAAATGTTTTAGAATTCATTAAATTCTAATTTACCACTTCTATTTTTATCAAAATTATTAAAAATTTATTATGGATTACTTTAACTTGTTTTGACAATCCTCTTTAAATCACTTATTAATTTCTAAAATAGAATAATTTAATACTGTAGCTCTTTCTTTTTCAGGATCAAATTTTGAATCAAATGAAGTGCCTTCAAGTAATTAATCTTTAAATTCTGTAAAAGTAATTTCTTTATCATTATTTTTATCAAATCTTTTAAACACTTCATCAACTTCGTCTTATTTCAGACCCGGAGCTAATTATTTAATAAATTATGTAAATTCTTGAGGATTAAGTTTACCATCACTTGATGAATCAAAAGTCTTAAAAAATTAATCTATATTTAATTTTCTTGCTTTAACAACTTCTTTTAGATCAATAATGATTCTTTCAGCTTTATCAGTATTAATAAATTCATATTTGCAAAAGATTTCTTTGAATTCATCTAATGAAATCATTTCATCACCATTTTTATCCATAACCTTAAAAATTAATGTAGTCTATTCTCTAGTTAATCTTGGATCTAATTATAAAATAAATAAATAGAATTCATTTCTATCTAATTTTTGACTTTTATCAGCATCATATTTTTCGAACATTTAAAGAATATTAACTTCTCTAGCTTATGCAACTTTTTATAATTATCCTAATAATTCTTTTGCAGCTTATGGTACTCTAAATGAATCCTAAAATATTTAATATTCAACTAATATACATATTTCCTTTGACTATCTTAAAGCTTAAATAATGGATGATTAAAAGCATCTTCCCATTCAATTCTTTTATCTTCATCATACTCTAAACTTCTTTTTAAGAAATCTTTATATTATTCAGATACTTTGATATCAACAGGAAATCTTAAAGGAACATTTTAAATATTTTTTAACAGTTGCTCATCCCCTGCTCTATTAGACCAAGGAAATTATCCATAAACTAATTCAAAAGCCATAACTCCAATTGAAAATATATCACATTTAGCTGTATATGGAATCATTTATAATATTTATGGAGCTTCATAGATTGGTGTTCCACAAAATAAATCTAATTTTTATCTGCCTTTAACATTGACTTTTCCAGCAAAACCAAAATCTGAAACCTTAAAAACAGATCCTTTTGACAATGCATTAGCAGGTTTAACATCTCTATGTATATAATTTTTGCTTATCATGTATTTGAACCCTTCCATTAATTAAGCTAAAGCATTTTAAGCAACTTATTCAGGTAATTTTCCTCCATGTTTTTTCATTAATTTATTTAAGTCACCATCACATAACTCTAAAATTATCACCTTATCTAATTGTTATGTCATATACCATATTTTTAGGAGGTAGTTTAAAACTGTCTATTATTTTTGCGATATTCGGATGCTATAACTCTTTCATGATAGCTATCTCTGTATCCAACAAATCTAATTCAACTCCTTCCATTTTTGTGAGATCAAAGACTTTTTCAATAACGATAAATTAATACTTTTTATTGCAACTTCTTCTTAAGTTTTTGTATCTTTTCCCTTATACAACTTACCATAAGAACCTTCTCCCAAAAAATCTCGCTCAAAATACATATACCGATTGTTTAGCAAAACCATTATTATCTTTAAATAATATTTATTTTTATTTTATTTTTATTTTTTGCAAATTATGAATTTAAATAGTTAAAAAATTTTATTCGTTTTACTCAAGAATTTGAATTTTGAATATTAAATTACAAGATTTATGTTATTTTCATATCTTCTCTGTATCAAATTTTTAGAAATTCATATTTTATTATAATTATTTTATTGATATCTTTATTCAGATATTTTAACAAAAACTCATAAATATTTATCAAATTTAGTAAATAATTCAACAAGTATTCCAGCAAGGAATAGATTAATAACAAAAAAGATTGATTTACATGTATTTACACTATAACCGAAATTATCATTTTTTTAAATACCTTAAGTCTTCTAAAAAACTTGTTTTAATTTCAATTCTTATTGATTTTATATTCTAGAAATATATTATTATATACTCTTTAATTTAAAGTTTCTATTCTTCTATAGCATTTTCAGTTTTTTAATTGTATTAACTCATTATTTCTGCAATAACTTTTGTGAATTATCCCTTGTCTATTCCTTCAGCTCATTTTAAATTAAATATTTACATTGAGTCATTAATTAAAATCTTTCTGAGATGTCTTTAAGAAAACTATAAGCAAATATTGATTAATCTTAAACTTCATTTTTTTGAGTAATTTGCATAACACACATAAAATTATATTGGTTATTTTGCAGAAGATACATTATTTATTAATTCTAGGTGTAAATAGAAACATTAAAATACAATTTTAAATTGTTATTTCTCTTCTTTATTTTTTATGAATTTGAGCTATTTTGAAATTAATTAGGAGAAATCTTCATTTGATTAAGTGTATTCACATAAAATAAGAGATCCTTTTGTAATAGCTGAATATAAAATCATAAAATATTAAATAAATTCGTTTTTAATAAAGAAGTAGTAGATATATAGAACTACATTTATTTATAAAAAATAAATGGAGAAATTGTAATAAAATGAAACTAGGAGGATTAATTTGAAAGCAAAAGTAATTACATAAAATATAGAAAGTTAATTCGATATTGAACATTTAATTTATTGATGCAACAGGTTGAGATAAATGAATTTGGTAAAATATGAAAAGCGAAAACTAAGAAAAACAATGCTATTTCAAGTCAAAGTATAAAAATCAATAAATGTTTGACAATTATTAAAAAGAAGTCTGTGTAGTTTTTGATAAATGAAAGATAATTGCTAAGTAATTTAAGATATTGGAAGATGGTTATAATTTGATATTTAAATTTTTGATTAAAGATGTAAAGTATTTTTAAAGATAAGGAATTAGTAATTTGAGATGATATGTTAAAACAAGAGAAGATTTAAGATAAAATTATAATATTTATAATTATGATAGTACTTAATAGATTATGATTTATTGATAATTTAAAAATTAGATTAAAAAAATCTTCCAACTTAATCAACTTCAAAATGTTTTAAATTATAAAATTATTTATTGATTTGAGATAGTTCAAATTATAATTCGTTGCTTATTTGAATAATTTAATTTTATTAAATACTTAATAAATTAATATCATGCTCTTTCCCTTTTTCTTGGTGCACATTTTACAATATCATCTACTCTCATTATTAATTCAGCTGCTTCACTTGCAGCCAATAATGCTTGTTCTTTTACTCTCATACATTCCTTTACTCCAAGTTCTTTCATATCTCCAATACTTCCATCATTCATATTCAATCCATAACTTAAATTTCCTTTCTCTAATTCTACTTTGAAATTCTATACTAATTCAGCTGAATCATATCCTTATTTGATTAATCTATATTAATACCTCCATTATCACAAATTATTGTAGGTAATTATCTCAAAGCTCTAGCATATGCTTCTATGGCTAAAGCTTATTTTCCCTAAACTCTCTTAGCTTCTTCATCACAAGCAGCAGCCATTTGCATCTCTGAATTACCACCACCCCATACTACTCTTCTATTCTTTACAGTAGTTATTAAAACACACAAAACATCATGAATTGATCTGTCCACTTCATCCAAAATATGAATAGAAGATCCTCTCAATACTATAGTGCAAGCTTCATTCTTTTTGCAACCTGAAAATTTAACCATCTATTTATATATTATAACTAATCTACCTTTTCTTCTCCTATCATAATTTCTTCAATTAATTCACAAAATCCTAAAATTTGATCTTTTCTTTCAGGAGCATCAAAAGTTGATAAGATTTCAGCACCTGTAGCAGCTGCAACTCTTTCCATACCTTCAAAATCAGCATGTTCAATAACAGTAATTCCAGAATCAGCTAATAATTATTCAGGATAATTATAAATGAGTTATCTATTAACAAATACAGTTGGTTAATATTAAAGGATCTTATCAACCTTATGTTTCATTTTTTCTTTTTCTGCTGCTTCAATTTCAGCAACTTTATCCATAGAATTAACTTTGACTTTTGTTCCATAAATTTTAATTTTATCATAATCCATAGCTGTATTAGCAACCAATATTTTAGCATTTTCAATTCTTCTTTTACATCCAATAGTAATTTATTTTTTAAGAATGAATCCATCATCTAAATAAGAATCTCTAATAGTTCCTCCTGGAATTTTAATAATTTAAATGTAATCTAAATTAGATGATCCTTTCAATCTCAAAACTGCTTTGACACATAAATCAGCAAAATAATCTCTATCTGTGGTGATTAATTTAGAACTTAAAGTAGTTCTAGCAATTTTGAGTAAATCATTATGAAATTCTTATGATTCAATATCATTTTCGGTTGCTAAAATAAATATATAATAATAATTACAAATATCTCTTAATCTCTTTAATGCAACATCTCTTGCTATTCTCCATCCTGCTATAACTTATTATGGATGAATTCTTTTTTAAATTAATTTTTCTCCTTCTCTTAATAATTCACCTGCTAATACTGCTACTGTTGTTGTTCCATCTCCTACTTCCTCATCTTAAGTCTTGCTTATTTCAATTAGAATTTTAGCTGCTGGATTCTCAACATACATAGATTTTAAAATTGTTGCACCGTCATTAGTAACAGTAATATGAGTCATTTCTTAACCAGGTCCTGTTGGTTTTAATATTTTATCCTATCTATTAATAATCAATATTATACCATTCCTTTTGGTCCTAATGTTGTTTTTACTAAATCAGCCACTGCTATTGCGCCTACAAAACTTTACTTTTATTTTTAAATATTAATATTACCAATCTGGCCATCTCACCTTTATCTTCTGTTGCTTCATCCTTTAAAACTTATGGTAACACGTTCTAATAATTATAAAATTCATTACTCCTACAATATCCATTATTTATGGTCAATTAAAAAAAGAAAATTTTAATCAAATATAAAATGATCATCAAAGAACAAAAAATTAAACTTTTTCTCTAATTCTTAAGATCCTCTAATTATAACTAAACATTTTAAAAATTACAACAGCAATCCAAAATTTAACTAGATCCACAAAACTTGCTAAATATCACCTCAGCTATCAAATCTTATAACTATACAGAATTAGAGTCAATTTTACAATTATATGTTAATGATCAAACTAAAAATCAATGCATGTTACTCTTATTAGAACAATATTTAATCAAACTACTCTTAACACAAAATTATTAAGAAGCGCTCTTATTATTAAGAAATTAGATATCGAGATTTTGTTAAGGTATAGAATTTAAGAATTATACTTAGATGAATAATAGAAGCATTCATATAGTTCATTGATTTTTAGTCAAGATCTTAAATTAAAAGCAGAATAATAACTTATTGATGAAATTCTTTCTCTTTGTTTTCAATAGCTTGGACTATTCAAACCTAATAGATTAATAACTTTAATTTAATAAGCTAAATCAAATCAAGTTTTAGAATGCAAATGGCATTAACACATATAATAAAATTATTAAATCTATCAAAAACATACCTGCATCTAGTAATTTTAATATAAAATCAAATCTAAAAATGTGTCCATTTGTGCTTTTTCTAATAATGGAGAATATTAAGCTTAAGTTATTGGCAAATCAATCACTATTTATTAGATTAATTAAATTGAATCAATTAAAAAAATTGAAAAATTAGAATAAGTTCATACTAAAAAAATTACTAATTTGCTCTTTTCTCCTTGTAGCAAATATATTGGTAGTTGCTCAGAGGATTAAACAATTTTCATTTATAATTTTATCAACAAAAAGAAATATAGACTATAAGGTCATAATTCAATTGTTTAATCTTTTAATTTTGTTTAATGTGATTCTTCAAAAAAGAAACAAAAAAATGAATATGATATTTATTCAATAGCAACTGATGGATGGTTATATGAATGGAATGAAAATGAAAGGAAAGGTGGACTTAAAATTGAAGAAAAACTTATTGATATTCATATTAATCATAAGAAAGAATAAATGCTTATTATTAGTTAAAATAATATTACATTATATCATTTATACACAAAGAATTAAATAAAGTAAAAAAGTACAGAAAATTAGATAAATATTAATTCTCAGGTTAATAAATAGTTTGAGCAATTAATAGTATATGTAAATGATTATTTACCTTAATTAATCTTGTTTAGTATTGAGAGTCTTGAAATAATAAAAATCTTTGGGATTCATTAAGATAATTCTATAAAATCTTTTAAGTATGATTTGGGATGGTTTAATGATTATTTGATAGCTGCAGGAACAGATTCTGGTTAATTAATTTTATGGCATATATAAAAATCAAATTAACCTATTGAGATACTTCAAGTATATTAATTAATTGGTATTTATTAATTTAGGTTTCGGAATAAAATAAAGCAATTTCTAGTTTGAGATTTAATCCAATAAATTAGGAATTATAAATTTATATTGAGTAAAAAGTTAAGACTTCGAATGCACAATTAGAAAGATAATAAATATAAGAGAATTTGATAGATCTATTTTCATAATCTTAAGATAGATTATCATTTTCTAGACAGTAAAGCGGAGTTACATAGATTTTAAATTTTTTATAAAGAATAGCTCGTTCAGATACGATGAATAATAGAGATTAAATATAAGATGAGGATTAAGAAAAAAGTGATGAAGATTTATGAAAATAAATTCATTTATAATTTATTTATTTAAATAAAAATATGTTTTTTAATAATAGTGATCAAAACTTTTAAGGGAATACTCCTTTAGGATATTAATTTGGTGGAGCTTTCACTTTTGGTTAATCTGATAGAACAGATTGGGTGAAAAGAGATGATTAAATTGAATCTAAAACAGAATAAGTTTTAGATTGTAAAAAATTCAAAGATACTTAAACTCAAGCTGAGAAATTTAGACAAACTAAATAAAAAACATCAAGATCAAATTTTTCTAGAGATGACAGAATCAAACCAATAAAATCACCTAATCCACCTGTTGGAAAATATAATCTTCATAAGTAACTTATATTGGATGAAGAAAATATAAAGAATATTTAAGATAAAGCATAATAAGAGAAAAAGAAGGCTTAATTTACAATTTAAACATCTTTAGGAAAAATAAAACCAAATGGAGAAATAGATACTCATCCAACCTGGGTGAATGGAAAAGATTAATAATTTAGAGAAGATCCTATAGGGTATAATATATATATATATAAAAGTCCTGGTTCATATAATCCAAACATTCCTGGAAGATCTTAAGTTCCAATTTCATTTGGATACAAAGAAACCTTTAATTGGACAAAAGATGGACCTTCACCTGATAAATATTACAATTCAGAAACATTCAGTTAATTTAGAACAACAACAAGTTGGTAAGATACAAAACATAGAAAAAATGGATTTGGTTCAGCACCTAAAAATGTATGGCCAAAATCAATAGATCTTGGTCCTGGATAATATTAACCTAATGAACTTGCTAAAGGTTTAACAATATCATTTCCAAAAAGTGAAAGATAATATTATAAAGCAACTGATATTCCTGGACCTGGTACTTATGCACCTAAAAATGTTAATGTTAAAAAAGCTTTTAGTATTGGTCATAAATATATTCCATTTAAAACATCAGAATTTTATGTTCCTGGTCCTGGAAGTAATTTATTAATATTTAAATATTTATAGCTTATAATTAAAAATTACCATCAAACAGTAAATTAATATCAATGCCTAAAGATAAAAGATAAGATCTTGTTACTAGAGAATCTACTCTTAAACCAGGACCTGGTTAATATATATAAAATACAGATACTATTAAATCTAAAGATGTTCCTATTGAAAATTAACATGGTTTTGGTGTAGCCAAAAGATATGAATTAGCAGATGATGATAATTTATAAATTCCAGAAAAATCTGAATAATAAAAATAAGAAGAAAGAGAAATTATTGGATTTTCAACTTTAGGTGGTCCTAAATATTCTATGAGATAAAAAAATGAAAAATAAACTATTAATTAAAATCCATCACCTGGTAAATATGAACCTGATTACGATTACAAATATGGTCAATAATCTAATTATAAACCTCCTTATCATTATACAATTCCCAAAACTGCTGTTCCATCTATGGGATTAAGTAATAGAAGTGATCCAACTATCTCTAAATTTAAAGAAATAGGTCCTGGAAGTTATACTGCTTTACCATCATAATCTGGTCCTAGAGTTAGGTATATATTTATATATATTCTAATAATTTTAGTATGCCTAAAGCTGCTAGATTTCCTATTAGAGAACCAGAAGATGTAGGTCCTGGATCATATAAAATTGGAACAACTATTGGATTAATACCTAAATATCATTTTGAAAAATAGAAAGACTAATTAGAAACTTCATTAACCCAATTTGATAAATTTCATAAATGAAATATATCATTTATTATATAAATGCATAACACTAAGTTATGTTAGCTATAGCTATTTAATATAATATTTTGGGTTGATTTATAATCTAAATTCAGTTTTCAATGTGATCTAAGAAATTTTAATAGGTTGACATCTAAGATTGCTTTTAGTATTTTATTAATTAGGTTTTTAACCAATCTTCATCAAATTCTCTTGTTTTATATCGAGATATTTCAATTCTTAATGAAGATACCTAATATTAATGATATTCTTACAATTTTATTTAATCTCATAATTTCGTTTTTATATGATTATATAAAATCTGAATTTTTCTCATCAATTGAATTCAATTTGGAATCAGAAGCTGTTCTAATTGATGCAGATCTAAGCAGTTCTGTTTATGTTTATTCAAACCTTGATATATAAATATACAATACTTTGACTATAATCTATTTAATTCTTCCTTATTAAAATAAAGTTCTTCCTTTATTTTTTAATTTTCATTCTTTAATTCTTCCATAAATTACTAAGTCTCGAATTCTTCTAATGGATCTTTATAAATTCTTGATTAACAATTTTTTGAAGAATTCATTTTTTTAGCACTTGCTTATGACATACATTCTCTTTCATTCTAAATATTTTGCATTAATTATATATTTTATTAGTGTAATCTCTCGAATTTAGCTTAAAGTAATTAATATTTATTTTGCAAATCATAATGAACCTCTTCAAATTAATAATATCGTTATAATAACTCTTCTAATGCAATACATTTAGAAGCTAGTTTAGCTTAAGGTAATTTCATTAGAGTCTTAAAAGTTGCCATATATTTATTTTATAATTATTTTTATTATAATTTTAGACTTGTTGATTGACTTATTTTATTTTTCAAAATAAATCTTTATTTATAAATATCTCTCTTTCAAAACCCACCTCTTTAAGTTCTTCACATTAACTTTTTGTTATTTGATAAAAAAATAATCTAATCATTAAACTAAAGTTAAAATAATATCAATTTAGAATTAGATTACGTTAAAAGGTGAGAAAAAAAAAATTAAAATGAATATATGATTTTAATATTGACTTTGTATTATTAGTTTTTTCCCTTTTAAAATAATTTGTATTCAAAAAATATTTATATAATTAAAGAAATTTCAGATTTAATTAGATTCAAAGAATTTTTTTCTAAATGATTATTATAAGTTTGTTTTTAAGTATCTACTAAACAAATAAAATCTTATTTATTTTGGAGATTGTTTTTTATATTAATTTATTTACTTAAACTAATTAAATTATTACACCCATTTAATAAGAAATAGTCTATATTTAATTTTTTACTCCATTACTATATAAAACATCTTCAATTGGAAATTTTCATTTAAAAAAGATAAAATTTTGCTAAAAGTCATTGTTTATAAAGGATTAAGATATCTGTAAGCAACGATTTTTATGGGCCTTTTATTATAAACTTATATAATATTATCGATAATATTAAATTTTATTAAATTATGATTATAGTGGTTCTCTTGATTTTATTATAATCTGTAAGATGTTAAGTATTATGATGTATTTAATTACTAATTAATTATTATAATGTCTATTATAGCTAAAAATTATATGGAAATAGTGGAAGAAAGCAGCTGCTTACAGAAGAAAAGTATTCGAAAACCAAAAAGAAGGAATTAATATACAGTGGAATTTAAATTTGGATCAAATATTAATACAGATAAACTTAGAAACTATGTAGAAGTCTATTTCAACATTCCTGCGTCAATTGCTGAAAAATAAGTTATAAGACTTTATTCAAACATTTAATTTCCAAATGATTACAAATAATAAGCTAAATTAGGTTGTTTGTCAGTTGATCCTCACTCTTATAACTATAAAGTAATTAGAATTGATAAAAAAAATAATTTAACTATATTCACTCTAGAAACAATTGATAATCCCTTTACACCATTTGATGAATTTTTAAAAAAGATTCAATAATGTAATCCAAGACTTGCATAAAGTTTTTAAGCCTTTAATTAAAGGAATTTAGATTCAAATACTTATAAGTAAACGAAAGAAAAAATTATAGAAGACTTTGAATTATAATTAGAATAGCCATTCACTTGTTATTTATATAAATTAAAAAATGGTGTATGTACAACTATTTAAAGAGTTATTAATGATAAATTTATGGATTTATTAGGAATAAGTTATCTGATGTTAGAAGATCATGTGTTGTAAACAAATATATTACCATTCTCAACATATATTGATCCTAATGATGATGTTTGTGAAATCATTTCTGGTTTTTTTGAAGGAAATTTAAAATAAGATATTAGAACAAGAGAAGTCATGAATTATAATGGTTAAATATTTCATTGTAGAGTTTAGAATATAAGTTTTTTTACTTTTAATGATGAAGAGAATGCATATTATGAATATGCCTATTACATTTATGATTGTGATCCAAGATGGTTGACCAAATAGAGAGTTTAAAGAAATTAATAAGAATATTTTAATGAAAAATGGATTAATCAAGACAAGTTAAGAACTAGATTAGTATCTGAAGATTCCTAATCAATTTTATCTAATAGAAATTGTGGATTTAAATAATTAAACTTTTGATATGTGAATAAATCTGAAAATTAAACTGATTTTCAGAATCTTTTTCATATCGTATATTTAAATATTATTTATATAATTTTTTCTTTCAAAAAAGACTTGATCAGAATTTTATTAATTTATTAAATTATATAATTCTAAATGGGATTTATCTTACAACAAAAATATCATTAATACATTTTTCATGTTATTTTGCTATTATTTTAAAATAACATAAAATATCTAAATTTAATTATTAAGTATTGATAAACTTTAATTATAATTTGAATTTTTTTTTAATCTTTTTTAACTATGAATTGCAATATCATTTAATTAAGCCCTATCATAAACCTAAATTATTGATATTTTAGAGACAGATTTTTTTATTTTTTTTTGAACAAAATTATAGAATAAATGAGTAATGCTTTCAATTAGCAAAATGATATTTCACTTAAATAGGTTGGTACCACCAAAAAAATAAAGAAATTGAAGTCGAAAACAAAAAATAAGAAATTAGCTAATGATTAGAAAATATCTCATTTATCCAAAGATGAAGCTAAATATATTTTTGAGTTCACTAGCTCTTAAGACATATAAAAAAAGCAATAAAAACAAAAATAGAAATCAGATATATAGAGTCTTCGTATAATGGGCTATTTGGATAGAGATGTATTTAGTAATTTTTTCAAAATTATTACAATACAACAATAAAAACATGAATTGATTGTAAAATGTCTGCCTTTTAATGAAACAAATTTGTTTGATATCAAGAGAGACTTTCCATTTTATATAAATTTAGATTAGGCATCGACTAATATAAATAGTTATGATTCACAAAGAACTTTAGAATTAATAAAATAGAAGGAAGTTCCTTAAGAAAAATTTGAATTCATTATAAATCCTAACCAAGATATTATTGGTTGTAATCGAATAGTCAATAAATCCTGGCTGAAGATGTTTGGTATCAATCAAGACATGATAATTCATAATCTACTTAGAAATCAGTCATTTCCATTTGGATGGGACTTGGAAAATTAATTTATATAAAACTAGATTTCTAATACTTTTTCTAATTAAAAGTTGATAGTTAAGTTGGTCTGTTATAATGGTTTGAAATTCAATGCCCAAATGTTAGTGAGAGCAGAGATTGAAACTAACTCAAAAAATCAATTTATATAAAGATATACAATTTAGTATATAATAAGCAGAGAGCAATTGAGCCTTTCAAAAATTGAATAAAATTTTAGATAATACTTTGACTTGAAAGATCTTTCATAAGAGTTGAGAGGGAAATTTATTGAAAAAACTAATAAATATTGCCAAATAAAGAGATTATGATAATATTAAATTTTATTTGATATAAATTTATAGACGAAATTTTATTAGAGAATATAATTACTTATTATAATATTAAATTAATTAAAATAATAACATAAAAAAATATTGAATAAGAAATTAAATATGGCGAAAATATATAGATTAAAATGGAATGAAGAATAGATTTAATTTATTCTAAAGATAATATGATAGACATACAGTTTATATACAGAATAAATAAATAGATAAATTTAATTAAATAATTTAAATAATTCAACAATCATTCCAATAATTAGGATCATTTTATTTGATTTATATGGTTTAATCTTTGAATTATTTTTATAAATTATTTTAATATTGGCAATCCAGAGTAATAAGTTGACCATCTTAATTTTGATTAATCTAAACTCCTCTAGATTTTTGATACATATGAACAATATGTAATTAATGCATATGATGTCTTCCTTCATTTTCAAATTATCTAATATTTTGAGAATGAAATACCCAGGATAACAAAAATTGCTAGCCATTTCTAGATCCGTTTGAACAACTTAAAGATTAGGATCATTAAAATTTTATAATTTGATTTCCTTATTGATATTTTAAAGAATTTATTAACTTGTCTAATATTATCCTTATTCTGCTTAGATTCTAGCTTATTCAAAACATTCTGCACCCTTAACTCTATAATAATTGGGCAGAACTTCATTTGATAAATCTGAATTATTAATTTAAAGAATTTATTCAATAGTAACTTTATCTCCTCCTTCAACAGGATCAGCTTATAAAAGAACTCTAACTTCTTATTTAACATTATTTTTATAATCTGAAATTTCAAAGATATAATCTTTTCTAACACCAGATAAGAGATGTGGTTAATAAAGTGTAAATGCACCTTTCCAAGAATCATAATTCCATTTATCTCCATAAGCTTTTTTAATTTATATTTTATTAGTATTCATAGGTTAAACAGATAATTGAACATGATTAGCAACAACAGAAACTAAACCACCTAAAGCTTCAGCAAAACATTCATCAATATTAGTAAGATTAGGAACAAAATAAAATTATCCTTCTTTATAATGTGCAATTTCTGACATTATTTTAGGACAACAATCTCTTCCAAATCCAAATGTTTTTATTGTAAAAGAATCACGTATATTATATTATATTAAATCATCTCTTACTCTTTCTTCTGCACCTTCATCAACTCCATCAGATAATAAAAATATAGCTGAAATAGGATTCTTATATTTTCTATGTTTTAATATAGATAATGCCATTTTCATACCATTTCCTATATCAGTTCCTCCTCTTGCTTATAGTGATGATATAGCAACTCTAAATTTTCTAACATTTTCTTAAGTTACTCTCATTAATCTTGTTAATCTATAACATCTACAATCAAACATTATTAAACATAATCTATCTACTGGCTATAAAAATGTTAGCATTTGCTTTAAAGTTTTTCTGACTAACTTGATTTTCTCTCCTTACATACTACCACTATGATCAATTAAACAAACCTAAATTACATAATATAATTACTAAATCTATTCCTTATCTTACGCATTCTTATCCTCTCTAATTTATTAATAAAATATCATTGCTTTAAATTGTTATCATTAAAGCAACATTACCTTAATTTCTCAATCCCTAAATTATTATAGAATTGCTTATACCTAAGAGGATGCTTTTATACTTATGTTATCTTAAAGATTATATTTCTAAGCTTACATATAACCTTATCCTAAAGAATTTCTTCCATATTTTAACCTATTATTATTGCCTTAATACACTGTCTAAAATTTATAGAATAATGTTTACAATCATATCATCATCATTAAATCGACTAGGGTTTTAACCTACTATTGGAACTCTTCCTTCAACAAACACTTCATCTTAAACTGAAATATTTGGAGCAAATTATTGTCCCTAAAAATCATCTACACCTGTACATTAGTTTCCCATTTTTATATTCAGAGATTATTAATATAAAATATCTCAAAATTAATATCTTTTACAATTGAAACAAATATTATTACACTTTGTATCAATTCATAATCTTCTAATTATACTAAATAAAACTTTTTTCCTTTTTATTTTATATTTATACAATTAAACCTATTTAATTCCATACTAATCACATTTATCTTTATCTTAATTTCATTACCATATTTTATTTTCTTTAAACTATCTTTCTAACACATTCTTTTATTAAGAAATAAAACATCTTCTAATTAGACAGCAAATTTCTATCTAACCAGTTTAAACTAAATCTTAATATTTATTATCCTTTAAATTTTTTTTTTTCTATCTACATACTTAAAAAAAAATAAAAAAATTTTAAATCTTAAATCTAATTTAAATTTTAAATAAAAATTAAATGATATCTGAATTAATTTAAATTATCCTCATTTATAAAATAAAGACAAACAAAAATTAAATTATCATTCAAATGTAGAATTAAGAAATTAATATAATTTTCAGAAAAAGTTAAAAAAGAAAAGTCATCCTTTTTGAAGAAAAAAGACAATTTAGAATAAATAAAAAATATAGCATAAATTCCAGAAGAGTAAAATATTACAAAAAATAAAGAAAAATTATCAAATAAAAACAAATCAATTGAATTATATCATAAAAAATGATATTAGTTTTCAAGAAAATCTAAGAGTAAAATAAATAAAAAAACGAATAAAAACATATAAAAGAGACAAAAATGTAGGATGATAATAATTACGATATAAAAAAATTAGAAATCTTTAACTTAATTAAGAAACCTTAAAATTTTATTTTATCTATGTATAGTTTAACTAAAAAAATCAAAAAAATTTATTTTTGAGAATTTACTTCAAAAAATAGAATTCTCAATTTTAAAAAAAGTGAAAAAAAATAAGAATCTTAAAATCTATAAAAAAAAATTTCAATATTAATATTGAAAAAATAAAATATCATAATTTTAATGCTTCTTTTGGGATTGTTATTAATTTTGGACTCATGAGTTCAAATTTCAAAGCGAATTCTGTAAATCTTGTACATAAAAACATTTCATTCTAGTCATATAACTTTATAATTTACTTCGAAATCTTCAAAAATTTCCTTNTTATATCCAATATTTTCATTTATCATTTGAATAATTAATTATTAAAACTCCATCTATTAACTAAAAATCAAATTGAAAAAACATAAAACACAACAGTAAAATAAAGACAAACAAAAATTAAATTATCATTCAAATGTAGAATTAAGAAATTAATATAATTTTCAGAAAAAGTTAAAAAAGAAAAGTCATCCTTTTTGAAGAAAAAAGACAATTTAGAATAAATAAAAAATATAGCATAAATTCCAGAAGAGTAAAATATTACAAAAAATAAAGAAAAATTATCAAATAAAAACAAATCAATTGAATTATATCATAAAAAATGATATTAGTTTTCAAGAAAATCTAAGAGTAAAATAAATAAAAAAACGAATAAAAACATATAAAAGAGACAAAAATGTAGGATGATAATAATTACGATATAAAAAAATTAGAAATCTTTAACTTAATTAAGAAACCTTAAAATTTTATTTTATCTATGTATAGTTTAACTAAAAAAATCAAAAAAATTTATTTTTGAGAATTTACTTCAAAAAATAGAATTCTCAATTTTAAAAAAAGTGAAAAAAAATAAGAATCTTAAAATCTATAAAAAAAAATTTCAATATTAATATTGAAAAAATAAAATATCATAATTTTAATGCTTCTTTTGGGATTGTTATTAATTTTGGACTCATGAGTTCAAATTTCAAAGCGAATTCTGTAAATCTTGTACATAAAAACATTTCATTCTAGTCATATAACTTTATAATTTACTTCGAAATCTTCAAAAATTTCCTTATGATTAAAATACGTATGAGAGAATAATCTATAAAGTCTTCTAACTATAAAGGCAAAATTATTTGTAGCATTTTGAGGATTAATAGAAACTCTAAATAATATGAAAATAAATAACCTTGATGGGTATGTTTTAATATTAGTTAAAATAGATGTACTTTAATCTAAATTATGTATCATGTAATCAATTGCAGAACATTCTTATGCTTTTTTATGTGCAGCACACAAATAGAGCCAATCTTCAGTGGCTTTCATTTTAGGACATGTTTAAGCTGTGCATAGTCCTTTTAATTATGTAACTAAAAGATTTAATTCTAAAATGAATTATCTTAAATGTTCATATTGCCAAACATGAATATCAACTTCAGGTGGTGGAGTAATAATTTATTTAATATTTGATGAATCAGCCCCTAATTTAAGAAAAGTTCGATTACTTATTAATTCTTAAATATATTCTTATACTGCTAAAGGTCCATTCATTTAAGAAATATCTTCAACATCCCCTATAATTGAAATAAATATGATACATGCCCATAGAAATTCAGCTTTAGTTCCTATTCTATTTCTACGCATTTTTGAATTTCAAATATAAATTTATATATATTAATGATGATAATTATAAATCAATATTTTTTAGATCTATTTTTTTTAGGTGTTCTTGATCTTTCATGTCTATCATGTTTATCTATCTTATCAAATTTATCTGGTTTTTCACAGGTAATAGCTATTTATTTTACAAAATATGCCAATTAAACAGACAATTCATCTTCTTTTTATATTGGAAACACTTTAACAGCAGTATTCAAGAGATATAAATCTCTTTAATGTTCTTTCTTATATTATTTATAGAGATCTTAAATATCCTTTACTTATTTTCTAAAAATATCAGAAATAAACTTAGATTTAAATATTAAGGCTTCACCAGTGCAATGATACTAATTTTACAACAATTTTTCATTGCTAGATTAATTATTATATTATTCATATAAATTTTCAACTTAAAATTTAAAACCAAAATCAACGACTTTATCATCAACAGGTATAAATATTCCACCTAAATCAATTGGATATACATCTTTGGTTTGTCGTTTAATTTCCTAAGCTGAATTAAATATTGTGTCTTTAGAATTATCACATTTCTCAGCATATTATAGTCTCTATTTTCTATATGCTTCAGTTAATTAAGTAATTTTATGCACATAAATTTACATAGTGTGCTCATTAAAACCATAATTAAAATAATCTGTAATATTGGAATGCCATTTATGAGATTTTCTTGGTTATCTCTAAGGATTATTAGCATTATTAATCCACTCTTAATATTCTTTAAATGCATCATAAAATGATAATGAAAAGGTTTCTGGCTTTGTTAATTTGTATTACTTAAGTTTATTATAATCACTCATATTAATATTAATATTAATATTAATATTTAATTAATATTCTGCTATTATAAATCAAAAAAACTCTTCTATCCAAATATTAACAGGTAAATAACATCTCAATTAAAAAACACATAAAACTATTTATTTATATCATAATTAGTTGTTTTTAGCAATCCTATTTCTTTAGTATTGTTTTTTTGATCCAAATTTCTTATATTTTTAGTTGAATTCAATCTTTCTTTTTCTTTCATCTTAATTCTTCCTATTATATTCATTATTATTTTAATAGATACAAATTCAAAATAAAATTTAGAATTTTTAAAGTAAACTTATAATTTTTTATTAGATTGTTTCTTTTGAATATTTCTCATTATTTATTAATAGATTGAAAATTTTTAATAATTATTGTTCGAAAATAGATAAACAACTAATTCTACAAAATATGATAATAATAAAGTTTGTGGATTCTAAAAAATAATAAAAGGTTGCATAAGTTAATATTTTACATAGATTTATGAGTGAAATAGTATCATTATGAATAATTGTGAATCGATTTTAAACCTTTAACTTAATTAATAAGCAAAGATCAAAATATATTCGATTATTTAATTTAGATCATTAGCGAATCGAGTATCTCATCAAATGAAATCTTCGAGTAGAGATGATCATATTGAATAAATGTCACTAAACTTTATAAGAATATTGAATTTAATTAATAAAAATATGGTTTAAAATAAATTAATTATAATGTGACTTTTATATAAAAAAGAAAAATCATTCTCATTTTTGGTTTTGGTTAATTTTTTAATCTAAATCTCTTTTTTCTAAAATATCTTTAATAACTCTTATTCTTTCAGCAATATCTTAGCCTTAAATTTCAAATCTAAATTAATATAAATATTACTTAATATCATTTTAACTTTGACATTCAAAAATACAAGTTTCAAAAAACTATATAAAAAATAAGGGAGCTTAAGTTTTAAAATCTTCATAGGAGTATTCATCAGAATAGGGCTTAATACCATCTGATCTTTATTTCCATATAAGAGAAAAAAGTCCCTTATTTAAATTAGCTTATAATTTAATAGTTTCTAATTTGTCATTATTGTTGGCTGATTTTTCTTTAGCTTTTCTTAAAATTAGAATAGTAATATTTACTTAGAAATTTCAGGTATAATATTTAATGTTTAAGTATTAGTTTTTTCTTAATGTATATCACAATTAATTTAAGAGTTTTTAGGATTGTCTAAAATTTCAATGTGTTTGGTATCAATTTTATCAATTTTTTTATCTTTTTTGTTTATTTCATTTTGAGGTATTAATTTTGGTATAGCTACTCTTTTGATAGCAGTTCTAGGTTATGATTAAACAGTTAATTATCTAATTTCTTCTAGTTTTTTTTCATCATATCTTTCACCTGTTAATGAGAAATAATTATAATCTTCAATAAGTTCTTTATATTTTTTCATATTATCATCTGATTCCCAAGTAGTTTCTTCAAATCCTTTCCATTTAACTTAGTATTTAATTTAGCCATTTAAGATATTCTTTTTCATGATTTTCTCAGGTTCTTTCATCATTTTTATTATTTAGGTAGAGAAATAATTGATCAGAGTCTTAAATATGTAAAATATCACCAGGCAAAAATTTAATGTAATATAAAAAATAATATTATATTAGAAATAGAAATGAATTTTAGAGAATTAAAAAAAATAGAATAAACTTATAGAAAGAGCAATAATAAAAATAGTAAATGAAAATAATAGAATGTATAAATGTTTTTAAACTTTGTGAAATATAAATTATGAATTTTCAAACAACAACAACATTAGTATCATAAACTCCGCAAGTATTACCACCTCTGGCTAAATAGATATAACCTCTATCTCCCCATCCAGTTCCCCATGAATTTTTAATTTTGAATGAATCTTTATCATAACCAACAGCTAAGACTGCATGATTTAAATTCTTTTCACAATTATCAAAGACTCTTTAGGTTTCTGGATTATAATATTACCAATTTGAGGCATCAACTCCGACTGAAACTGGTCCAGCATTAAGATATGTAATTAAAGCTGCTTCTGTAGCTTCTAATTAAACAGCTCCCTTAATATGATAAGCACCTCCTTTAATTCTACAAGATCCTTAAACAGCAGTCTAAATATTAATATAAATATAATACATATGGATAAGCAGCTTCAGTAGTTATACCACTTCTCTTGACATATTATAAAGCTCTATATGGAAGACCACCATTACAACCAAGATTGAAATCTTAGAAAGTTGAACAATCTAATAATTATTATTCTGATAAATTTGGTAATTCTCCAGTTGTTGTAAAGAAGAAACCTTCTAATACTCCTGTGGTACCAAAAGTCCAACATGAACCACATTAACCTTAATCTTTTATATCTGTGACTGCTCCTTCTTTTGTCCAATCAATTTTATCAGCAGCCTTTATATTCTTAGCTGGAACTCTTTCCATATTCAAATCTTCCTCTGTTACTTTCAATGTTAAATATGTTTCTGCAAATTCTTCTCTTGTTAAATCAAAAAAGATTGTTTCACCAAATACTTTTCTACCTTCTTACAAGTTTACTGATTCAGCATATAACATATTTTATGTATATACAGCCATTCTATAAGCATCTTCAGTTTAAGAATATCTCTTTCCAAATTTTTATTTGAATGTTTAATATTTTTATGCAAAATCAAGTGATTCTGGTTAATTTACCATCATCAATGTTCCAAGAAGAGCAATTGTGCCTAATGCTAATAATGTCTTTGACATTTTATTATTTTTATCATTAAAATCAATCTCTCATCACTTATGAACTCAATTTCTTTGATGTCATTTATAAATTAACTTTTACGTCACAGTTTAATTTCTTAATCGTAATTAATTATTCTATATAGAATTATTAACATTATATTTTAATTCTATAAAATATTTATATATATATTATCATTCCAAATTATTATTATTTCTAAAAATTTCTTATATATATCATTCTTAAATACTCTTTTCCTACACTTCTTTATCATCTTACTATTTTTTAACAAAAATTTTCTCTCAAACCAAAATAACATCTAAAAAAAATCTATAGTTGAGAAATTAATTGTTATTTTAAAACTAAATTAATGAATTCATCATCTAATATATAGTTCTATATAATCTAATCACATAAATTCTTAACTTTATTAAAGATAGGCTAAATTATCTTTTTCTAAATCTATTTAATTTTCACAAAAATCACAAATTTAGACCAATTTATCAAAATATTTTCACTCTAGATTGTTTGCACTCTAAAATATTCAAAAAAAAATATCAACAACATTTAAGAATATATTATATATATCTACTAATACCTTTCCAGATAATTAAATAAATTAAGTTATCTAAAATTTTATTCGAAGATAAATATTTTCTTGTTTTCTTAAATTAACTATTCATACCCTATTTATAAAAAGTAAATTAATCATTTATGTATTTAAATAGATTTTTTTTTAAGAAATTATCCACTCTTAAGCATTTGTAGCATATATTTGAAATTATGCCATTTAAGTTATATATTAAGTTTATTCCTATAACTTTAATAGAGTTATGAGATACTAAATAATATATATATTAATTCATAAATAATTTTATGAATTTTGAAGCTGTATGCTTGAAACTATCATCAAAACATTTTGATGAACTTATTATTTAAGAATTATTAAGTGAGGGAGACAAATCAAAATTAGATTATGTTAAATAAGTATGGGAACCTGCAGAAGTATCAACATCAGTTTCAATCGAATCATCCGAAAGTTGTGGATATGCAAAAAAAATACGATTAAAAAATCATATAGACAAATACCTTGATAGTTCATTACATTCATCAATGATTAAGAGATTAAGAGAAATATAATGAACTAAAATTTATAATTAATTTTGCATAATAAATTCATAATTAATTACATCCTATCTCCATTTAGATTATTTTTATATTAAGCTCCCACTTATTTTTATTTGTTGTCTGATTATTTCAATAATCTTTCTATTACAATATATATCAATTCATTCCAAAAAAATATAAATTTTTTTAATTTTCTAAATTTAAAAATATAAATTTAACCAATCATTATTTTAATCATTCTCTTTTAAAATTATCAGATTATTAAAGAATAAATTATATTACAATATTATTTAAAGCTGTCTTAAACATTTTTATACCCATTATGAAGAATTATAGGATGCAATTCAACTTTGCTATATAATCCTAAAACAACTGCATCTTTATTCTCAATATATTTAGGATGTTTATAATTTATTAATTAATAAAATCCATCTATCGGATTTCTACTAAAATCAAACAAAGGAACCCAATCCTTCTTTTTTAACTATAAAAAAACATACATTTTAAACTATTTCTTATTCAATTAATGGAAGATTATAAAATGTCTCAATAAATAGATAATGAAGAATTGATACAAATATTTTCAAAGCTTCTTTATAATTTGGCATCCTCATCCAAAATTCTCCTCCTACAATTAATGGAAGAAGTAATTAAATATACGAATATTCCATAATTATCATTTATGTTTATTTATGATTTAAGATGCTATTAATATCATATTCAATTTTTACTTTAAAGTATTATTTGGTCTGATTTTTATCCTATTTATAACAAATCTACTATGTCCAGCCAACAAATAACCTTTTTTTAAGGAAAATTGTTAAATAAATTAGATATGTTCTTTTGAAAAATCTAAGGATTGAACAATTAGATTTTTAAAAAAGATTTCCAAAACTATTAAAATATTATGACATTTAATCTGGATATCAGATTGTGACTTGAAAACCCAAGATTTGTCAACTAATTTTTTAATTAAGCATTCTTTATAAAATTTATCCATTATCAATTAATAATTCTCTAATTAAATAAGAGAAAAATTACAAACTATTGATCATATTAACCAATTAACTCTTGTGACCAATCTTTAAATATCATATATTTTTAATGCCAGATTCTTTTACAGTATTTTAAAAATGTTAAAGACAACCAAATGCTTCTAGACACAGCTCTAAATTTTCTCAATAGATTTCTTTTATTTAGCTCATGTATATTATTAGTTAAGTTGTATTTTTAAGGTTATACTTTATAAATGTTATCAAGATCTTAAATTTAATTATGATTACGAAATTTTCTAAGTTATTATTTATTTTTTGTTTATCTAGAAATTAACTGTTGAGAATTTGATGCTATTCTTTCTGAAGATAATGGAGGAGATGCTTCAGTTTTAATAATAGGCTGTTTAGAGTTTTTATATTTAGATGATTTCTAAGTACTAAGCGATTTTTTCCTTGGTTTTAGTTGTATATTTTAATCTTAACTTTCTGACTCATAAATAGACTAGCTTTTCTTTATTCTATTTTTTTAATCATGGTGTTAATTTTTACTATTTTATTCAGATTTTTCGTAATTAGGTTATTCAAATTATAATGATTACAAAGGAGGTAGATGAGATTTATTGTAATTTTTTAAATTAGAGTTTGTATATGTTTATTTTTTCTAAAAATTTGTAAATTGCTGTTTTAATTCATATATTTCATTTAGAATTTCTTGGTTGTATTATTTAAAATTGGAGCCCTAAAGTTAGAAATAATGTTCATTAAACTTTTATTACTATTGTTTCCGAGAATCATCAATCGTTTTGATTAAGTTAATGATTTTTTAATTTTGCTCATTCAACTATGTAGTTAATTTCATAATTTATGAATCATTCAATTAAAATGATTGTGTTTAGTTTGATAAATAGTTTAAATTTAAGTTATTTTGTGCCTTTTAGTGTACATAAAAATTTTGTTTATTCATCCGAGTTAACTAAAATAAAATAAAATTTATATTATGTTTATCTATAATCAAACTCATTGAATTGAGTTCAAAACTAAGTGCTACGAGCAACTTCTTCTAAAACTTCTTTAGCAGGACATTAATTTAAATGTTTTGGATCAAACTCTTTTCGATACTCACTATTATATTATCCATTATAAGATGGATTTAATTTAGACTTTAAAATATTTTATTTTATTACATCTTAATTTCCTTTAGCACTTTAAGTTTTTTCTGGCTTGTATGGTTTATATGATGATTTTGAAATTGATTCTGCATAAAATTTTAAATCTGGGGGTGATAAAGGTGATCTAAATTTATTTTAGATTATTTACTTTAAGGCTTTGTTCATATTTTTACAACTTTATACTGGAACAGTTTACGTTCCTTAATAACTATCCTTATAAATGCTTTTCCCCATAAATGGCATTTCTTTAATGACAGTAGGATTATTTTATGGTAATAATTGAGGTGTATCTCCCATTCCCCAATTTAAATACATATTATTGTATGTTGAAATTCCAGAAAAAGGAACATCATTAACTGTAGGCTTTGAAGAGTTCTTTTATAATTCTACCTTACTATTATAGCCTGGAAAATCATGCTAAAATCATATATTCCCCCCTACTTACTTTATAAGTTGTTACATTTCCTAAATCACCTTTAGGCTTTGGCTACTAAAAAATATTTTAATTGCATTTTGATCCATTTTCAGGAGTCTTTTTCACAAACTCTTTTTGATATATAGTATAATTTCCATGTAATTAAGGTTTGTTAATACAATTCTTGCTATTACATTTATGTTTTCCACAGTTACATAATGTACATAAGCATTTACCTGAAAAGTATTAAATTTTAATTTATTACCACCTAAATGATCAAAATATTAAGAAACTTCTGTTTAATTATCTCGATTTGTTTAAGAACTCATTATTCTTTCATAGACCTCCTAAATATAATTGATTAAATCATACTTTCTTTTTTGAAGAAATTAAATCATTTTCTATTATCTAAGATTAATTAATAGAACATGCTTTATTTTATTAATTTGAAGTTGATTATTAATCTAAATTTGCTTTACATTATTTCGGAGTTTATTAAGCCATTTTATTAATCAAATAATTTATATTTATATAGATAATATTTTACATACATTTTTAACTATTGCTCTCTTAATATAAAACTCATTTAACCTAATTATAATTATTCATTTATTCTAAATAAGGTAGGCACTTTGATAATGAAGATTCTTTGTTAGTTTTTAAGAATATCAACTCATCAGTTGGTACATAAAGTACATCGTATTCTTAATAGGTTTACCTCTAAATTTATTTTAAGGTGGATCTCATCAGTATTTCTATGCGATAATTTAATTTGAAATCATTTATTATCGAAAGTAATTCTTTAATAATTCTAGATCTTGTTTTCGATTATGATGACCATTAGAGATTCAATCTTTAAATTACTGATTGACTTCCTTCTCCATTAGATTAAGTTGAGTAATTAAACATTTTACTTCATCAGATTAGTACTACGAATAATTGGTTCTTATTATAGGGATATATTTTAAGTTTAATATTTTTAGAATAATGTCTGAGCTTAACAAAGTGATCAAATTAAATCTCTATTTCTAGATGCATCTTTAAGGTTCCTCCTAAATTAAATTAGTTTAATAGATATTGAATGGCTTACAAAGTATAAGAAATGACATTCCTTTGGATTGAAATTAGATAAATGATCATAGAGGACATGAGATCTCTTGTTTATTTACTATATTCAATTTCAAATGGAAAAATGTATTTAAGCCAGAATTCATATAATTATTATATCTATTATTGAAAACCAAACATAACATAATCATAAATATGAGTCTAAAACTTAAGAGGAATTTATTCATTTAAAAGAATCAAAAATTATACTTGATTTACATTTATTATAAGACTTGCTTTTTATACTTTTTATAAATCTTTGTCTCTCAAGTTATTTTCATATATTTTTATCCAAAATCCAAAAAGCTGAGAAAATTTATACTAAAAGATTAAGATTTCTTTAATTGTGAAAGTGTGTTTAAAAGTGAATAAAGTGATTTATGAACTTTTATTTAAACTTATAGAAATTCATCAATTTCATATAAATTTTAATTTTATGCTATAACTTGGTATATAAGAGAAGGATGGATTCGTAAGGGAGGAGACTCAAAATGGATTTGCAGAAGGTAATTATAAACTTGGAGTAAAAACTGGAAAATGGGTTTTGACTTATCCTGATAGGATGTATAAAATTTTTTTTTTATATTATAGAGAAGAAGGAAATTTTCAAGGAAAAAATAGAATTGGATAATGGCTAATTCATTATTCGAAGAGTGATTTTTATGAAGCGTATTTTATAAAATATCATAATTTATAGAGGATTGTATGATGAAAAAAATTTAAAAACAGGAGAGTGGATCACGTTCAAAGAATAAAATTCTGAAGTTACCATTAAAACAACATATCAGAGAGGAGTGAAGATAAAGGAAAAAAAAGTTGACTAATTATAAATTTCAACGATACAATTGAAAAAGGGTTGACTTATTAACTATTTCTTTTTGCAAGAAGTATTATATAAATATTTCATTACATTCTAAGATTTATATCATTATACATTTTTTAATTCTGAATTTTATTCTAAAAAATTATTTTTCTATTAATTTATAATGTAATTAAATTATAAAACAAAAATTTCTTATTTTTCAAAATATGAATACGAAATGGCAGAACACAACTTATTATAAATTAAATTAAAGATGAGAATATAAAATGAATAATTAAAAGCGATATTATTCATAGTTTAATAAATTAAAAGAAAGTTTAATGATCTAATGAGATCAGTGATAGAAGAATTTTACATCTGAATATTAAATAGTGGGTAATTTTAGACTTTTTTAAACATAATTTAATTATAGAATTTAGTAATCACATTGCAAAAATTAAATTTGGATTAAGAAATTTTTATCTTAGTGAACAATTACTGAAAATATTAAGCATATAAATAAAAGGTTTAAGCAAAATCGATGATGTTAGGATTTACAAAAGAGTTTGACAAAAAAATTATAAATCTTATTGTATTTGCATGATTAATCACTTTTGATTGATTTAGTTTAATAAAAAAGAGATAAGGGAAAGATATAAGGGTAATGAAAATGTATTTATTTAATTATCTTATATTCTTGTAAAAAAGATTAAAACTATAGAATAATGAATTTTTAGACATGCAAATTAGAATTTGATTACCACGATTTTGAATTAATATGTCTTAAAATTCAATAGAATACTTTTTAGAGATAAAAATGAATAAGTTTTGAAATTAAATATATAAAGAATAAGTTTTTATACTTATTCAACAGTAGTTTATAATCCTGGAAGAATCAGTTAGTGAATGACATAATATTGTAAAGGATTAATACACAAAAAATTACTCAAAATAAAAAAACAATTAAAAAAGATCGTTGATTTTTGAAGTATAGCCAAATTGAAATTCAGATTATAATAATCAAAATTTGAAGTGCAAGAGATTATTTTTCTAAAAAGAGTATAAAGATCATTAAGAAAATATAACAAACATTATTAGAAATGGAGAAGCATAAATTTGAATGAACTCTAGCAAGAATAAAGATCTAAAATAATTTCCATTATAACAAATGGAGAGTTGTTTATCATCAAAAATAAAATTTAGATGATATAGAATAGTGGGATTTAATAAATTGAATTTATTGTATAAATACGATTTAATTTTTATTTTATAAACTAATTTTTAGATTTTATGGAAGTATTATATAAAATTAATGAAAAAAGATCCTTATTAAAAAACATTATCCTAGCTTAGATAACGAAAAGGTTACTTTATATGAAATTGAAATTATTGATGGTGATAAAGTTTGGAGAGTTGAGAAAAGGTAATATTATTTTATAAAGCATTAGATTTAAGTAGTTTAAACAATTAAATTAAAGATTAAGCGAATATTTTGGAGACACGATTCCATTACTACCAAAATAGACATATACCACTTTTATAGTCAAAAAAACAGAATAAGAAATAATTGAAAGAAGAAAAGGTTTAGAAGAATATCTTAAGTAAATTATATAAAATGAGCAAATTGTAAACTCAATAATTTTTAAAGAATTCATTTAATCTCCTTCTTTTAAAATTCCAAAATTATAATTAGATAGCGTAAGAACATTTGATTTGGGTTTGAGAGATTTTTATTTTTATGAAGATGCTCTCTTTGTTTTACTCTCAGAAATGAGCCCATTAAATAGAGCAACAACAAGTTTAAAAAATATAAAGTTTCCTTGGTAAGAAGAGATCGAAGCTTCAAACATAAAGCCATTAGGATATTTGGATTGTATGATTGGACCCTAAATGATATGGAGAAAGAAGTATGATTCCTAACCTATCTTATTGAGTGTTATAAAAGATAATATATTAGTAGGGTAGTTAATATAATATTTCTTAGTTTGGATAATGGGATTATCAATCATCTATAATTTAAAGCTAAAAAGCATTTGCTTTCATCAAATGACTACCAATAACATACTTCCAGAATTATGGGTTTACATTTTTATGGTGAAAATATATATTCTGTAAGTAAAGATTAAAGATATAAGGTCAGGAACATCAAAAAAGGTGATATATTTATAGGTAATCTAAATATCATTTATTTGAGATATTTATCATAAACATGAATTAACTTGTTTGAAATATGATGAAGCAACAGATTTTGCCTTTATTGGAGACAGAGGTGGAATTATCTATGCTTATCATTAAGCTACATTAAAAATTAGTCTTGATACTAATTTACAATTTATTAGAGATCTTATCATTCAAAAATCTTAAGATACTATTATAGCTATTGGATTTTAAACAGGCCAAGCCATTATACTTAGTATTGTCAATCAAGTAATTTTAAATTTAAACTTAAGGTAATTTAGCTTTAAGAAGCTACTCAATTTAAAAATAAAATTAAAAGTAGATGCATAGCATGGTCTCTATTAAGAGGAGAAGTTTATATTGGAAATTAAGAAGGATATGTTACTGTATGGGACATTTAAAAAAAAATTCCTATTTGTGAAAACAAACTTCATAATGGCCCTATAACTAAAATTTATTGGAATGAAGAAGAAGAAATGCTATACACAGGTAGTAAGGATAAAAGTTTGAAAGTAATTTTTTATTTATTTTTTAGATTACTTTTTTTAATAAAAATAAACGAGAAACACAACAATATTACATAAATAGAAAATCTGATAATCTTTAGAATGTTAATTTATGATATCCATTATTATAATAATAATTTGTAATGTTAATTTTCGAGAACTTATTTATTAAAAGTCAAAAATAATTTCTATTAATATCTCATCTTAATTTTTACAAAGATTAACAAAGATTTAAAATTTCTGAATCCAACATAAAAGGTTCTGATGTTTAGTTAATTTTTCTTATTTTTTCGAAACATTAATTCACAAGACTAGAGGCATTTACAATTAATTCATATAATTTATCATATTCTTCACCATTTGAAAAATTGCTCTAATATTTTATGAAGACATAATTCCTATTTAAACTCATAAAATCTTTTAAAATGTATTTGTTTCCATTTAGACTTTGAAGATGTTAATTAAATAATTCGCTATTATTATTTTCATGAAAATATAATTATAAGCTTAAAATATCTACTTTACTGGTAATGTAATTACAAAAGTAAGGAATTAGATCATCTATAATTAATAGATTTAATATCTAAATAACGTTTATTTATTTGAATGCTCCAAAGTCTTTTATAATAAAATGAACATCATTTTTGTTAAAATAAAGAATCTATTCATTTTTCGATAATCCAAATAATTATGTATTTATGATAAGACTATCATCTTGACCCTTAGTAGAGTACATTTTTTCTTTTTTCTTAAAATATATCTAACATATAATAAAAATAAGATTAAGAATAATTCACTAAATAGAATAAAATTTTGTTTTATTTAAAATTAAATAAAATATATAAGGCTTAGTCATTAGTTTTAGATAATTATTTATCTGATTCTTCAAATAATATTTTTTTTTTGAATTCCTTAAACTCTTTTTAAACTGAAAGGCAACTTTTGCCAGATTTTTTCAATAGATAAATTATAAATAAAATAATTTTTCAAATTTTTAATGTTCAAATTAATATATTTATTTTTTTACGAGCTAATTCGGCTTTGTATTTATCAGCAATTCCATTATCATTTAAAGTTTTTAATTTTGTATCTTTGATATTCTCTAAAAGTTTTTTTTCATTCAACATTTTATCCCTAATCTTTTTACCTTCCTCTAATCTAATTACTAAATATATGATTATACTTATCTCTTTCTTCTTATTTTCGTTTTTCTTCATTTAAAGATATTTATTTTCTAAGTTCATCTGCATGCTTCTTTACAAGGGCTTCTTTATCATGTAGTAATTTAAGTTCATTTTCTCTTTCTTATTTTTATTTTTGAATAACTCTTTAAAATTCATCTCTTTCTAATCGAGCCTAATAAATATAGATCATAAATTACTTATTCTTCTAATCTATCTTGTTTTTCATATTATTATAATTTTCTAGCTTCATGAACTTCATGATTTAATCTCATTTTCAATTCAGCTTCTCTTCTTTCCTTTTCTCTTGCTTATCTTTCATTTTATTCCATAGCTCTTTTTGCTCTTAATACATCTAATTCAGCTTATCTATCTTATGCTTTTTCTTGCATTTCTCTTAATCTTTAAACTTCACGTTCTTTCTCTTCCTTAATCCTCTTTTATTCTTCCAAAAGTTCAGCTTCTTTTTATGCTTTCTATAAATTATATTTAACAATCATCTCTTCTTCTTCCCTCTCCTCTAACTTTCTTTTTTCTTTTACTAAAATAGCTCTATCATTTGCTTCTAATATTTCTTCTTAAACTTTTTATTAGGATATTTTTTTCTGCATTGCCTTTTATGCTTCCTCCTATTATAATTATTTTATCTTTTTAAGCATAACTTAACCTTCTCTCTCCTATTCCTCTTTATCTTTTAATCTAATTAATTCTCTCTCTTTTATTTATTCAATAATTATGTCATGCCCATGTTTTTATTCAACTTTTCGCTATTTATCTTTTTCTTCATGATATTTAATCGATTTCAACCTTTCTATTTCCATCATTAAATCTTTTCTCTTTTCTTAAACCTTATATTGATTAATCAATTCTTTTTTCTCTTGTAATTGCTTATCTCGAACAGTTACACATTTAGCATACATTACCATTTTATTCATTTCTTTAACATCATCCATTTATTCATTCATTATTTCTGCTGCCTAAAATTTAAATTGAATCAACAAAATACTCTTGCAAGAAGTGAATCTTTCACTACTTTATCTTCCTCTTATTATTATGTCAACGGAACTTATTTTTTTTTTTCTTCCTCCATTTACATCATTCGTTATTTTTTAGCTTTTGCAGCAGCCATCTACTTCTCTTTCTATTCTTCAAGCAGCTTCTTTTAATATAATTATTCTTCTTTTGTTGTTATTATTGCGTTATTCTGATAGTATTAATATATAATTTTCTTACTTTCATCTTTTGCAACTCTTCTTCTCCTAATATGACTACTTCTGGATTTGAAGCATCACCATTTCTAACATTTTTTACTATCGATTCTGTTTATTCTTAACTTCTATATTTTTCTACATTATTTATCTTGACTATACCTTAGGTTTCTTCTGCTTAAAGACTTTTTTTTGACCTTTTACTAAGTTTGCTATTCTATTATTAGATATATAAGAATCATACCATTTTTTTATTAATTTAGACAATTTAAATAATAAAATAATACACTTATTATACATCAATAAATTATTTTTATATATTAGTCTTTAAAATTTGCTTTAAATTCTATTTATCAAGAAGAAATTTGATTTATTCTTTTTAATCCATAATCTATTTAAGTTAATTAATATTATATAAATGTCAAATTAAATTTATCATTACGTAAAATTAATATTATCGATTCTATTGCTGATAGAATACAAGCTATAAACCTTTTTAGAAGAGGGTGATAATAAAATTAAATTCATTATTTTATATAAATTTAAATTTATAATTATTACTTTGAGACTATATAAAATTCTGATTCAAGTTATTTTTTTATAATTTAAGATGAAAAAATTGTTTCATAATCACTTTTACAAATTAAAAATAATGTAAAGTTTGCAAATAAAATTAAAAAAAAAGTGAATTTAAACAAATAGAATCATTTTTATCCTAAAAAGCATAATTGATTATTTATAAAAAATTTAGATATACAGAGTTTTATTCATCATTAGATATCAATCGTCAAAAATTAGTCTAATATGGTAAACGTTCTTAAAATTTTAATAAATAAACCATGCAAATTTTACTTATCAAATTAAAAAATTTTAATTGTATTTGGACAAATCGCTGGAGAAAGTCATTTCGTTTTTCAAAATTAAGCAAAGGAAATTTTTTAAAAAAGAGAAATTTAAATCTCGATCTTTTTTTTAATGAATTGCCATATATATTCTCTTAAAGGGAAGTTGCATAATCGATATGAAATGTATTCTGAATTTAATGATAATAATATTCTGATTTAATTTCAAATGATAATTTAGTCTGAAAGAAATTCAAAAAAGATAATAATTTAAATAATTTTTAGATTACAATATCCTATTTTTTAAGAAATTATTTCAAAAATTATATTAAAATTTTTTTTAATTCATCAATTCGCCTTTAGATTAAGGACAAAAAAATAATTAGAATTGGCTTATACTTAATCGTTTCAAAAAATAGCTTAAATTTTTATATTTACTTCATCATTCACATTAAGAAGAATTATAATAGAAAAAAGAATTCCTTTGACAGCTAAATTAAATAGAATTTTCTAAAGAGATACCTTATTGTTTATTCTTTGATTTCAGGTTAATTAGCATTAGAGGATTCTAATTTAAAGATAATTTAAAAATAATTTTCAAAAAAAAAATTTAGGAAGAGTAATTCTTGAAATATTTAATTATCCTCATAAAATTGGAGAGTTGAAAATTTAGATTTTTTAGTAAATGATTTTAAATCCTTTATTTTTAAAGAAAAATTAATTGATATTATNTATCATTACGTAAAATTAATATTATCGATTCTATTGCTGATAGAATACAAGCTATAAACCTTTTTAGAAGAGGGTGATAATAAAATTAAATTCATTATTTTATATAAATTTAAATTTATAATTATTACTTTGAGACTATATAAAATTCTGATTCAAGTTATTTTTTTATAATTTAAGATGAAAAAATTGTTTCATAATCACTTTTACAAATTAAAAATAATGTAAAGTTTGCAAATAAAATTAAAAAAAAAGTGAATTTAAACAAATAGAATCATTTTTATCCTAAAAAGCATAATTGATTATTTATAAAAAATTTAGATATACAGAGTTTTATTCATCATTAGATATCAATCGTCAAAAATTAGTCTAATATGGTAAACGTTCTTAAAATTTTAATAAATAAACCATGCAAATTTTACTTATCAAATTAAAAAATTTTAATTGTATTTGGACAAATCGCTGGAGAAAGTCATTTCGTTTTTCAAAATTAAGCAAAGGAAATTTTTTAAAAAAGAGAAATTTAAATCTCGATCTTTTTTTTAATGAATTGCCATATATATTCTCTTAAAGGGAAGTTGCATAATCGATATGAAATGTATTCTGAATTTAATGATAATAATATTCTGATTTAATTTCAAATGATAATTTAGTCTGAAAGAAATTCAAAAAAGATAATAATTTAAATAATTTTTAGATTACAATATCCTATTTTTTAAGAAATTATTTCAAAAATTATATTAAAATTTTTTTTAATTCATCAATTCGCCTTTAGATTAAGGACAAAAAAATAATTAGAATTGGCTTATACTTAATCGTTTCAAAAAATAGCTTAAATTTTTATATTTACTTCATCATTCACATTAAGAAGAATTATAATAGAAAAAAGAATTCCTTTGACAGCTAAATTAAATAGAATTTTCTAAAGAGATACCTTATTGTTTATTCTTTGATTTCAGGTTAATTAGCATTAGAGGATTCTAATTTAAAGATAATTTAAAAATAATTTTCAAAAAAAAAATTTAGGAAGAGTAATTCTTGAAATATTTAATTATCCTCATAAAATTGGAGAGTTGAAAATTTAGATTTTTTAGTAAATGATTTTAAATCCTTTATTTTTAAAGAAAAATTAATTGATATTATATTAAATTCTATATTTAAAAAGTAAAAAGTAAAAAGTCTAGATAGACTAATTAAATAGTTGAAACATATAGATAAATTAAAAAAATTAAGAAAAGTTAAGAAGATAAATAAAAAATGATGATTTTCAAGGTGGATGTATAATTGTAGAATTGAATATGTTGTATGTATATAAAAGATAAGTTTATTTTGATTAATAGAGATTTCTAGTTTATTAGTTAAATAATTATATATTTAATATGGGAAGTGGAGCAGGTAAATCTCTTACAATTCCAGTGGTTTATGCGGAATCTTAGAATAATAATCATCTTGCAAATTTTAAGACAACAAATAAATAGAAATTTACAATAACTGATCCTTATTCTAAACTTCAATAAGGTTATCTTACTATTCCATTAATTGTCAGGAAGGTGGATGATAAAGAGCCAATAAAGGTTGTTCATGGTGTAGTAGGGTTGAAAAATCTGGGTAACACATGTTATTTCAACAGTGCAATACATTGTTTAAGTCATACATAGCCTCTACTTGATTATATGTTATCGAGAGTTTTTGAGAAAGAAATTAATAGAAATAGTAAACTTGGATCAAGAGGATAGGTGACTGAATGTTTTGCTTAATTGTTGAGCGATATTTGGAAGGATGAAAGAAGTATAGGAATGAGTAGTATAAATCAGATGAGTTTGAGTATGGACATGCAAAAGAAATAAAAATTATATGAGAATTGGGTAGATCCTTTGCGTTTATTGACGTTGGTTTAGAAATATTCTAAGAGATTCGAAATAGGATGTAAATAATTAAAACATTTATTAGAACAAGAGGATTGTCAAGAATTACTTAGCTATTTATTAGATATGATTCATGAAGATTTAAATAGATGTAAGAAGAAAGAATCAATTACAGAAAAGGATTACATAGGTGAACCAAAAGAAGAATGGGCAGCAGAATCATGGGGTGAACATCTCAAAATTAATAAGAGTATTGTGGTTGATTTGTTTTAGGGATAATTGAAATCTAAAGTAGAATGCAAAACATGTAAATATTAGAGTCATAAATGGGAACCTTTCTTGTTTCTTAATTTACCAATTAAATAATCATAATCTGAATAATCATAAAAATTAAATTAATCTAAAGTTATGGGCAATTCATAATTAAAGCAAGATAACTAATGTTCATTAACAGATTGTTTGGATCAATTTTAATAAGAAGAAACTATTCAATGGAAATGTCCATAATGTAAAGTAACTAGGGATTGTAAAAAAGGTATAAGAATATGGAAATTACCCAATATTTTAATCATTCACCTCAAGAGATTCGAGTTTGGAACTAAAGTGTTAGGCAAAATCACATCAAAAGTTATCTTTCCTCTCAAAGATCTAAATATGTCTACTTATTGTTTCGACTAGGGCAACATGATTTATAATTTATATGCAGTAGCCTAACATCATGGTTCATTATAATATGGCCATTATGTTTCTATATGTTAGCATAGAGTTGATAATTAATGGTATATGTACAATGATGATGCAGTTTTAAAGGTATTTTTTTAATCGAACCTAGATTCAAAATCCTGAAAAGATGATTGTAAATGAATATGCTTATGTTCTATTTTATTAAAAATAAACAGAATCTATTTATAGATAAACTATTACTGATCCTAGTTATTGGCCTCATAATTAAAGTGATAAAAAATAAACATAAGGTGTCCCACTTAAAGATGAATCAAAATAATAAACATTAACACTTATGGATTATGAAGAAACTGAATAAAAAGGTTAACTAGATGACACAAGTCCTCAAAATATTTCACGCAATTCTATTAAATTAGAATCTTAAGATTTCAGTTAAATGGAATCTTTAAATTTCAATAGACTCGAATCTTAAAACGGAAAGAAAAAAAATGTCCCTAATCCTATTATTAGAGAATAAAATAATAAATCAAACTCTATTTATAAAAGATCACGTCCTTCTGATGATAATTATAGTAATAGTGATCAATAAACTTCTATTCCTATAATTAGAGAATAAAACAATAAATCAAATTCTATTTATAAAAGATCACGTCCTTCAAATGATAATTAGAGTGACAATTATCAATAAATTTCTATAACTAAATTATAAGAAGAGGTATATATATAAGTATTATTAATTTTAAAGTGGGGTTTTTTACCAGATAGTAACACACAAAAATAAATGGACAAGAAAGTAGAAAAAAAGTTTGTAGAGATGAGAGCCAAAAATACTCGTAAATGAATAATTAATTTAATTAAATAGTATTTTTCCGTTAAATAATTTATATTCAAAATGAAAACAAATCAAATCCCACGCTTATTTTGCGTTGCTGATTATGATAAAGAGAATTTTAACTATGCTACCAAACATTAAAGAGTATAATCATCAATGGCACTCAGAGAAAAGTCATCTAACTCATTCCATACAATGATTCCTCCCTAAAAACCATAATTAAAATTAAACGATGAATCAAGTAATCGTACAAAAGAAGGATTTCATAGAGTAAAAACAGATTCTAATATGCCAATGCCTTTACGAAATGGAAGAAATCTCAGTATTACAAGTGGTGTTACTACAATTTTAACTAATAAAAGCTTTCAATTGCCTTTAAAAAATGATAATCCATAATCTGTGAATGCATATAAAAAAGAAATCGTCTCATACATGAGAGAAAAAAGTGTAATAAACCTAATTTAATGTAGTGTCGATCAAATTACAAAATGAATGCATTTTAATTTCAAACTGAGATTACCGAAAAAATGAGAAGTATTTTACTTGATTGGTTAGTGGATGTTCATTTTAAATTTAAATTAGATGTGGAAACATTATTTTTAACAATTTCAATAATTGATAGGTAAATATTGTCATAAATTTGAGAGTACTTGAAATGCAATAGATATCAAAATCCAAATTTTAGCTATTTGGAGTAACTGCCTTGTTTATAGCATCAAAATATGAAGAAGTATATTCTGTGCCTCATGTAAGGGATCTAGTTTATGTTTGTGATAATGCATATACAAAAGAAGAAATTCTAGCAACAGAAGGGAAAATAATCTCGTTATTAGGATTTGATTTGTTAACAACGAGTCCTCTTCGAATGTTGAATGTATATTAAGAGACAGCTAAGTTAGATTAAAAAAATTATATGTTAGCAAGGTAATTAAAATTATAAAATAATTTATAGATATTTAATAGAACTCTCAGTTTTGGAGTATTAGATGATATAATTTTCAAATAATGTGATGGCAAGTGCTTCTATTTATTTGGTTCATAAGATTAGACGAATTCATCCATCATGGAATCAGGATTAAATGGTTCCAATTACTGGATTGAATGAAGTTGACATAAGAAATTGTGCAAAAGAAATGTGCAATTTATTATAGAATTAAGATAAAAAATAGTATGCATCAATAAAGAAAAAGTTTTCAATGCCAAAATATTATGAGGTATCAAAAATAAGAATAGAAAAAAAACCATAACAAAATCTATAAACAATTCAATAATGATTTTTTTTGAATTCATATTCTCACCCCAATTAATTTATATTCACATTAAAAAATGTAATTAATGAAAATAGTTATTCCAATCAATAAAATATTAAGAATAATGATTTTATTTTATCCTTTAATATAATTATTTAATTATATAAAATTATGAGTAAAGCAAAATCGAGATATTCAACAGAAGAGTAGGCTGCTGTTTAATCAAAAGTTGTAATTTAAGAATTTAAGTAAATTAGCAATCAGTTTAATTACCAAGCATTAAATAAGAATAAATAAATTCTGTATCAGTTATTGGTTTGAGTGAATTATATTAGATTAAGAATCATATATAGGGTGAAAAATAAACTAAAAAGGTAATATAAACTATGTTAAATTAGACACTTGATAATTAAAGAATTTGGGCTTAACGAATTACAAAACAAAGATAATAAAAAGAAGCTGAAAAATTAGAGAGATTTACAAAAGAAGAGGAAGAAAGAAGAAAAATTGATAAAGATGAAGAAGAATACTAAGAGCGACTTAAAATTGAATTAGTGAAAGAATCTAATTAAAAAATATTTGATTAAAGGGCAGAGTATGATAAAATTAATAAAATGTTAGTGTTCGTAATTTGAAAGCTTAAATGATGTTAAGTGAAGTAGAGAGAACTAATGAATAATTAGTGGCAATAAATAAAGAGTAAAAAGAACTATGGAAAATACATGAAGAAGAGAAAGAAAAAGAATATGAGATGGAAGAATATTATAAAGAATAGGAATAAATGATGAGAAAAGAGAAATAGGCAAAAAAGAAAAAAGATTGTAATGAGATCTTAGCTGATTAACATAAGTAAGTTAAGGAGAGATATTTGAAAGAAATGATGCTTGATAAACAAGAAGGATAATTGATTAAGAAAAAGGCTTAAGAAGATGAAATACTTAGAGAGTATTAATTTTAAATTATTTAGATAATAAAAATAAGAAATAAAACATAAATAATAAAAATTACTAAAAGAACATGAAGATTTTATGGAAAAGAAAAGGGAAATATAAGAATTAGAGAAAAGTATCTTGGATGAAGAGGATAAGAAAATTGTAGAACATGAATTTCACAAAGAAAAGGTTTTACAAATGAGAAAAGATAGAGTATATATTATTTATAAATTTTTAGGAAAATCAAAAATAATAAAAAAAAGAACAGTTAAGAAAATAAATATATGATCTTAGAGTGGAATAATAAAAATAATAAGAAGATAATTATTTGTCTACTATTCAAAAACATGCTGAAGAGCTCAAATAAAAATAAGAAGAAGAAATTAAATAAAAAGAATTAGAAAAAGCTCAAATGATTTAAGATGCAGAAACAATGAGATAGAAACAGTTACAAATCCAATAACAAAAGAAAACTAATTAATAAGCTGAACAGGAAGTAGATTTTAAATAAAAATTAAAAGCTTTAGAATAACTGGAATAAGTTGAATAGCTATAAAACGATGTATTGAAGAAAAGGAATAAAGATTTATAGGACTTTTAGAAAACATAAATAGTAATATTTGATTTTATACAAGGAAGCTAAAAAATAACAGAGAAAAAATTAGTATATGTAGGAATTGAAGGAATCATTGTAAATGCAATAGAGAAATTAATCTGAAAAGTAAGTATATAATTCTTGGGCTTAACAATGTATTGAAGAATGGAAAGATAATGGTAAAAACATATTGCCTATGGTGAAAGCACTCTATTAAACTGAATGAATCAAAATTTCGATTTTATTTTATTAATCAATTAATCCAAGAGGTTTTCTTAACACAATAAGTATATTAATAATTAGATCGGGTTTGAAAAGAATAAATACTTTTTAAATTGTTCTTTGTAATGATAGAAAAGTTTTGTCTTTTTAAATAGTAATTGGCTTAATGAAAACTGTAATGCTTAAATTTTTTCTCTTTTTTAAAGACTTTAAATAAGATTTCAGTATAATAGAATAACTTTATATATATATTAGGTCATTAAAGAAGGTCGTCGAATTCCTGTACCTCACTTTAGCAAAGTCTAAGGAAAATGGAATTTCTTCTTTTAATATAGAATATATTTGCTTACTCTCTACACATGTTGACTAGTAAATCATCTCTTCTGAAGCTTAATTTTCTTCCAAAAATTTTATACAAATGTTAAAATCTTTGTAAATCGTTTCTTATATCAAGCTATAATTTATCTAAATGTAATGATTATATGAATACTTGGATGTAGGGGTACCATAAGTTTTTATTCTCTAAATGTTTTCTCAACAAAATCTCGTAGTTCCTCTTTATCAATAACTTCATAATGGGCATACTGGCAATTTAGTCCAAAGGGGCAAACACCCATAGAAAAGAAACATCTACAAGGTTTACTTCGCCTATTAGCTAAGTTCTCTATTCTATGTGGCTCATGTATAAAAGAACACTTTTATTTCATTTAAATGTACCTTGTCTTTGTAATGACAATAACCTTTTTCTTGAAAGTTTCTACAGAATTTAGTTCTTAATTATTGTCTTTTACCATCTGATTAATCATTTTTATCACCAGGAGTTGCAAAACTCTTCTTTCTCATTGTAGGTTATTTAATTAGATTTTAAGAGTCCTATTCAGAACTATCACTACAAGGTGAGATATATCTTTAAGAATGATCTGTGCTATAATTTTAAAGCATTTTTTAAGGAGTTGTATCAAATTTAGAAGTCATTGAATATTTAAAATATTAATATTTCTCTATTTCTAGTTTCTCTTATTAAATATGGTAAATTAAAAAAAACTTAAAATTTTAATTTTAAATAATATTATCGTTAAGAATGTTATCCTAGAAATATATTTCGGATAGTCCAGCAAAAAAAAGAGATGAAAATGACGATCAAGATTACCTATACGAATAGTTAGATTAAATCAACAAACGTATTTACAATTACTAATAATTGATCAAATAGAAGATTAATATTTTACTTGGAAACAATAACATAAAATCCTTTGATTATGATGGTCTATAAAAATAATTAACAGATCTTAGATTAGAAGAGTAAAAGTATTTATTTCACCTAATCCTTAAGCTATTCTTAAATCTAATTAGATATTGATAGATAGTAAAGCTAAGTGTTTGATTACTATGAATCTGAATTCAATAAGCTTAAAAGTTTATATGAGACAATCAATAAAGAGCATTAAGGATTTATCAAATAAAAATAACATGCTAACGAATTATATTGTTAAATGATTGAAACTAAATAAATACTGCAAGAGGACTTAAATACTCATTTATTACAAAGAGCAGAGTTAGTTGGTTAAAAAGAAGAATTGGAAGAATTTGTAGAATAAATTAAAAATTAAAATGAATAATTATTTACTATTTCTTAGATGTATTTCACAAATGGTAAAAAGTATTAAGACAATGGAAATCAAATAACAATTTAAAACAAAGAAATCAAAATATTATAGTAATCAAGAGAAGAAAAATAATAATAATAAGGATTATAACATTAGGCAACTTTGTTAGAAGTTTAATTGCATTAAGCAAATTAAAAAATTAAGGTCTAAAGAAATAAAATTATACCTTTGCATAAAAGTTTAAATTTAGCTCATCCTGATAATTTGTTTCAAGAATTTTTAGAATAGAGTGATATTCAATCAATTGATTAAAGTGATTTTAGTTTTAAATTGACAAATTATCTTTAATAATTTAGAAATAATTTATTTAAGAATTCAAATTAAGGCACTAATTGGGGTAGTATAAAGGAATTCATTACTTAATTAGAATAATTTATAATAGTTTCGATGCAACAAAAATTAATATCAAATTAATTGTAGGAAATGAAATAAACTTAAAAGTAATATGGTGAAGAATTATCAATTTAAAATAAGATATCAGAAATTGATACTTAAATAGAGATGAAAAGACTAATGATTCAAGAATTGGAAGAATAATAGGAGTAATATAAATTAAATGAGTAAATGTATTTTTTCAAAACTAAGAAAGTGCTTAAGATTAATTCCATAGTATGATTGAGTAATCTGCCTTAGAAGCTTATGATATGTACAAGACTTTGAATAAAGAATAGTTATAATAAATGAAAGAGCACGAAGATTACGATAGGATGCTCTTAAGCATTCAATAAGAAATAACTTAGATAATTTCAGATAAAGAGAATGTAATTATTTATTTTAATTTTAGGAGTAATTTTTGAATGTAATGAAATTGATAGAAAAATATGAGATTTCTGAATAAGCTATAAATACAAATATTTATATGGTTGATTAATAGATATTGCCATAAATGAAATAAGTAGTTCAATAATTAAGTAAATTAAAAAGGGAGATTGAGCATTTGAATTAAAATGATAAAAATTACTTGGAGAGGACTAGTAAGATTGAATAAGAAATTCAATATATGGAATAATAATTTAAAAAGAAAATGGATTAATTTTAAAGATAAGAAAATGAAATAAATAATAAAGTTTTTGAAATAAAATAATCAATATAAATGGTTTAAGAATAGATGATTAATAAAATAAAGCCAAATAAAGCTTAATTGGAATAAGAGATATTGTAATTAAATAATTAACTATCTTAATTGTAAGAGTAGAAATACAATTTGGAATAGATTACTTACAATCTCAACTTAAATGGTTTAAATAAGAGTCCAAGTAGAAGAAGTGTTTTATCAATTTCGAAATCTTTAAATTAATTGGCAAAATTAAAGTAGAATATAACACCAATAAAGTAGATGAAATAATCAACTGCATTAAAAACAAATTCATCATTAAAATCTATTAAATGAAACCTTTTTATAAATCATTTTTCAATTAATTAAATATGATTATCTTGAATTGGTGCTTGCTATTATTCATGCATAGATTATTTTTTTCTTAAAGATGATCCTCTTCTTAATTCTAAAATTCCAGATGGTTTTTTATCTAATGTTCTTAATCCGTTATTTATTTTTTTAGGACAAATCTAATAAATGTAAATAATGTATAATACATTTTACTCTGGAATTAATTTGAGAAGGAAACTAATGAAAAGACCAACTAATCCAATAATGAGAGAGATTATCCATTATTAAATTGTAAGCCCATAATAACTATAACAAGAGAAAGCAAGATTCCCAAAGGTAACTAAAATAATTTGTAAGATTATGATAAAGAAAACAATAAGAATGAACAAAGGACTAAAAAAATGATAGTAATAAATTACTTATTGCAAAGATTAGCTAAAACATTAAATTCATCATTTAATTTTCTACTATTGATGAAATTAAAAACTTGCATAAAAACAAAAGTGTTAAATATAAATGTGTAATGACGAGATGGTACTCTAAATTCATTGAAAACTTCTTCATAATCATTATCACTAGTAACAGTTAAAAATCTACCACTTCTTATTTTTAAAGATTAAGGATAATAATCAGTATTATATTTAGGATGATAAAGAGAGGAGTTTTCAAAAACAAATTCTGAATTTTCTTAGATTATTTCCTGAATTCTATTTTTAATGTTATCATCATAATCATCAACATATTCAGGTATAAATTCTTAGGCAAGAAAGACGAGGACAAGAATAACAGTCAATTAAAAAATAGCTTATCCAATTATATGTTTAATCATTTTATTAGTAACAATAGATTCAGATCTTGAATATGGTTTATCCTTTAATAATATCATTGATGGTGGTTCAGTAGCTAAAGCAAGAGAAGCAAAAGAATCCATGATAAGATTAACCCATAACATTTGGATAGGTTTAAGTACATCCTATTTTAAAAGTGCGGATGATATAAGAGTAAAACCAACAGCAACAACATTAACAGTTAGTTAAAATTATAAGAATTTTCTAATAGATTGAAAAATATTTCTACCCCACATAACAGCCTTAACAATATCACTAAAATTATCTTCCATTAGAATAATAGCAGCAGCATCTTTAGCAACTTAAGTTCCTGCTTTACCCATAGCAAAACCAACATCTGCTTTTTTTAATGCAGGTGCATCATTAGTTCCATCTCCTGTAACAGCTACTACATGTTCACATTCTTTTAATCCAATAATCATTGCATATTTATCAGTTGGTCTTGATCTAGCCATTACAGAAATTTAAGGATAGATTTATTTAAATCTAGACATATTTCCTAATGTGTCTACTCTTAAAGAAGTTCCGTTCTTTTCAGCTTCACTTGAAGATTTTGCACATTTACAACTTTCTATTGTACAATTCTTACAAACTACTCCTCCTACTTCCTTCATAAATTCAGCACCTTCTATTACTATTGCTGAACTATCTCCTTCTTCTATTATTCCACAATTCAATGCTATTGCTCTTGCAGTTTCTGAATTATCTCCTGTTACCATTCTCACTTTTATACCTGCCTATTTACACTTTGTAACTGCATCCTTAACACCTTCTCTCAAATTATCCATAATTCCAAATAAACCTAAAAATGTAAGATCTTTTGTTTCAATATCATAAACTTTACCATTACTTTTTTAAATATCTTCATTTCCTGTCAAATCTAAATATGCTACACAAATTATCCTAAGAGATTACTTTGCCATTTAAATAATAACTCTCTCTATTTCTTATATTTCCTTTACTCCTAATTTAATCTTTTAATCATCATATGTATGCATATGAGTTAAACTCTATACTATAATTTCAGAAGCTCCTTTTATATATAATCTTTAAATTGGTAACCCATTACTTTTAGTCTATACTATCACACTCATTCTCTTTCTAGCTGAATTGAATGGATTTTTCTTTATATAATTCACTGACTCTCTCATCTATCTATAATCTACACCTGCTCTCTATAAATATTCTAATAAAGCTATCTCTGTCTTTGATCCTGATTCTGGTTAAAGCTCTGCAGATGAATTACAACATAATGCTTCTAAAAATAGATTCTCCATTTATTTCTAAATTAATTAATTTAAATTCTATTCTTTAGCCAAATAATCTATTTCATAATATTATTTATTCCAAATTTTCGTTAATACCATTTTATTCATTGTTAATGTTCCTGTCTTATCAGAACATATTGAATCTGCACCTCCCATCGTTTCACAAGCATACATTTTCCTTACCAAATTCTTATCATTCATCATTTTTTAAACTGAATATGCTAAAGATATTGTTACTGATAATGGTAAACCTTCAGGAATTGCCACTGTCAATACTACTATTGAAAGTATTATAAAATTTAATATTTCCATCCAATGTTTACTATGATCCCATTCATTTGCTATTCCTCTCTCTATTGCAAAACGTATCATCAATACAAAAAATATTAATACAGCAGATATCAATCCAAATTTACCAATATCTTCTGCTATCATTGTCAATTTTACCTATAATGGTGTCTCTATTCAAATTATTATTTATTTTACCTTCTTCTTCATCTTGCTCTAACGATGCTTTTATTTATCCTAAACAAGATAGATCACCTACTACACAAATTAAAAATAATCCTTCACCTTCCAATACTCTTGTACCTGATAATAATGCAGGAGATGGTATTTTAAATCTATCTTATTCTCCTAATTAAACTCCTTCATCAGAAATTTCTTGTTTCTATTTTAAACATTAATTAATTGTTCCTTTTGTAATTGAATGTGTTTCTCCTGTCATTGAAGATTCATCAACTTTCACATCAGAAGCTTCAATTAATATTCCATCTGCTGGTATTTCCATTCCTTCTATCAATTTACAAACATCCCCTACTAAAACTTATTCTTCATGAATTTAAATCAATTATTTGTTTCTTATTACTGTTACTATTTTTGACTTTTCACTTGCAGCATTTAGTTTTCTGAATTATTTCTCTTTTGAATAATCATTCATAGCAGCAACGTTTGTACAGACCAATACTGCTACAAATATAGCAAATCCTTCAATCCATGCCAAATGACGATGTTCATTATCTGCAGTAGCCACCTCTATCGCTATACTGGCTATTGATGCTATTAATAAAACTCGCATAGTAAAATCTTCTAATGCATTCCATAATAATTCACAATATGTCTATGGAGGTCTAACTATTCTTTTATTATGACCATAAACTTAAATTCTTTAATCATGGTCATCAGGAATTCCATCTTTTATAGATGTATGTAAACCATCTATCAACCAATCTAATATTAATTAATTATGATATTTAATTACCTATTCCACCTTATTGTACCAGATATTCTAATTCCTCACAAGTACTCCTTCTTGTGTTTAGATGAAATATTTATTATAATTGTTAAGGAGTAATTTTAAATAACCCTAAGTCTGGTTATTCTTAAACTGAAAGTGGTCTAGCATCATCCACATAATCTCTCTATGATAATGCACTTTTATTAGGAGATTACATATAATTATTTATAATATCAATTTAATTCAACTTTGTTGATTATTGTCAATGTATCAGAGAATAAATTTTCATCATTCCAATAAGTAGGCATAAATTATTTAGATAAAGTAAATTATATAACAGTACCTTTTATTCCATCTTTAGTTTTCATATAATTAAATATCTCTAAGGGTTTCTGAGGATCATATGAAAGATTCCTTAAAATCTTTTTACAAGCTTACAACCCTAATTTACAATCTTAAACTCTATTTTTAATCATTTCTTTTTTAATTCCACCACCATTATCAATTATCTCCACATTTATCTTATCTTAATCTGCTTAAGTCTTTATTATGATACTATTTTAAACTTTTTAATCTTAAAACTTCATCTCTTATTTTTATTCAGTAGAAATTCCTGTCAATTTTTCAGGCTGGCCTTCCTATAAATTATAATCAAAGCATTAAATAGAATTCTTTATTAAATTTATTAATAGCTATTTTACTCTCCTTTTATCTGTCATTAATTCCATTTCACTTTCATTCTACAAATGCATTTCATAAGTAATTGTAATATTGTATTTCTAAATATAACTATCAAACTTAAATAAATCTTTCACTGTGTTTATACTCTTAATAAAATTAAATCTATTTGCTTTATATTCACTAAATGAAAATAATTCAAATAAATTGAAATTATTTTATTCTATCAAAAATAAATTATAATAACATTTATCTATTTATTTGATAAATTCACTAGATTATGAAATAGTGTATAATTTCTATAATTATTCCTCCTAATTATCAGGATTCTATGTTAAAGATGAAGTCACTCTTAACATTGGATTTTGAACAATTGATTACATAGGTACACTTAAATGTTGAGATTATTTCATTTCTCCTTCAGATTTAATAAATGCATCACCATCGCAAAATGATAATGAAATAAAATTACTTTACTTAAACTTTTCAAATTCTCTTTTAATTTATTATGATATATTACTTTTAACGTTAATCTAATTATATTTTTATTTGCACAATTTACTATAATAATTGACCAACATCCCCAGCTACTCTTTGTATATATTTAAAAAATACAACTTTCTCTTATTCACTTTTTTCTAAAAGTATTTTCAACTTTTTTGATTCTTTATCTATGTTTCTAATTATCAAAACTAATATATTTTTTTTTATATCAAATTCATCCTCCATAAGATATATTGATACACTCATTTCAAGTCTTACTTAATTCGTAATAAAATAACAGCCTAAAGTAGTTTTATTTGATAAAATAGAATTTGAACCCTACATATCTCCATGCTATTAAATACCTGATAGTGCTGATAATTCACAAACTTGATCTTTATTAAATGTTTATTTGCCTTCATTCTAAGGAGAAAAAATTGATATTTATTCCTCTTAAATTCCTTAAATTCCATCAATACCACATTTATATTACTTTTACCGTGCTTATTCTAATTTAACAGCTGAACTTTCAGAAAATAAGTTTTTTTCTAACCAACTTAATAATGAATTAGTTTCAACTATTTCTGACCATAAATTAATTGATTATTATAAATTAGTAGATTAACTAGTTATTATCAAATTTTGAAATAATTATGTAATGGATATTTTATAATCACCTAAAGATTTTCTCATCGCATAATTTTATTCACTTAAATTTAAACTTTCTGCTAAAGATTATTTATTGACATCTATCTTGCAAATCCATTCATCAGTCTGCTATTAATATTATTCCCAGTTCGATTTTTATTGAAATTATTATTATTATTGTTATTGTTATTATTATATTTAAATTATTTAGGTTTAAGTTTTTTTAAGCTCAAATTAGTTGTGCTTCAAATCTGTTTAATATTCTTCTTACTTTTTAGTTTTATTTTATAAATCTATGTTATCCTTTATACCTAAAATAATTGATATAATAATCAATATTGCTATCAAAGTACTATTTTATTCTCTAGTTTCTCTAATAAAATTAACAATTATCAAACAAAATATCACAAATACCTATAAAATTGTTTTAAATTTCCTATAATACTTTTTTGAATCTTTGACATTTAATTTGTTTGCATAAATTCCATTTAATAATCCAAATAAAAAGTAGACAAATTCTTCTTAATTAATTCCTTAAAGAAAAATCCTCTTGACAATGAGTGCCCAAAAAAAAAAAGGAGACAAATCACCTATTTTTATCAAGTTGCAATACCTTTATTCCAACGAAAATGGCGAGTTATGTATATTAATGAAAATATGATACCGCTAGGAATAAATACCAAATCCCAAATTATTGAACTTTAAATATTACATAAAAGCTGCTCTAATGCTGCAAAAAGACAGGAAATTGCTATATTTAAGATCAAGTGTAAATATTCTCTTACTCTAGATTACTTATCAAACATAATATTACTTTATTATTATTGTAATTTTGTTAATAAAAAAATAATCATTCTCACTCTATTTTTTATAGTATTATCGAAATTGTAAAATATCGCATTTCTATTAATTGAAATAACGTCCTTGTGTTATTTAAAATTAACTATAATGTGGATTATGTGTCCATATTTTTTAGAATTTCTATTATATTACTTCATAATAGGCATTATCAAATTTATTTAGTTTTTTATCAATGAATCATTATTAATTTCTTTTAAAATTATAGAAGATTAATAAAATTTAAGAATTTAAATTTAGTGAAATCAATTTCATAGACTGATTTATTAATAAATATGAAAAAAAAAAAAATTATGGATTTCGTAGTTTCATTTATAATGATATAATAAATTATTATTATTTCAAGTGATTAGCTTTAATTTGCTGGAAATAAATATCTATAAGAATGAGTAATCTGTCTAAATTAAGAAAAATGACATTTGAATATATTTAACATGTATTTAATTAATGAATTCTCAAGAAAATAATTACATTCAATACCCATTGTATTAAAACATATGAGTAATATTTTTATCTAAATCAAAAGACACATTACAAGTCTTTTTGCTTGGTTTTCTTATATCTTTACTGACTAAAGAAGGTTTTGTATTAAAAATAGTATTATGAAAAGTATGCTTAAGAAGTTCTTTCTCAGAATTATCAAATGTATTCATCAACTCTTAATATGAAAAAGCAAATTTTCTCCATACTCTATCCTAATAAAAATCAGACATTATTTACCTTTATAGGCTCTCTTCTGTTATTATTCTTCAAAAAAAAATAGATTAAAAAGCAAAAGATCATAGCCATAAGAAAATATTTGGGCTCCCAAAAACTTGAGTTTTCATAGTCTTTCCGTAAGACTTATTTAGATTCCATACTTTAATTTAATTATAATAATAAATTTAGTTTTGAAATCTAAAAAAAAGAAGTAAATTAAAAAAGAAAGCAAAAAAAATTTGTATTTAATAACAGAAGAAATCATAATAATTCATAATTATGATAAATAATGTTTGAGTAATTAATAACTTTAATAGAAAATATAATTTATAATTTAATATAAACAATAAGCTTCATATTAACATTTGAAAAAAAGGAATTGTATTTTTTTTATAATTCTTTTATAATTCTTTGGAATGAAATAATAAAATATAAATTTAAGGATTAATTTAGAGATTTATATTTATTTTGGAAATAAGTTAATAATTTTGATGATTATAAATTCTACAACTTTTGTAAGTATAGAGTAATATTATCTATTATGTTGCTTTAAATTAATTTATATTATAAAATCAGAAATAAAAACGGAAATGAGACTTCTGATAGGATTAGCTTTTATAACAAGTATCATTTGTTAGTAATAACATAAATTCAATCCTGAATTTTTAAATTTAATAAGCACTGGAACTGAATTAGGAACAGCAAGGGATGCAATTTAAGCAGTATTGTAATTATTGGAAGACCTGAAAAATGCTAATGAAGAACTAGATAGAAAAGTATGAGATCTTCACAACTAAAGAATAGGCAGACAAAGCATTCTAAGAATATGAATAAGGTGTATTAAATGATTGTGCAGCATTTACTGGAATTATGAAAGAAAACAATGAATCATTGTAAAAGAATGCAGAGGATTTTGAAGCAGTAGATGATAAAATTGCTTAAACAACTGATTACTTGAATTGGAATGAGAAGAGAAGAAAGTCAAATGATATGAAATTAGAAGATTTAGCTGAATAGAGATGTGAAGCTAATTCATTATTCATTGATGCATTAAGAGATTATAGAGAAGCATTAAATGTTTTAGAATGGGTAAATGGAGATTTATAACTTAAAGAATAAAACGCATTTTTATAAAAGGAAGAAGCACAAGAATATACTTCTAAATTATCACTATACACAAACATGATAGATCATAAAGAAGTTTTTTCTTAAGTAGGTAAAATTTGAATATCATTTTAGAGGTCTCTTAAGAAGATTAAGCAAATTAAGTTGTTTCAGAAATTGTCGGAAAGGTTCAAGGATTAATTTCTAAAATATAAGAACATATTTAAACATTAGAAGAATAAGAAATTACTTCTGCTAATGATTTTGTAGATTATAGAAGAAATTTACTAAATGAATAAGTGCTCTTAAAATAAGAATATGATAGCAGAATGAAATTTTTAAATAGTTTGGAAGATGATAAAGAATTAGCCCAAGATGTTGTTAGTTAGTGTGAAAAAATATTAGGAAATACTCAAAGAATCTTACAATAGACTTAAAGTAATCATATACTTCTCTACTTTTAGACGCTTATAATTAATAAAAGGCAAAATATGTGATGGAGAAACAAAAAAGACTTGAAGAAAATCAAGTTATCATTGAAATAACAATGTTGTATCATTAAAAGATAGCTTAAGCTGAGGAATTTTTGTAAAAAAAAGGAGTTTGATTATATCAATACTCTTCATATCTAAATTAACTCAAAATCAAAATTAAATACTTAATTTTAAAATATTAAGGAAATAAAGATTTTTTTTTTATAAAATAAATTTCTATATCTCGAAATTAATGAGAAAGTTTTATTAATCGCCATCTCTATGCATTTAATCTTATTCTATTTTTATTCTTGTAAATAGATTTACTCATTAATTTTCTTTATGATAATCTCTTTATTTTTCTTAATCTTAATATCATTCTTTAAGTGAATTCTTAATTAGAAAATGTATATTAGTCATCATATTACTATCAAATTCATAATTTTATGGCTTTATTTTATTTAGCTTCTTGATATGAGAATAAAATCTATTCATAATTATCTCCATCTTAATGAATTTCATAAAATATACAGGTTTTTTTTGAATAGCTTGGATATTTCTCCCCATTTTAAACCCACATCCAAATTTAAATTAATAATTTATCTTCCTTTTTTAGTTTTAATTCATTATGATTAATCTTTAAAATAATATATCATTAAATCTGTCCTATTTTATTATTTTACTTTGTCCTTATATATAATTTACAATTGATTTCGAATTCTTTCTGAATATCTTAATTAGATTTGTTACTTTTTGATTCTTTTTTTCTTCTCTTCCATCTATTTAATCCATTGTCCTAATATTTTTAGTAAAATAGTTGTAAATTTTTTATCTTCCTCTGAATTTCAAAATTGTAACAAAGTTTTTTAACCTATCACACTAAATCAGAAACTTTATCTAGATCTTTATTTTGATATGTTTTATTTTGATCCTATGGTTTTGACTGTTTAATATTTAAAAATATATAGATTTTTTCTTTAGGTTTAATTAATCATAATTTTATAAGTAAAATTTTTTTTGAATAAATTTATTAAATCAATAAAATTTATTATCAAATAGATTTCTTCTGCTTTAAGTTAAAATTTTAAGTGAAGGTAAGGTTTTTTATGTTGGAGTATTATTGGCTCTTATCCTGGAAGTAATATGATATTATTTCACATAATAATTTTTTGTTGTTGGTAAATATTATTTTAATATAACAGGTTGAGCTATTATTTTCTTCTTGAATTTCAATTGTATATCAACTATGTTTGGGGTATTTATAGGAGGTTGATTATATTAAATCTAATCATCTAATTAAGCTGAAAGACTGGAGTAGTGATATTTTTAGTTTTATAATTATTTTATTTTGTGTAGTCTAATTAAAGATTATTGCTTAAACTGATTTCTTGTATTGTACTTTAGTAATCGTATTTCAGTATTTATTTATTGCTAAGTTTTTACTTGAAAAGTGTTCATACGTTTTTCAAAATCACTTTGTTGTCCACATTATAAGCACATACAACTTTTTCTTCTTACTGTATTAATGACTCTTTCAACTTGTTTTTCTAATAAATAATCTTCAATTTAGTTTGTTTTCCTTTTAGGGCTGTATAGATTTCTACGATCCTTACTCAAAATATTGATTTTATTTAATAAACTAATTGATCTATGATCTCTTAAGTTTATATATTGTTATACTTTTAATGACAGAAATATATAATTCTTTTGTGTGATTTGTGTTTTAAATGTAAGTTTATTTTGGTTTTGCAAACATTCCTAAGTTCAGCACTTGATTAGAAAAATCGATCGATAATTTTTCACTTTCATTTTATTTTTTGAATTGTCCAACTGTGAGTATTTCCAGTAATGAATCCTTAACTAATACATTATTCATACTCTTTAATATGAATCTTCTTATGAGTCACTAGAATCCATTAATTAATATATTTTTATACAAGATTTCTAAAAAATTTGGTTTTATTAATTTGTTGGATAACAGAAAAAAACAGCTTAAGTCTTAAGACCGACTGAACAGGACTAGCTAGATAAAATAAAAAAATAATATGAATTTTAATGTTTAAATAGCTAAAGAATTTCAAATAAATTATTTTGATTAATCAATCCATAATTATTTAAGAAAATATTAAATTCTAAGAATCCAAAAATTTTGGCAATGGTAAAAATTTATGTTGAATATTTAAGCAAATGGAAGAAAAAGAACCATTAAAGAGTCTTGAAAATTGCAAAAGTCATCCGCTTTTTAATTTTTTAATGTTGTTAAAGCATAAAATTTAAAACTACTTCGACATGAAATAAATTATGATTGAATATAAGACTTTTATTATTAATTAAGCTAAGTTTCTTGGAATAATTATAGAGGAGGATATTTTCATGATTTGGATTTAAAAGAGATAAGTCAGCAAATTTCAAAAAGTTAGGATTTTCATGGGATTACTTTAAGTAATTTGATTAGAAAATTGAAAATTAAAGAATTAAAATAAAATTGTTCAAAAAAAACAAAAGAAGTTTATGAATTCTAAAGATTAAATTTGTTATAAGTATTTCTATATTAATGACTTTAAATTCTGCTAAAGAGAAGAAGATTTAACGAACTTTTCATGAAGTAAGAGAATTAAAGAAAAGATGTTAATAAATTAGGATGCTGAAATAAAATGAGTTAATATTTAATATTTGCATCAATAGATTTGTTGATTTTAAAATTCGTATAGATGTTATGAAATATGTTTGATATTATTTTTCATTTATTTGGTGTGTCTAAGTTTTTATAGACATTGTTGAATCTCCAATTATGATAATAATGAGCAGGAGAATAATCAGAATAGACATGATTAGGATCTTTTTTAGAATATATAATTGATGGAACAAATTCTTTTCCTACTTCAGTTCTATCTTTTAATAATAGATGAACTCCATCATACATGGATAAAAATCTAAATATAATTGATTAAATTACTTTGTAAATCTGCTTGCAAAAACAAAAGATTAATTATCAAATTCATAAATCCAATGATTTAATGTATTATTATCTCCTTAAACAGAATGAACATCATGACCAAATCCTCTAACTTATGGACATACCTTCAACATAGGTAAAGTATTAGTTCCAAGATGAACCCATCTGGAGAATTCAGGAAATGCAAAATGTGCTCTGCCTGTAAAGAGACCTGCTTTAACTGGCCAGAAAGCTAAAGAATCGGCTTTATTAAATGAAACATTCTCATGCAAGAATTTTAATGCAAACTTCCAATCCCATTAACCAGATGGTAATTTAATAAGATTATCACTAAAAATTGATCTCCATTTAACACACTAAGTAATTCAATTTGAATACTTCTATGTTATCTTTTAAATACTATTCAATTTATGATTTTGTTAATTCTTTAGTATTTATTTATGAAAGTTTTGCAATATATCCTCTAAATTCTGTGAATGCCTCATGATATCTTTAATCCATTGGAGAATAATCTATGCAAAATACACCAGTTGTTCTTTCTGGGTGATAACATCCTGCTGCCAAAGCTACTTTAGCTCCAAATCCATGTCCACTTAATGTAGCCATTGAAATTTTGTTATAATACATATATCTGACAACATCATTTGCTAAATCTTGAACATCAAATGAATAATGTTTATCTGATGTGCCAAAATTTCTTGGATTTAAAATATGAACATTTCTGTAATCCAAAATCTATGTATTATATTTTGAATTCTACTTTATTGTTTGGATCACTAAAAAATGGTATCCAATTTTCAACTGGATCACATGCTTCTGTAAAGAATAGCAAATTTGGTAAATCATTATATCTACCTTTAATTGTTACTCCTCTTAACACGACATTTTCAGAAACATTCTAGTATTCACTAACTCCTTTATGAAATTAGAGTGTGCTAAATTTCCAAAGCTATCTAAACCTATACATAGATATATTAATTAATTAATTTAATTATATACTATCATGATTATTTCCATCTTTAGGATAAAATTCATTAATTAATACACTTTTCTATTCTGCTTTTATTATCAATCAGCTTTGTAATTCACAAACTATTGATTGAATATTTCTTCAATCAAATTTAAATTCTAATTTTTTTTATCATACCATTAAAATGATAATCAAAATTTTTATTCTTAAAGAAATTAAGGGGTACATTCTTTAGTTAAAATTTTATCAATATTAAAAATTTCTTTCAATCTATTTTGTTGCTGGTTCTCATAGATCCATATTCACATTTCTTAAAATCTTTATAATTTTTCCAAAGTTAATTCATTATTATTATTCTCTATTTATTTGATTAAATTTAGTTTGATTCACTAATTTCAACCATGAGTTCTCATAAAAGCAATTCTTTTTGAATCCTAAATACCATTTAGTAAATTAATAATGTTTTTAGATTATTTTCATTTATTAATATAACTCAGTCTCATAACACTCTTTAGATTATACTTTAAGCCTCATATATAGAAGGAATTATATCACTCTAAATATCATTAATTTTAGGCGTTATATTTAAAACTATTTGTATAAATTTCTTAATCTGAGAAATTATTTTCGATTTATTTAAATAAAATATATTAAATAGAACTAATTAGTTAAATGTAAATTGGGATACCTTATTTAATGGGTTTTTATTTTCAAGAAATTATTTTGAAAAATTAACATAAATTTTTATTAGTTTATCATATTTAATATTTAATAAGGTACTGAATAAATTCATCCAAGATTTCATAAGTCGGACCTTAAATAAACTTTCTTTTTTGCAGTTAGTGATTATCTTTAAATAATATTTATAGGACTCTGTACAAAGTCAAAATGTACACTTTTTATTGATCTCTGTGGAGCAGATATTTATTATTCATATGATATTTAATTTTGGGCTGATTTCTTTTTCAGTATACTTTTAACTGAAGATCTTTTACTTGAAGTCGATATTTTTGTGTTAGTTAGTGATTTTGATTTTTTAAGATCAACTTTTCTTGTATGTTTTTTCAAGTTGTATGTAGTTTTAATGTCTTAATTCTTATTTTCAATTTAGTGAGAAGGTGATGTAGATTTAATTCTCTTATTATGTTTAATGAGTAACCGCTCATATTATTCCATAACCAAAAATAATCCAAAATCGTCCTCTTCTTTAAGAGATTTCACCATCTACAATGGAATTGGTTTTTATGGAGCATTAGCAGGTATCTAGGTAAGCTAATGAATTATTATATTAATTTCTTAGATTGAACTTTTTGGAGATTCACAAAAACATGGTTTTGAACCCATTAAATGTAATGCCTTTTGTATTATTTATTAAATTCTTGAAAAATTCTTGAATAACACTATAAAATTATCTAGAATTTTAAGGAACGATTCTAAAATACATAAAATCACAAATTTTATGAAAATTTATGCTTGAATTTTATAAAATAGATTATCAGTTGATTATTTTGTCTCTCAAAATATTAATTCAAAATGATAATTTATTTAAAAAAAAATTAAATTTTTCAAAAATAATGATTCAACATGCTCAGAAATTCTTTTTTATCTAAAGATTCTTTCCTTATTTAAAAAATGACAATTAATTAATATATAGATGAGATTATGGAAATTAATCATCTTAATTTTTAGATTAATCGAATCAAAATTCAAAATCTGATTTAGTTAAAAATTTTATTTAATTATTTCATCAAATAATGATTATGATTTTTTTTTTTGATTTTTATGAATTAATACTATTTGAAATTATTTTATTAATAGATGTTTAATAATATATTAATTTAAATATCAATAGAAGAAAATGAAAATTAATTTGTAAAATCGAAAAAAAAAGTTGGCTGTAAAAATATTATAAATAAAACTCCTCAAATATACAAATATCTTTAGTTAATTAAAATAATAATAATAATTCTGAAGAAAATAAATAAAAAAGGGCTTAAGTTATTCCTTAAAAAGAATATTTTAAGATTTTTATATAATTTATTTAAAGTAAAATCTTTAATAATGAAGACTAGTTAAAATAAAATTTCTGTATTAAGAAAGAATAAATTTATCTGTTGTTGAACGATAAAACAAATAATAAAATAAAAGTAAGATTTAAATGAATTAATTGTATTATTGAGAATAAACTAATAATTTTAGGTTTTTGTCATTTTAAAAATAGACATGAGAAAAATTAAATCAAAATAATAAGTCTTTAAAAATGAATTGATTAAGTTCTATTCATTAAATCTATATAGATAAAGTATTTTGAATTTAGAATCATTTTGGATAGATTTAGAGTTGAATAATAAGGTTTATATATATAAATGTTGGTAAATAATAAAGAGAAAATAAACTTCTAAACAATTTGCATAAAAGTGAACAAAATAATGATTATTATTAATAAATATAAAAACGGATTAAAATGTTGTCAAAAACTCTAATAGTGTTGCTAATAGTAACAATGGCAGTTGCAACAGAGAGTCCTGCTCTTTAACAATTAAGAAATAAATTAGACTAAAATGATTATAATTCATAATTAGTTGAAATGTTAGAATTAAGTTTGGCTGGTGGATAGTTGGATAGAGTGTTTGAATTATTATAAAAAATGGTTGATGATTTGACAGGATAAATAAATGCAGCAAATCTAGATCATGCATCAAGAATGGCTAGCTTTGAATAAAGTATTGAACAATTAGAAGCAAATTTGGCATCAATATAAAATGAAGTTTAAACAAACAACAGAAAGGTTGGTGAAATTACATAAGCAATTTCTACTTTAACCTCTACAAGTGTAGCTGTAAAAAAGCAATTAGAAACAATAAATTAAAGAGAAGAATAAATAAGAGATAACAGATAAAAAGAAGTTTAAGCTATGGAAACAAAGTAATCAGCAAGTTCAAAGATTTTGGCAGCTTTAGAAGAAATACATGACAGATTAGTAAAAGCAGTTCTTTCAAATACAGGATCTTTTCTTGAAGAAAGTGAGAAAAAAGAAATGATTAAATAAGTTAAAAAAGAATTAGGTCATAAACATCCTTTAGCATTGTTGTTAGAATTTTCATCTAAGTATAAAAGATAAATTGCAATTATAGATTTGATGAAGCAACTGCAAAAAGAGCAATTGAATTAATTGAACAAATAATTGAATCTATAAAGGAAGGATAATTAAATAGAGAAGCAAATCAAACATCTGTAGAAGAAAACTTTAATGCTTTAGTAAATGAAGTAACTGTTGTTAGAGATAAATTAGAATAAGATAATTAAAAAACAACCAGTGCTTTAAAAAACAAATAAAATGATTTGGTATATGAATCTTATATATTAATTAGAAAATCATTTAAAGAAGAAACAAATAATTATCTAAAAATTAAGAGAATACTTAATAATTATTAGAAACAATAAGAGTCTAAAAAGATTTATATGATTCAAATTTCAGATCCAATGCAAGTAAAAGAGAAGGCCAATTGAATTCGTTAAAGACTGCTTTATAAATTTTGAGAGACAACGAATAAGCATTGAAAAAATGATTTGATTTATTCACAAGAAAAAAACACGATTATTTTTTATCATCGATATATATCCAAATTCTTTTTAAATCAATCACTTGATGATGAGGATTCTTTTCCTTTTTTTGGTTTTTTTTATTTCTTCTTTCTATCTCTAGAAGATGAAGATGAAGAAGAACTTGATGAACTGGATGGACTTCTTCTTCTACGTCTTTTTACCTTTCTTTTATGATGTCTAGATATAACTAAATTTACCTTGAGCTTGAGCTTGATGATCTTCCTTTTTATCTACAATTTCGAGCACTAATTAATTTTCATCAAATATTTACAAATGGCCTATTTTCCCACATTTATAGCATTCACCATCTTTTTTTTTGGCTCTGGCTATCTCTACAACAAAAGTATTGCCATCTTAATCTTTTTAGTTCATTTCATTCACTGCTTCTGTAGCTTCTTCAGCTTTTGAATAAGCCTAATAAAATAGACGCTTAATTACTATAAAACAAAAACGACCCTTCCAAGAGAATTCAATTATTTCTCCATATTTAGAAAAAAGACCTTTGATATCATCTTCATTTTTATCTTTTGTTGAATATCCAGTCACAAATATCCGATTTTCTGTTTTACTCTGTTCACTCATTGACATCCTTAAATTAATTAATTTATTTATTTATAATTAATTTTTATTTATATACAACAATACAACGGGATGGTGTTAAGTTCCACAAATGTAATAAATTGAAGAAGATTTCGCTGCTATTCAAAGAAAATAGTCACACTTAAAACAGTGCCTGAGAAACTTAATCAAATTGGAACCTTAAATAAATAGTATTAAAAATACAGCTGAGCAAATAACAATCGTTTTAATCTATTAGCTTACTAATTCAAACAACAATATTATGTATACTGTCCAAAATATCCAAAATATTCAAAAAAAAATCCCTTAATTTTTTTTTATTAATAAAGTTAATTCATTGTCAATTAAATCCTTAAGAATATTACTTTAAATAATATGGATCATCTTGGATTTATATTCCTAAAATTAATAATTTTATTGACTAATTATAAATTCGAATAATTCAAGCTACTATTCTTTCTAAATAAATATTATCCTCTAAGAATATTAGAGACTTAGGATATCTTCTCTTCTTACCAAATTATCCAAAAGAATGTTAATTATCACTTTGTTCTATATATTTAACTATTTCTCATTAATTGCATTTTTTTCTTTTTCAAAAACTCTCTCAGCATACTTTTGCTAATTTTGATTTCTTACATTTACAGTTAATTCATATAGGAGCTTCTTTCTAATTTTATAATTATATAAAATTATTTCTTCGAAGGATAAATTTAAAAATTTTACCTTATTAATTACCTCCTCGCTTTCTTAAGTATATTCTTTACTATTTTGAACCCTAAGCCTTAACATTAAATACTACACATATTTAAATTGGCAAAAAATAATCACAAATTTATTTTAAATAAATGAATAATGGAACATTATAAGACTATTATAAATCTATCAAAGACTTCTTTTTATTGAAACCTATGTTATTCTAAAGTTATGATTTTAAGCAAATTCATTACAATTAGGTTTATATCTGTTTTTATTTCCTTTTAAACCTACATAAAGATATAAAATATATTACATATTTTTCAAATAGTTAAGATTAAAAATAAAGTAAAATTAAATCAACCTTGGGGGTCTGATGTCATCAATTTAGTAAAGTATCCTTGACAAGTGGATAATGAAAGGGTAATTGAATAGAAGCCAAAAGGCATTTCTACAGACTGATCATTAGTCTTTTGGTGACAATTTGAGATTAAGTCATTAGGCTAGATTTTCCAATTTTTGATAGATTAATGAAGAGGAAAGGCCAGATAAAATCGATTGATTCTGATGGATGAGATAAATAATGTAAATAAAATAGATATCATTTTGTAATTATACTTTTTAATTACTTTAATTTTGATAAAAATCTAGGATAGTTATCCATTTTAATTCTTGTTTAGATAGACAGCTATTTTTCCTCTTACTTTGATTAAATTCTATAAAATTTGTTGAGCTATCGAAAATATATGTCCTATCTTATTTTCTGGAGTTTAGGGATTTTTTTTAAATCTGTAGACTTAATTAAATAGTTAGATAATTATTTTACTTTAAATGACTATTATATAACTTAAATAATATTAGCATACTCCAAAATAAAAATTAATCTTAAGTTTATAACTAAAAATAATAATATTCTATAATTTAAGATTTACAAAGCTATAATAATATGATAGTCAATTTATAGTTGTTAAATTCAACTTAAAAGAAAATTATCTAAATAAATATTAATATTTTTGATTGAAAATATTTGATAATAGTATAAAAGTGGAAATCAATTTAATTAAAATTGGAAATTAAAAAATAAAAATTGGAAGAATGAATTGATTAATAATAATGATATAGTATGAATTAAGATAATACCTAATAAAGAATTTGAAAATAATATTAATGTTAAAAAAAATTACAAGATATTTTTTCTCACGTGAAAAGATTCAATATGACGTACTTATAGTTGGGGCTGGTCCAGCAGGTTTATCAGCAGCAATAAGAATAAAAGAATTAGATCCAAACAAATCGGTTGTTGTAATAGAGAAATCAGGAAGCTTGGGGGGACATATACTTAGTGGGAATTGTTTTCAACCAACTGCTATAAATGAACTATTTCCTAATTGGGAAAAAATGGAAAATGTATTATAGTTTTAAAATAACAAAATAGAAACCTCCATTAGATACTCCAGTTACAGAGGATCACTTTCACATACTTTGGAATGAAAAATTAAGTTTTTAGATTCCACATATGTTTTATCCATCTACAATTAGAAATCATGGAAATTATGTAATTAGTTTGGGAGATTTATGTGTATGGATGGGGGAATAGGCTTAAGCTTTAGGAGTAGATATTTTCACAAGTACTTCTGGAGCAAGAGTGATTTTTGATGAGAAAGATAGAGTGATAGGAGTAGCAACAGGAGATTTGGGAATAGGTAAGAATGGAGAGAAGAAATCTAATTATTAAGAGGGAATAGACATAGAAGCAAATTAAACAATATTATGTGAAGGTGCAAGAGGTTCAATTTCTGAAAGAGTTATAGAAAAGTACAATTTAAGAAAGGGTAAGCATAGTTAATATAAAAAGATTGTGAACCTTAATCTTATGGAATAGGATTAAAGGAAGTTTGGGAAGTTCCTTCTGAAGATTTTATATCAGGATTAGTATAACATACAGTTGGATGGCCTTTATGTAGAAATACTTATGGAGGCTCATTTTTATATCATAAGAATAGTAACTAAATACATTTAGGATTGGTTGTGGGATTAGATTATGAGAATCCAAATTTGAATCCATATTAAGAATTTTAAAATTTGAAAAGACATCCAAAAATTAAAAGATATATTAAGAATGGAACCTGTATAAGTTATGGAGCAAGAGTTTTAAATGAAGGAGGATATTTTTCAATTCCTAAATTAACATTTCCTGGTGGAATGTTAGCTGGATGTTCTGCTGGATTTTTAAATGTTATGAAAATAAAAGGATCACATAATGCTATGAAATCTGGAATGTTAGCAGCAGAAACTATATGTGCTAAATAAAATTTAGAACCTGGTTAAGAATTAATTGAATATGAAAATGCAATTAAATAATCTTGGATCTATGATGAACTTTATAGATCTCGTAATTTTAAAGGTTCATTTTAGTACAATATTTATTCTGGACTCTTTTATGGTGCTTTTGATGGTTTTATATCTAAAGGTAGAGAACCTTGGAACATTAAATCACATGTTAAAGAAAGTGAATCATATTTAACTAAAGATAAAGCTCCATAAATTAAATATGAAAAACCTGATGGAAAATTAACCTTTGATTTATTAGACAATTTAACTAGAAGGTATATATAATAATTAGTAAAGTGGAACCAATCATGAACATGATTAACCACCTCATCTTAAAGTTATCAAAGAATCTGGACCTAAATAAAGTCTAGATTTATATGATGGCCCTGAATAAAGATTTTGTCCTGCTAAAGTTTATGAATTTATTGATACTAAAGAAGGTAAAAAATTATAAATCAATGCTTAAAATTGTTTACATTGCAAAACTTGCGATATTAAAATGCCCAAAGATTATATTAGATGGACTATTCCAGAAGCTGGAGGAGGACCAAACTAGTAATTAATTTAAATATTATATTTAGTTCTGGCATGTGATTTTATTATTATATTATATTCATATAATCACAGAATTAAAATAACAATATATATATTTTATTTTTTATATGTTTTTGACTTAATCAATCAAATTTTGGAGTGCGTCCTATACTTCTTTGATAATATTTAAGCATTCTCTAATCTTAATCATCCATCCAAGAATCCAAACCATTTTATTGATCCATGCTATTATTCATTGCTTCTTCATAACTGATAAAATCAGCAAACTAATCAAATGTTTTTGAACTATAAACAATTATTTATTTCTCAATACCCAGATAAAAAGGCAATCAAATCTTCCAAACTTCTATGTGGTCTTGAATAAGCTTCCAATCTATTCTTAAACAATATTTTATCAGCTTCTGCATCTAATCTCTCTAATTCCTTCTCACTTTCTACTTTTTTTGGTGCCACATATTTTGGATCATAATAGTTTGATTTTACCCATATAAATGATCCAATCATTCCAGCAAAGAAAAAGAAGTTGAATCCTCTTAACTATCATTCATATTAATAACTTTATACACATGCTTCACTTCTAGCCATTCTAAATACAGTATCTTTCCATCTCAAAACACCTTTTGTCTTGAACATACCAATATCATCCTAATTGAATAATATATTTGCCTTTCTATATACATATATTTATTATACTATACCTCCAAACACGAAGATTCCAACTCTGTTTTGAAAAATTTTTATACCACATTCCAAAATAAATAATAATTTTATTATTACTTTCATTCACACAAAAACATTACAAAATTATGTAATACTATTACTATTAATCATTATAGTTGTTTAGTTTACTAATTGATATTCAATTATGTGATAATTATTTTATATTTTTATTCAGATCAGATTCCTTCATTAATATTCACAAAAAATACACTTTTATTTATTATTAAAAAAATATGGGAGCATAATAATGTTGTGGCTCATAAATTGTCATTCACACTTTTTAATCCTTATCTAATCAAAGGTCTCAAGAAAGTTAATTTACAAATGATATTGATGTATTCAGAAAAGCTGTTATCTAACCAATCAAACCTCTACCTCTTAATAGATTTGAAAGTCTAAAAGAAGTTATGGATGATGATATTGATGATATTTTAAATCATTTTAATGAATTAGAAAAAAAATGAATAAACTCATGTTTATCCAGAAAAGTCTTTTGATGTTTTAATTCATGAACCAAATTTAGATACTAATTATTTTACATCAACTAAATATATATTAAACCAATCATACTTTAAATTTCATATATGCGAATTCTAAAGTTATTTTTAATAAATAATGTCATATAAGACTTTGTTAATATAACATTTTGTTGATTACATTAGTTTAAAATGATTATCTTATTGTCATAATCACGGTTACTAACTCTAATTATCTTTGCATTGTTAAATATATATATATAGCTTTTTTATAATTTTATTTTGCTTTAAAATTTTATAAATCTTAATCATAATTTTTATTTGATTTCATTTATAATAAAGAGTTTTTATATAAGAACTAATATTCATTTTCTCCGAAAATATTAGCAGAAATAAATATTTTTAATGTTTAATTTAGTATATATTAATTTATAGCTATAAATAAAAATATTTTCGAAAAAAGCATATTTACAAATTCTTGTAAGAAAAATACTTTAACTTTTTGATGTTTAAATTTCTTTAACATATATTAATGTATTTAAATCTGAAAAGAAAATTTTTATTAAATATCTAATAATTTATCGAAAAATTTGATTGATTCCTACTTATTGATGGAAGAGGCCATTTTGAGATGAAATTATTTAATAATTAATAACTAAATTGGATTAGTATAGACTAAGAAAATATTTTGAAAATTCAAAAACGATAGAATCAAATATTCTTATGAAATTACAGTAAATATTAAGTATTTGATCCTTTTTTTAAAAAAGGAATCACATATATTTTAAAAAAATATTATTCACATTTATATAAGAAAATTTATTATATTATATTGAGAACTTCAAAGAAAGCAAGACAAATCAAATTCTTTGATGAATCAAATGCAATTAATATAGTTTTCTAATTAAATTAAGCTAGGATATTATTTTGTTAATAATTCTCGGTGACATTTTTTTATGAATAGAGTTGATTAAATTCTTTGGTTTTGGAGAATATAAAATAAAAATTATTATCTATAAAAATTCGACTAATAAGGAGATTTAATGAAAATTGAACTCTTTTTTTTTAAGTTTTATGTTGGCATAATATGAATCCAGCAAATTGAAAATTTTATAATACAATTAATGAATTCTATAGTTTTGCTGTAATATATTTAATGAAACAATAAAATTTTTTGTCAAATAAGTTCATGAAATACTTTAATAAAATATAATTAGATTGATTATAGCATTTCTAAATTCTATTTTTCAGTTCATATAAATTTTATTTAATTATATTGAAATAGATATAATGGGCTGCAATAATTCAAGAAAAAATCTTTAAGAAAAGAGTTCTTTAAATAGTAAGGAGCTAGAAAAATGTAATGAGAAGTTTAAAAAATTGTCATAAGTTGCACCAGGGTAATTAAAATATATATAAATTTAGAAAAGCTGAATAATATATTGCTATTGAAGGTTTTAGAACAGCCTTCTCAGAAAATGCGTAATTGGCAGATAAAATTTATAAATTCATCAAGAGTTAAAGTGAAACAAATATAGTAAACAGAGAGACTTTCGTTTTATCAAGTAATTATTTAAAAACGATTATTAGTGGAACTATTTACAAAATAGAAATCAGAGATATATGTTTATACAAATAACTATAAGCATTTGGAACAATATTAATTATTATTATTGATATCTATTTAACATCCTGAAATTTACAAGAAGGAGGAATTCAAGTTATAAATGTTGACTAAAGTTGAAATAACATTTTTATAGGCAGGAATATATATAAAAGAAATTATAAATATGTTGAGTCCAAAAGGTAATAGATTAAGTGAAGATGATGATGTAGCAGCAAAACTATTGATCAATAATATATTTGGAGGTAATTTAAATGGTTATAATAGATAAAACAAGCAATATGGACTTATAATAGTTTTGTAATTAAATAAAGATGGAAGTTCCTTTAATTAATACAGTTATAAGGAGATATTTTGCAGGAAAGTTTACAGATTCTACTCATAAGATTAAACTTCCAGAGTTAACTGATAATTCACTTATTATAAACTATTAAATATTAGGTTTATTTTATTTGAGTACACCATGGTTCTATCAAACAAAAAAATTGAATTTGTTATTTGCTTATTAAGAAGGTCAGGATTAATTTGATTTAAACCTTTTATCAAATTAATTGTTATCTTAAAATTCTCCAACTCTACTATTATTTAGACACGTTGAACGATTGAATAAGTATGAAAAATTACCATATTAACATTCACCAGATGAAAATTTAGATGCATTTGAATAACATTATTTATTTGGTTATTTTAATTCATCAAGATGGAGATTAGCACCAGATATAACTGGAGATAAGAATTCATCAATATTTTCTATAGTTCCAAAATATTAATAATTTATAACAGGTAAAGGAAAAGGACAAAGCAAATATGCTTTATTAAATAGTGATTAAGGAAGACCATTACCTTAGTCATTATAAAAGAAATTAAATAAATTTGGATTAGGTATTGGAGGTAGTGGATATGAATAACATAGAATTTGGATAGATGGTTCAAATTTGAAAGATAGCTATATAACAGATGATGATAAAACTTTTGCAACTGGACATATATTAGCTCCTCATATAACAAAATTAAATATTGATAGAATTGAAGTTTGGAGTGTTGAATTCATTTCAACATAACAAGATTTATCTCACTTTAGATAAACATAAATGAATCAGTAAATTATAATCATTAAATTTAAAGCATTAATTAATTATTGGAAGATGAAATTCCAAAATAAAACGTTGATCCTGGATCACTTATAAACTCTATAAAAAATAGAAATTCTAGAGTTCAATCAGCTATACATACTTAATAAGTAGAAGAAGAGAAATTTGCATGATAAATATGATAATCAAAAGATATATACATAATGGAATACAATTATCATCTTTAATAAATAAAATCTATATATTCAATGTTTAAGTTTGTGAGTACTAGTATGGAGAGTCTATTTTCCTAATTCATCTAATTTTATCATTTAACGAATTCTCTTTGGAAGCATAGATTTCTTTAGCAATTGTTTTTTTACTTCAATTGTTTAAGAATACAAATTATCTAAGTGTATTTCATATGCTGATTATAAAGATGATGTATCAGAGACATCAAGTATTTATTTAAAATTACTCTCAGTCAAAGTTTTAAGCTTTTTCTTATTTTTTTATTGTAATTTAATTTATGGATTGGGTTGATTTAAATTTAAATTCTCTTCTCCTTAATTTGTAAAATGGCATCGATATGAAACTTATTGTGGTTATTGATGTAAATAATCGTATAATTCAATATCCTTATATGTTAAGACTTCTTTGACATAAAGATCATACTAATGTGTTTTTTGTAATTTATTATCAGATAGCAATTTCATTCTGGAAAGCCTATCTAAATTTTATTACTTTTTTTCATTTATATCTTCTAGCTCTTTTAAAAATTATTTACTTGAATCCTATAATTAAGTTTTAAGAAATAATTTTGGGTTAGTTGAAGTTTATGAATTTAATTTTGACTTCAGTTATTATTTACGATACATTTTTGAATTATCATAACTAATAGTTACAGTTTTTAATGTTTTCATTTATGGTATCATTTTTTCATATGTCTCCACCTATTCAATTTTTTTATTAATATTTTCTGATGCTTCTACAATAGATTTTAGTAGTCCAACATTTTACAAACTTCTTCTACGTTTTTCATCATTGTCTTTTTTTCTATTCACAACCTTCGATTTAATTAAATTATTAAGGACTGCTATTTTAGTTTTAAGATAATTAATTCTTTCTTCAGACTAAGTTTTAACATGTTTATATTTATGTTTAAATCTGAGTAATGGTCCTAAAATTACCATACCTTTAGCTTCTTTTTCTCTTTATAATTTTTCATATTATTCAATTTATTATTATTGATGAAGTCTAGGACAATTATTTGCTTAGAGAAGTTAAAATGAATTTATCCGGCCATCTAAAAATTCATTGAAACTATCTTTTATTTTTATTTTTGGTTAGATTGGGCTAATAATGTCATCTTGAGTTGGATAAAGTAATTATGTTGTTTTAGTGGAAGATGGAGTAAGTTTAGTTAAGTCTTCTGATTCAGTTTTGACATGAGAAAAATGAATGATATTCATTATATTATTAAAATAATTGCATTTTTTTGGTCACAAGGAAATTAACCTTAATAAAGTATGCTATTATCAATTCAATTCCTTAACGCAAATAGGAAAGAAAAGTAGAATATATAAATAATAAGTAGCTACTTTGAATTCTAAATAACATTAAGAAGATTCTAAGAAATTGGATTTTTATGAATTAAATACTTTATATTTTTGAAAGAAATGCTTTATAAAACCTGCTTATCAAAGACATTATGAAAGAAATAGAACAATTTAAACATTTACTCTGTTTAGACTAATTTTTATTGATATATAAGGTAATGTATTTTAATGATTTAATTCGAAATTTTGCATTAATTTTGATCTGTTTATGGAATATAAATAAGATTTTGAAGAAAATGTAAATTAATGTGATATTAAACTATAAAATGATTTTCGAAAATATAAAATATGAAAGTATTTTACTTTTGAGATTTAAATAATTTTTGTACTTTAGTTCATTTGAGTAAAATTTACACAAATTAATTTCTAATTGCAAAAAAGTCCAGAATTTAAAAAAAGAAGTTTAAAATATTAAATAGTGAAATTCTTAGCTCATTACTTAAACAGCAAAAACTAATTATTTAGAACTAATAATTCAATTAAGATTAGAGCCACATAGGTTAAATTTAAAGAGAAAGTATAATTTGCTAAATAATAAGTCAAAATTTATGAGAATGAAAGAGTAAAGTATATCATTTTGGCAATTTGTGGATCGAGATTTATTCACCCCTTTTTAAAATATACATTTTTCCTAATTTGCACCATTCTCTTATGGAAGATAAGCTATTCATTTATACTGAATATTAAGGGACATGATAAATTAATTTAATTGTTTTTGAGTAAAGTTATTGTTATTTAGAGATATGAAGTTATAAATAAATATATTATTTTGTAATTTATCAACTTTATTTATAAGATATATATTTTATTTATTCAGTATTAGTTCTCATCAATTTCAATTGCAGTTTTCTTTTTAAGATCTTCAAAATATATAATCCACTATATGCTATGTAAAATTTTTTAAGATTTCAAAATCAGAAGCTAAAAGATTATAGTTTTACAAAAAGATATTCAATTAAAAATATTTGGGTTATCATTAATTTTTTAATCATTTATTAGCTCAAATTGAATTAATTAAATAATTTAATTGTGGGAGATGATAACTAAACGGACAAAAATGATGATAAAGTCTATCCTCATTTATATTTTAATTAATACTTTGAATTTCTAATACTGATTACTGCTTAACCTATTCAGATTGGTGTTAAAGTCTCTCATTAATGATATATATTATAAGCCAATCTGGATATCTAAAATTATGAGAACCTAAATATATTTATATGAATTAATGCTAAGCCAAATTGATCAAAAATTCAAACATGATTGATTGAGTTTATATTTTAATTAAATCTAGATTTTCATTTTTATATAAAATATATTATTAATATAAATTAATGAATTACGATCTATAACAAATGAAAAAGACATTTTCAAATAAAAAGCCTCCTGTAGATAATCGCTCAGCCCGAAACGTTCATGAATAATTTCTTGATAAATAAAGTATTAACGTATCATTTAATGAAAAAAAAAAATCAGCTCCAAAAATGAATGCTCTTTTATAAGAACTTTAAAAAAGAACTAACTCATAAGATTAGTAATTTAATAGAAAATCAACTACAAACTCTTAACATGAAAAATCTTCAATTAATAAAACTCAAAGATCCATCTCGCCATAGCTTTTGTAGCTTTTGTATTAAATGCCCTAATAGTCAAAGAATATATAATAATAAAATAATGTTAGGTTGGATTAAGATAAATTATTAATTAAAAATTAAAAACAAGATTCTTCTAAATGCAAAACAGAAGAATCAAAATCTCATAAAATTGAATCAACTAGTTCTACAATAAATGACTCAGAAGAATAAGTTTAATAGTTCATTAATTTAGAAGAAAATGTATTTACTATCTTAGTTGTTATCGGTAAAAAGAAGAAGGTTATTAAATAATGCTAAAATTATCTTAATTAAATTTCTCATTTTATATTTGAGGAAAAAGATTAAATTTCTTAATAAATCTTATAAAAATCAATGATTTTAGAAAGAATTGGAATATTAGTAGTTTTATACAAAGCCTTATCAGATACATTTGATGAGGATTAATAAAATTTAAAAAATTTATTATTTTATATTCACAACAGTATGGTTTTACATTTAGAATTAATGCAGAATTCAAATTTTTTATCATAATCTTAAAAAGCTTCAATATAAGCAAGACTAAATAAAGCTAGAGCTAGAAAAAGTCCTTAACTTATTGATATTAATTTGATACGTAAAAATAGTAATGTAGTATATTCTCTTTTAATTCTATTGTAAATTAATTTTATTAATAATTTTTAGTGTTGAAAATGCAACTGATAACAACCTTATATAATTGGAAAAAATCTTAACAATAATTGATAAAATCAATTTATAATAAGGAACTAGATTTGTTAAATACTAATATGATAAAATAGTATAAAATATAAATCTATATTTAAAAGTTAGTACATATTCAATAGTTGAGATTAACGATGGATTCTTAAGATTTTTAGTTTGACTAGGAAGAAGTGATTGATTGTTAACAGATACCTTACTTATCTAAAACAAATAAATACACTTTGGTATTAGATTTAGATGAAACATTAGTCCATTACTAAGAAGTAACTGAGTATATTTCTATATAGTTAGTGGATGATGGACAATTTTTGGTTAGACCTTACGCATAGTAGTTTTTGAAGGAAATGTCAAAATATTATGAAATAGTTATTTTTACAGCAGCACAGTAAGATTATGCAGATTTCATATTGGATTTAATAGATGACGAATAGGTGATAGGATATAGATTATATCGTTAACACACAACTTTAGTGAAGAATACATATGTTAAAGATATTAATAAGATTGGTCGAGATGTAAAGAGAACCATAATTATTGATAATTTAGCTGAAAACTTTATGTTTCAACCAGATAATGGAATCTAGATATAGAGTTGGTATGGAGATTAGGATGACTAAGCTTTAATGTTTCTTTCTCCTTTATTAATACAAATAGTAGAAAAGAAGATTCCAGATGTGAGAGAAGCTTTAAGAAAGTTTAGAGATTAGATGTTGAAAAACATTGAGGATGGTGTTTCAGATCCACATTTGCATTTAGGTTTAGATTGATAAATCTTAAAGAGCAATTTTGATTATTTACATAATTATCTAATTTTAATCATAAAGATCTGAGAATATATAACAGATAAAAGTTGTTTAAAAAAAGTTAATTAATCATAATAAATCTCTAATTTATAATCTAAAAAAGTTTAAATATTAAAATTAATAAATTGATACATGTTTTCTTTTGAGTGTGAAAATAAGATTTTGGAGATAGAAAATAATGTTGATTTATGTTTATTGAGATTTAAGTGATACAAAAATAGAGAAAATAATAGAGAAAGGAAAAAGAGCAAGTTGTCAGTTATGAAAGGGGAATGAATATCAATATTTATAAAATACCAATAAAAGCATAATTTATTAAATAAAATAATATTAAGAAATAAATTAGATAAGCATGATCAGATCTTTTAAGTAATATACCTAAGAGAATAGCAAAAGATTATTGAGTCCTTTGTAAAGTGGTCATTTTGGATATAGTCCAGAACCAAACTTAATTTCAAAGCCTTAAACAAATATAGCTAGGAAATCAAGTCTTATAGATTTAAGGTAGTTTGAAGAGAAAAGATTTCAACTGCCTAAATAAAAAGAGAATAAAATAATGAAGAAACCTGTAACTTCAGATCCAATGTCAAGTAAGAAGATATTGTAGATAGTAAAGGAGGCTTAATAACAATTATATTCATCTCAATAGCCAAGAACATAATAATAATAAGTTTAATAATAAAAGCAAATAAGAGCTATAACTTTGGAGAATTAAATCGAGGGATTAAATTTCACTTTTGCTTAAAATTTCTCGAATAAGAAAGAAATCATGAAAGAGTTTTCAGCTCACAGCTTAAAAAAAAAATTCTTTGCTTGATTTTTATATATAATATTACAATAACATTAATACTAATTTATTTATTAATAATCAATCTTTTCTAAGAGGCTTAACAATTCTTTCTGTTCCAGCAGGTGTAATAATAAAGATTTCAACATTATCTCCTGTATGAATATCTCTTTCAGCTGCACAACTGAAACAATCTAAAATAATATCTAATATTTCTTCTTTTGTTTAAGGAATAGTTTTATTAATTTTGTTATATCCTTTTAATTGATTATCTAATACAGCAACAACTAATTCTTAACCACTTCCTTAAACTCCATAGGTCATTTTATCATAACTACCAATAGCATCATATCCATAAACATATCCATGATTGTTTTCATCTAAACCAGCTAATAAGTTAAAAGTATAATATGGGAAGAATCTTCTTGAATATAATTCTCTTGATAATAAATGAGCAACAGTCTCTGTTGAAGCCTTTTTATATTATATTGTTTCTTACTTAAACTTCATTCTAAAATTCATATAATTATAATCTTTGTTAAAGAAATTTTCTCAATGCAATAAAATCTGCATATTAGCCTGCTGTGGCTAAAACACATTTATCTGTCAATTAAGCCATTTTTGTAGCATCTCTAGAAAGTATATTATATCCATTGCTCAATCTTGTATCTCCTGCTACTATTACTGCTCCTGGAATTCCCACAGCTTTTGAATTTATTTATTGAATTTACCTAATACAGTTCCTGAATTGTCATAATAGGGACTCCATTAATCACTCTTATTAGTAATATTTCCCATTGTTGGAATTTCTTACTTAAAATGTCTTAACATCTCATTCACGGGGATATACATTTTTAAAATTAATGAATAACAATAATACTAATCTAGCCAAGAATTTATGGATTGAATGGCAATTATTTAAGAAAAATGAATCCACTAATCCAACATTACAAATGAAAAAACAAGGGATCATGACCAAAACTGATTAATATGCCGAATTCACTTATAGACCCAATGCTACTAGTCCTCCATCTATGTAAGAATTTTATGAATCTGTTATCAATGGAATCATTAAAAGATTTTAATTAGGTCTCTATTAAGGTGAATACCCATATTATAATGAATTATAAAGTTGTCTACATGAATTCATTAGACTAATGAATTTCAAATCAGAAATCTTGGTTGAAGTCTTTTAATCTATTACAAATCTCAATTTAAGCAAAGAAACTTTTCCTAATGTTGTCGTACCTTGTGCATCCTGCGGTATGTTCATTTATATAGTCTAACATTGTACCGTCTGTTATTCTGCATTTTATTGTGATAAAACTTGTTTGAAAAATGGAAAATAAAAACATGAATCTGAATGCTAACAAGCTAAAATTACACCTTCCATTATTTATCCATTATAAGTTGAAATTCATTGCGGAGGTTCATTAGGAGATGATGTCAAAATATATTTTTAACATGAAAGAAAATTATCTTTATTGTATAGAGGGTAGAAGTTTTTAAATTCAATGTACAAAATTTTACTTAAAAATCGTTGGCTAAAGAATAATGGTTATAATATTGTTGAAAATGAATCTTCTATTTAATTATAAAGTACAAAGAAAATAGATATGAAACCATCTGAAGATTAAGGTGATCCAAATTACTCAGATGAGGACTTATATTTAAAAATGCCATGTGTTTAAGAAATTAAGGTGATATTCCTAAATTAAGGAGCAATCTTATAAGATATTATCAAAGAAACCTACAATTTATAAACAAATTTTATTCATATTTATTATTTTCCTATTTGAAATAATATATAAAATTTATTTAATAAAGTCATTATATTATTTTTTATAAATTCTTTAATCTTTTTTTTAGATTATTCAAGACTTCATTAGATTTTTTAGTTAATTAATTTTGTGAAACATCTAACAGTTCCAATTCTTAATGGTATGATTTATCTAATTCGTAGCATAATTACAGAATAGATTCATCATGCAATAAATTATTCCTTAATCGTAACTCTTTTATTACAGGCTCTGCTATTAAATCTGGAAGTATTATTTAGAATCCTTCATCTGTTAATTAATAATCATTAAAATCATAGATTTCTGTCTCTTAAGGATCTTTTCCTTCAAGATTTATTGCTAACAATTCTTCCTATAATTGATTCCTTTTTAAAAATAAAATTATACTCCTGTATACATGCTAATTCTTAATCAAGTTCTACGATATCATTATAAGGTTTGCAAGAGACCGCTTAATTTGGATTATTTAGAATTTAATTCTTAAAATTTCCTATTATTAGATCCTTATCTTTCAAAATATCTCTCAATATTCTAAGTCCTTCTGAATCTTGAGGTTCTCCAACACAATATTCAATGATAGGTTTGCTTTTAAATTTGAATTCAATTTGAGAAGGTCTTCCAGCATAAAAAATTTCTAGTAAAACTAATTTTGGATCTTTGCTAGTGCTGAAAATAAATAAAGTATGAAAGCCTTTTATTTTAGCACTAAAACATGAATAATTCTATTTTTTCTATCCAATTTATACAATATTTTATTTAGTCATAAAAACAACATTATTTTAATTAAATGTTCTTACATCTCTCTAATTGACTAGTAATAATCCTGTGATACCATCTTAATTTTCTAATTCAGATAATCTAAATATAAATTATGTTTCATTTTATGTATTTACAACAATTTAATAACTTGGATTATTTACCCATTATTAATTATTACCAGGTACACCATGAGTTGTTGTTGTAACATTAATAAATAATCCTCTAAAATCGTCTGGAAAATCTTTAATTATTACTATGCAATTGAAATTTTGAGTAAGATCTTTAATTGTTATCTCATGAGAGCTTACTTAAAAGTGATTTAATATTTTAACTTTATTCTCTGAAATAGATTCAAAAATATACATTTAATTTAATGTTGGTAGAAATGAAGATTAAGCTTTCTAGTTTTTATTGAAACCTATGCTAGTCATTTACATAAATCCAACAATACTTCCATTTTTTTATAATAAAGTCAAAGTTTATTGTAATTATTTTTAATTCACATTATCAGGATTTTCATAAACTATTATTTCCGGATCTAATCCACATAAATTTCTTATTGAATCTCTTAATGAAATCCCAACTATTTAATCATAACCTCCCAAAATAATAGACATTGCTTTTTCTAAAAGACTTACCCATATTGAATTATAACCAGAACGAGAGTATTTTGGCAGATGACCAGAAAAATATACATAAGGGTCTATAATAACAGAATATCTTTGATTCTTTTTATACAATTTGAAAATGTATCTATCCTGTTCTTCATCTATAATATAAAGTGTATTAAATAGTTATTGATGACTAATTATAAGAGCCATAGCATTTAAAAATTCTCTATCTTATAGTTATCCTTAGATTATTTAAATTGGTTAAGAAATAAATTGCATATTGTGGGCTTCTTCCAAAGTTTCAGCAATATGTATTAAATCTTCTGAAGGTTATGGTAGGATCAATTATTTCAATTAATCAATGATGTTTTCTGAATGGCCTTCTAAAACATTAGGAGCAATTAATTTCTATGTTAATGTTCTCATTTTTTATAAATTTCTTTCCATCAATGATATCGATGGCTAAGAAATTTATTAAGACTATTATTGAGATTTAAGGGACTTAGTCTAATTAGACTTTTCAGATTTAGGTTTATCATCTAAATTATTATTAGACATTTTAATTATATATATAATGGCAAATAATTCAATAGCTACCCAAAGATTAATGCGTGAAAAATAAAAGATGGAATTAAATCCAAGTGATACCTTTTTAGCATTTCCTCATAATTAGAATATATTTGAATGGCACTTTCTTTTATTTAATTTTGCAAATGATTCACCTTTTAAAGGAGGATAATTTCATGGAATAATCAACATTCCAGTTGATTACCCACTTAAACCTCCAGCAATAAAATTTGTTACTCCAAATGGTAGATTTGCTGTTGGTGAAAAGATTTGTTTGTATCTAACATATTATTGAATTATAGATCATTCACAAACTACCATCCTGAGACATGGAGTTCTTCATGGACAATTGCCTCAATGCTTGTTGGTTTAGTATCATTTATGCATACTAATGAAAAAACGGTAGGTGGTTTAGATTGTAATAACTATTAAAAACAAGTATATGCAAAAAAGTCTATAAAGCACAATTTACAAAATCAATAATTTGTTGAACTATTTACTCCTCATTTTAATAAATTAGGCATTCAGTAAAATGATTTCTAAGAAACTATGTCTTAATAGCCTGATTTCAAAGCTAACTTACTTGAAAAAGGACCTGAAGAACAGCCAGAACCAAATATTAATAACAATGTCAATAATAATAACAATAATAATAACCATAATGCAGTTAGAAAATGGCTAGTTTTATTAGTTTTATTATTAGCTTTTCTACTATTGCTGATTTACATAATTTTTGGAATGATTTGAATACTGTTATAAGATCATATTATATACACATTTTATTTATCATTTAAGAATTAGATTAATTTTGTTTCCCTTATACTCATATTCTGAAAGTACTGAAATGACTTTTAAAGCTTCATAGATATCCACCATAGTAATTTAAATGCTGTATTATTCTAATTTAATTTCTAAATAGTAAAATTTAATTATTACCTTGAATTTTACCAACAAGTTTAACCATGTCTTGAATATCAAGTAGATCACTTATTCCAGAGAAAACGAGGACTTTACTAAGGGGAACAATTTTGAATTTTGTTTAGCTACCCACATAATATTCTTCATTAAGAGTTGATGCTTCAAGATTATCAACTTAATGAAATAATATTCTTATCTAAAAATAATAGCTATATTGTACTTCTCTATTAAAAAACATAATATTATTGAGGAGTTCCTTTGCAATAGTAGCATGATCAATGTTTGTAAATTATAAGATTGCAGAATTGTCCTTCTTTATAAATAATAATGCATTCAAATGTCCAAATCTATTGAATATATTATAAAGCATTTTGGAAGTGACTCTCTCATCTATATTTTATACTTTCAAATATTTTGATGGTTTTTAAGCCAGTAATTCATTAATGACTTATTATTATTCGTCAAATTAATTAAGGTTAGATCGTGCTACTTCATTTGCATAATCTTCATCTAATATTCGTTCCAATTATTTTAATTATGTTTCCATACTATAATTTAATTATAATTTTATACATTGCTTTGGTAGGAGATTCTTCAGAAGCATGAGATAGATCAACAGCTTCTAATTTTATTACTTAAGTTAAATCAATTAGAGGTGGTTTTCTTTCTTCTTCTATCAAAATTGGGGCTTTTTGTATATTTTAAACTTGTCTTTAAGGTTAAGGTTGTGTCTCTATTTCATGAGTTTAATATTGAGTGCCTCGAGTATGATCGACCACTTCGAGATTCAGCTACTTTAAACGAGAAAAGTGGATAAGAAGCCTATTAATGCTTCTTAAACTCATATATACCTTCCTCCCTAAGTTGTAATTGATTTACCCATCATATCTCTTCTAGCCTAGATTGCATGTTTGATCTCATAATATTCAATGAATGCTTTATTTGTTTTTCCTCTCTCAAATATTAGTATTTTCTTTATCTCTCCATATTATTTGAAAGTCTCAAACAAATAATCATTAGTAAGAGGGAAAGAAGGAGGTAGATAAGTTATGATAAGTAACAAAATTTTACTGGGTGGGTCTCTTGAATTCATTTACTAAATTAATCAATTTAACAATTTCATTTATCATATTTAATTCTAAAGGATAACTCATTTTTCTTAAACAGAATTTACTTACATCATCAAGTTTATAATTATTATTATTTATATAAATTTTCCTAATGATAATCACTAATAATCACAAAAATAAAAAGTTTAAAAAAACAAAATATCCAAATTCTATTTTTTAGAATTGTATAGGAAAGACTTTTTTTTAATATTAACAATCTTAATTCAATATNATGTTTGTAAATTATAAGATTGCAGAATTGTCCTTCTTTATAAATAATAATGCATTCAAATGTCCAAATCTATTGAATATATTATAAAGCATTTTGGAAGTGACTCTCTCATCTATATTTTATACTTTCAAATATTTTGATGGTTTTTAAGCCAGTAATTCATTAATGACTTATTATTATTCGTCAAATTAATTAAGGTTAGATCGTGCTACTTCATTTGCATAATCTTCATCTAATATTCGTTCCAATTATTTTAATTATGTTTCCATACTATAATTTAATTATAATTTTATACATTGCTTTGGTAGGAGATTCTTCAGAAGCATGAGATAGATCAACAGCTTCTAATTTTATTACTTAAGTTAAATCAATTAGAGGTGGTTTTCTTTCTTCTTCTATCAAAATTGGGGCTTTTTGTATATTTTAAACTTGTCTTTAAGGTTAAGGTTGTGTCTCTATTTCATGAGTTTAATATTGAGTGCCTCGAGTATGATCGACCACTTCGAGATTCAGCTACTTTAAACGAGAAAAGTGGATAAGAAGCCTATTAATGCTTCTTAAACTCATATATACCTTCCTCCCTAAGTTGTAATTGATTTACCCATCATATCTCTTCTAGCCTAGATTGCATGTTTGATCTCATAATATTCAATGAATGCTTTATTTGTTTTTCCTCTCTCAAATATTAGTATTTTCTTTATCTCTCCATATTATTTGAAAGTCTCAAACAAATAATCATTAGTAAGAGGGAAAGAAGGAGGTAGATAAGTTATGATAAGTAACAAAATTTTACTGGGTGGGTCTCTTGAATTCATTTACTAAATTAATCAATTTAACAATTTCATTTATCATATTTAATTCTAAAGGATAACTCATTTTTCTTAAACAGAATTTACTTACATCATCAAGTTTATAATTATTATTATTTATATAAATTTTCCTAATGATAATCACTAATAATCACAAAAATAAAAAGTTTAAAAAAACAAAATATCCAAATTCTATTTTTTAGAATTGTATAGGAAAGACTTTTTTTTAATATTAACAATCTTAATTCAATATATTACTCATATTATTATCACATAGATTACTATTCTTCTGCTTTACTAATTATTTAATAAATATAATATTTAATTGATTCCCATGCCTAAACGGACTTTTTCAAAGAAAATATTAAATTTTTATGTACTATAAAAATTAAATTATTCTAATCAATAGATGCGCTTAAGGTTTAAATTTTTTAGATGTTTCTGAAGATTTGATTTGATTTGATTTCTATTTTATTTTTTGCTCCTTTAAAATTTTGTATTTGTTTCTCTTTAAATTTTTTTGATTAATCGTAATAAGATCTAATATATTATTAATAGCTCATTCAATTTTTATTAAAATTGAAAATGCTCTGAGAATAAAAAAATTTGAAGAGATTTTTGGTTGAATTAGAAAATAAATATTCTTATTTAATAATATTAAACATTAAATTTATATCTAATATCCTTAGGAATCACGATCGTTTATTTACAAATTAAATTTATCTTACTATTTTATGAGTAATTCCTCATTTAATAGGCTACTATTTTCATTATATTCTCTATAATTACCCCTTTTCCATTAAAAATTGTCATCTTTTGTATATTCTCCATATTTTTTGACTTTCTTTTTCTTAAAATTTTACTGTTTTATCTTTTGATGATTTGAATTATTTTAATGAAAACAGTCTTGCTCTCTATATTCTGCAGTCTCTCACAATTTTTTAAAGCTCAAATTTAAGACTGTATTATTAAATTCATCTCTTACTAATTGCTTTATTGAGAATTTTCAAATTAATGTAAATGAACATAATGCAATAAATAGCTTCAAATATTTTTATAATTTTTATATTAATCAGGAACTGTTTTATAATATTGTGATTCAAATTAAAGACGAAATGTTTCGTTTCATATAATTATTTTAAAAATTCTTTGGGTAAAATTAGAATTTCATTCTGCCTCTTTGATTAAATGATAAAATAAGATCTTTATAATGGCATATTCCTACATAAAATTTGTATTATAATTCAACTCTACCATATAATGATCAAGTCTATTTAAATGATAATACTCTAAGTTTTCAATTGAGCCAGAACTCACAGATTGTAGTAAAATCAGGATTATAAATTATGAATACAAGTTAAAAAGATAATTATTTTTATTAAAAATTCCAGTTCATTGTAAAAATTTAAATCATGATTATTACACTCCTAAGATGTTATTTTAAAATTGACTTTTCTAATATTATAGGATTAGGCCTTTGTGATATATTATTTTACTCTTAATTCATCTTGAAGTTTAGAAATAATAAATTTAAAAATCAATTTGTAAAAAAGGTTTGATCGAAAGAACAAGTGCTTAAGAAGAAATAGAATGATTAGACATAGTAAAAAGTATTTTTATAATGAGGCAAAATTTAGGAAAAACATATTTCTTGTTTGAATGAGAATTAAAGGTTAAGAAAATTTATAGAAAGAAACTCTTGGATATATAAATTATCTATTAAAAATTATTTGAATATAAATACCTTAAAAGATATTCTGGGATGAGAAAGTTATTAGTCATATAAGCAAAGAAATAGAGTGGAAAGAGAATTGACCACATTAATTTATTTATTTATATATGGATACAACTGCGGTACATAATTAGGCCTAAGGAGAGACATTCGAATAAAAATTGATTACAATATAAGGCACATCTTCTCTACCAACGGAACATGTTTATAGAGTAAGGAAACAATTGCATCCACAACAGACTGGTCATTAATTTCATTTGAATAAGACTTAAAATTCTTCAATAAACAGTGTCAATCACTTTTGCCAAATATGCAATAAAAGCACTTCAATGTCAACTGGTAGATATTGTGGATGTTCTGATCGTCAATTTCATTTAAGCTGTTTGTTAAACCATATAAATCAAGGTTTTAAATAAGGAAATGGCATAATGTAATGTTCTTATTGCAATCTCTATTATCCTACTGAAGTGGAATCTAAGTAGTCATTATTATAATTTATTTAGATTGTCATTGTTAAATTTATCTAAAACTGAGCGAGTGAAATATTGTCTAATGCTTTTTCTCGTGCTTACAATAATAGCAATAGAAATTTTAATCACTTTATTCCTAAATTTAAATACGATTTTATATATACTATTTGCATTATTATGGACGGGTGAATTGTTGATTTTCTTACTATTAATAAGAAGAATATTCATATTAGCAAATTTGGTTACATTTTCAATAAAAGAATATAGGTTTGGTGATGAGATAATATAATTTATTTATGCTTAAAATTCATTTAAAATAATTTAAGCTCTTAAGTTTGGTAAAGCTAAAAAATTATATTTGAATTGATATTTTATATACTAAATGTTATTATTATTAATTAAAAATGGAAATATTAAATGAGTTATTTAAGAAGAAAGCAAAAAAATATTAAGAAACAAATGAAAGAGAATATACAGATTTAAGTGATATTTAGATGATGATTTAAAACACATAAAGAAGATAAGGATTAGGATTTGATGAGATAGATAGAAGAGGGAAATTTGAATAACCTTTTGTGAAGAAATTAAAAAAAGATTAGATAATAAAAAAGCAGGAAAAGTAATAGATTGAGAAGGAAGAACCAAAGTAGAAAGAGGAAAGTGGTAAGAAGGTAGAAAATAAGATAAGTAAGAACACAATAAAAATAAAAAAGAAATAATTTGTAATAATGTGAGTATAATTTTGCGGGTGTATATAATTTATGATAAATTTACATAAAAAGTAAAAAATTTTTAATTTGTGATTTTTTATGGCTGAATATTCAAACTTGACTCAAGAGTAATTGTTTTAGATGCTTACGTTTGTTCTATCTGGTGATAATGAAAAGATCAAAGAAGCAACACGTGTTTTAAAAGTGTACACAAAGTCAGTGAATTGTGTAGGACCATTGGCATTAATAATATCTTAAAATGAAAATGTATGAATAATAATTTAATAGAATAGTAACAATTTAGACATTTAGCAGGAGTATTATTAAAGAGAAATATGGCTGCAAATTATGATAAATTAGAAGCAACAGCTTAAACTTAATTAAAGTAATTGTTATTAGAAAGATTCTTTGGAGAACCAATAAATCCAATTAGAACAAGTATTGGATCATTGATAGGAACAATTGCAATTTAGACATTAGGAGATAATAAATGGCCAGAATTATTTTAAGTGCTTTAGAATTAGACTTCAAAGAATCAAGACATTGTTACTAGATAAAGAGGATTAATGTTATTGGCATTAATCTTTGATTACTCTGGAGATAGTTTGAAGCCATTTTATTCTGTGTTTTATCCATTCTTTATTGAAAATCTATAAGATAATGATAAATAAATAAGAGTATAAACAGTAAAATGTTTGATATCATTATTTGATAATATAGAACATATGAATAAATAAGAAGTAAATACTTATTGTTAAATTTCTAGGCCTAATAATATAAGACTTTAGTTGAACCAATTTTAAGATTTGTAGATTAATGTATAAAAGAAGGAGATGAAGATAATGCATATCATTGTTTTGATGCTTTTGGATATTTGGCTGAAAGTAAATTAACAATATTAGATACTCATTTGGGTATGATTGTAGAATATGCAGCTAGTCAAAATGTAAGAATATATAATAAATTAATTAGTTATTATTGAATCCCAAATGCAGTAGTAAATTTAAGGAATGTGTATTGGATTTGATAGATAATGTTGTAGAATAACATAAGAAGGTTTTAAATAAGAATCCAGCATTATTAAAATAATTAATTGAATGTTTATCATTAGTCATAGCCTAACCATATACAGAAGAGGAATTGACCTAAGATGAAGAGCCATTATAGGATGTTACTTTATGGTTATTAGAAACATTGGTTATAGGTTTAGGTAAGAAAAAGACATTATTTGGTTTATTTTTGGAAACTATTATAAAGTTGGTAGATTCAGGAGATGTAAATTAAATGAATGCAGGATTCTTAATATTAGCAGCAATTACAGAAGGATTGTAAGATTAAATTAGAAGATCACTTTAAAATCCATTAATGAATGTTATCATACCAAAAGGATTAAAAGATGAAAGAACAGCAGTTAGAGGAGCAACAATTAAATGTTTATCATATTTTAGTGAATGGTTGTGTCCAGAGATCTTAAGTTATGATTAAATTGTAATCCCAGAGATGATCAATTGTCTTAAATCATAAGATCATAAAATTTATGAAAAAGCTCTATTAACTATTGATATTTTTGCTGAGAATATGGAATCAGATAAAATAATACCATACATGTAGACTCTCTTACCAAGTTTAGTTTAGTTGTTTTTATAATCCACAACAACATTTATTGCTAGAAGACATTGTTTATCTTCAATTGGAAGCATTATAGTTTCATCTAAAGATGCTTTTGGAACATATTTAAAAGATGTTAGTGAATTATTATTACAAGTCTTAAAAGAAAAAGATACTCCAGAAATTATGAGTATTAAATCAGAAGCTATCTAAGTTTTTGGTATTATTGCTGAATCATTCAAATCTAATTAAGAAGTTTAAACTTAATTAATTACACCATTAGCTCCATAAATATTTGAATTATTAACCAAACATGATGATTTTGAAATTAGAGAAGCATGTTTAGCCTTTTTTTATAATATGGCTGCTGCTTAAGGAGAAAAATTTGCACCTATTTTTACTTAGATTATTAGCTATACTATGAAATTAGCAGAATCTAAAGAAGGTATCTCTTATGATAAAGAAAAGAAAGAATTCTCTCTTGATACTGATTCTGAAGATGAAAATTAATAAGGACCTATGAGGGTTAAAGTTACCTAAATGGATGAAAAAGCAGCTGCTATTCATGCTCTAGGTCAATTTGCACTTTCAGTTCCTTAATAGTTTTTATAATATTTTAAACCTACTTTTGATATTCTTGATGAAACTGTTGATTTCTTCTATGATAATATCAGAATGTAAACTCTTTAATGTTACAGTGATCTTATTGAAGGATATGCTTTATCTAGACATAATGGAGTCTTACCTAAAGTTCAATAAGGATTACCTGCAATCGAAAATTTAGATGCTGAATTCTTAACATTTTTATAAACTGATGTTATGTAAAAATTAATTAGAGTTATTGCTGAAGATGAATCTTATGAATGTGCTGCACTTGCTATTGATGTTATTGATCATCTTACTAAAAAATTAGGACCTTAAATTGTTTACAAAAATCTTGATGATTTATCTAAAGTTATTACTTTAGTCTTAAATAAAAAAATTAAATGTTTAGGAGCTGATCTTGATTCTGAAGGAGAAGAAGAAAATGATTCAGATATGAATCTTAATGTTCTAGAGAATCTTACTGATCTAATCCCTACTTTAGCTAAAAATCTTAAAAATGGATTCGTACTCATGTTTAGAGAAATCTTCCCTCATTTAGCTACCTATCTTCATTAAGATAAAGAAATTGATGATATCATTTGTACTGTTGGATGTCTTGCTTAAATATTTGAATATGAACCTTCTCTTATTTTAGAATGTTAATAAGTTGTGATTCCATTCTTATTAAACACTGTCCCTTCAATTGGAGATTAAGAATTAAATAGAAATGCTGCTTATGCTTTAGCTACATATTGTGAATTTGGACCATAAAATGATGTTACTACAGCATTACCTTAAGTTATAAAAACACTTACAAACATATTCACAACAGCTACTACCTATAGAGAAGCTGCTGAAAATGCTACTGCTGCTGTTTGCAGAATTCTTATTAGATTCCCATAAGCTTTACCATTAGAAAACACTCTAGATCATATCTTGGCATAATTACCATTCAAAGGTGATGTTGAAGAAAATTTCACTGGATTAAGATTTTTAGTTCATCTAGGAAATACTATTCCTGATCTTATTACACCTAGAATGGAATAAGTGATTAAACTGTTGTTAGATTCTTTAATTTAAAAAGAACATTATAAGGTATTCATTATATTTATAATCATAGCTTAAAGATGAATAATTAAACTTTGTTGTATCAACTATAAAGGGTTTGCTTTAAAATTAATAATACAAAACAGTTATTGAAAACATTATTTTGAATGTTTAAGATCAAAATCAAAAAAATAGAGTAATTGCTCTTCTATAATGATAATTGTGTAAAATTGCTTAATGTATGTTAATAATCAATTAAATAATTCATTACAGAAATCAATCAATCTCTAATTTTTATTTCTAGAAATCATATCTCCTTAATGGCTTCTTATATTAATTTTCTTTGACATAATTTTTTTTTTTGAGAATTCTTGTTGATCTAATTACTCTTCTTCAAACCAATGTTAATCAAATTGATCATCTTCCACAGATATTTATGATATAAAGTTATTTTTAGAATTGAGACATTAAACTCGTTTTTTATAAATAATGCTTAAAACAAGATCCTTTTAATAACTTTTGAATGGTTTAAGTTATTTGATCTCATTTTACTTTTAAAGTCTCTCCTATCTAAATTAATAATCTAATGGACCATTTAATGCTAGCATCATAGATTTAGCAGGTTTAACATGTTTATTAGTCTACATATATCCCAAAGTAACCATCAAACTAACTAAATATTGATTATTGAAAATATCTCCTTAATACTAAAAATAATATATGCATATTAACTCTATCATATCTGCATAATCCTTTTTCAATTATATCTGCATCACTCTGAATCTCATAAAACTATTTCATTTCCTTCAAGTCATGCAAGAACTTCAATGAATTGATAAACAAAAATCTACATTTAAACATTAGGTTTTATACCCTCTGTATGTCTATTAAGTCACTTAAATTGTTTCTAATAACTAAAAAGGATTGAAATAATATTTTGGTTCTGGTTTTGATATCATTTCTTCATATGTTAATTATTTAGGTGTGTTAAATTAATCCAATCTTTTGTTATATAGTACTCTACCCACAGTATTAAAAAATTTAAGTTAAGAATCCTTGAATTAATTCTCATCTCTACAATTTATTGAAAATATAAATGCTTAATTGTATGCATTTCTTAAATCTCCATTCGATAATTCTGCTATCTTAGTCAATAAAATCATATTTACTTAATGTAAAACATTCTAACTTAATTTTGGAAAACAACCATGCAAATATTTTTCAATCTTTACGTTTGTTGGACTTATCAGCAAAATAACATTGCAATATATTTTTATAAATTCTTAACTTAAAATTTTAGTCAGTTCATAATCTTTTAATACTGTTGTATTTACAATTATTACTAATGGCTTATTGCATTTTGTATATGTGTATTATTATTACAATTGTCTTAATGAATTCTAATTAAATATTCCACTTATTTCTTTTAAAATTATAACTAACTATCTTCACTATCAATACCTCTTTAATCATCTATTTTTGCTAGTTAATCTTGCATTGAATATAATAGAGGATGTACTTCATTTAACATCCATATATCTCTAAATGCTGAATCTACCTCCAAAATTTAGTACTTAAATTCTGATAAAATTCTCTTCGTCAAATGCAACCTAAATATTTATCTTATATTTTACTTTCCTATTCCAGAAGTCCCCTTTATTATTGTTATTGGTTTTATTTAAAAGTTGCGCAAACTTTCTTTTATTTCCTTAATTTTCTTTTCATTATGCATCAAGAATTTACTAAAATTAATAAAATTAATTTATATGGCCTAATCTTTTTGCCAAAATTCACCAGTCCCAGAATTTCAACCTTAATATATCAAACAATTTTTCTATATAATTTTTGAATCATAATTAATCAGATAACTTCTTAATTAATTCTTCATCTTTTCCGAGTAGAATAAATGAATTAGAAAAAATGTTCAAATTTATTTAGAAGTCATTAATAAATTAAATTCAATTATATAAATTGTATTATTCATCATTAACAATATTTAGCAGTCTAAATTGAAGAATTAAATAAATAACTAGAAGAAAAGTAATAATTAAAGTCAAAAAATAACAAAGATGATAATTGTTTTTTTTTTCTCATCTAAATTTATTTATCTCAAAACAAGTACCATTAGTAAAATTTCTAATCACTTTAATGGCTAGAACAATAGTATAATTATATTATTCTGATATACATATAAAACCAGGTATTTCATTTGTAGTAATTATTGATAAATTATTTAAAATGTTTAAAAAATTTTTTTAAAATGGATACAGAATTTTATTAGCTTTAAACGCGTAAAAAATAAATATCATTTAATTTAGAGTCACAATTACATAGTCTGGAATTTGGCTTATGGTTGTAGCTTTCAAAAAGGCTGACTTAACACTGTAAAATCTTTTAGGTCCTACAATATTTATGTAAAATTATCTTCTAATTAGTTGATTCTTTGGTCTCCTATTTGGAACCCAATAAATAAATAAAAAATATTATCAATTGATTGATTAATAGTTTGGACTTCTTTCAAATGATTTAGGAAAATCCATTTTATTATTTATGTAATGATTGTATTAATTTCAGATTATCAGGACATTATAAAAGCCTCTATGAAGAATTATAACATAGTTACTTGTAAATTAAAATTGCTATTTTTAGAATTTCTTAATTTTATAACTATTTATTTCTATTTTATAGTCTATGCTTTTTGATTTCATTTTTTAATAATATGCTAAGCCTAAAAAAAATAATCAAATAAAAAGAAGATTATTAATCAGAAAATTAATGATTAAAATATTAGATAATAAGCTATTATAGTAAAATAATTCTCATTTTTGTGTTCTTTCAGACTCCAATACATTAATTTCAACTTTTTTGTACATACTTAAAAGCGCCTTTATTTTGATAGGCTGTTTTTCTGTTTTTTTTTTTAATAAATTCAATTATTCGCTTTGATAATTTATAGTTGAAATAGAATTTTTGCTTGAGAATGTATTTACAAATAATTTTTTTGCTAACAATTATCTATAGATTTATCTTTCTTCTGGAGTAGAAGTGCGATTTAATTAATCAATTTTTTTAAGAGGAGATTTAACTAAATTTTATGAGAGTTATTTCACTAAATCATGAGGATTGGAAACATATGTTTTTTTAAGCTTTCCCCATGAATTTGAATAACCTAAAGTAAAATGAGCTGTATCTTAAGAATCTTTAATATCTTTAGTTTACTTAAGATCAAGAATTTAATTTTAATTTTCACTTTTTGTTTCTAGATTCTTGCTATATTGAATTAGTTATTTTTTGAAGCCAGGATTTGGATTAATAGCTAATCTCTTTTCTTTTACAAAATAAAAGGTTTTTTCATATGACCATTTATTTGTTTTCATAATATAAGCTATAACACATGCACTTGATCTTGAAATGCCTGCAGCACAATGTACCAAAACGGAACCAGAGTTTAACCCAGTCGAAATTTCTTAGTTTATATCATCGAAATATTCTATTATTTGTGCTTTTTCTGAATCTTCAACTTTATAGATCTGACTTCATAATAAGTTTTACTTTATGAGAGATGTTTAAAGTGTTTTTGAAATTTACTATTATGTTATTGGCCACTGTTATGACTGTTTGAATGTTATTTTCTTTTAATTATTTATAATTTTAAGCTGCCTTTAGATTGCCTAACCAAAGTGCTCCTNTAATGATTGTATTAATTTCAGATTATCAGGACATTATAAAAGCCTCTATGAAGAATTATAACATAGTTACTTGTAAATTAAAATTGCTATTTTTAGAATTTCTTAATTTTATAACTATTTATTTCTATTTTATAGTCTATGCTTTTTGATTTCATTTTTTAATAATATGCTAAGCCTAAAAAAAATAATCAAATAAAAAGAAGATTATTAATCAGAAAATTAATGATTAAAATATTAGATAATAAGCTATTATAGTAAAATAATTCTCATTTTTGTGTTCTTTCAGACTCCAATACATTAATTTCAACTTTTTTGTACATACTTAAAAGCGCCTTTATTTTGATAGGCTGTTTTTCTGTTTTTTTTTTTAATAAATTCAATTATTCGCTTTGATAATTTATAGTTGAAATAGAATTTTTGCTTGAGAATGTATTTACAAATAATTTTTTTGCTAACAATTATCTATAGATTTATCTTTCTTCTGGAGTAGAAGTGCGATTTAATTAATCAATTTTTTTAAGAGGAGATTTAACTAAATTTTATGAGAGTTATTTCACTAAATCATGAGGATTGGAAACATATGTTTTTTTAAGCTTTCCCCATGAATTTGAATAACCTAAAGTAAAATGAGCTGTATCTTAAGAATCTTTAATATCTTTAGTTTACTTAAGATCAAGAATTTAATTTTAATTTTCACTTTTTGTTTCTAGATTCTTGCTATATTGAATTAGTTATTTTTTGAAGCCAGGATTTGGATTAATAGCTAATCTCTTTTCTTTTACAAAATAAAAGGTTTTTTCATATGACCATTTATTTGTTTTCATAATATAAGCTATAACACATGCACTTGATCTTGAAATGCCTGCAGCACAATGTACCAAAACGGAACCAGAGTTTAACCCAGTCGAAATTTCTTAGTTTATATCATCGAAATATTCTATTATTTGTGCTTTTTCTGAATCTTCAACTTTATAGATCTGACTTCATAATAAGTTTTACTTTATGAGAGATGTTTAAAGTGTTTTTGAAATTTACTATTATGTTATTGGCCACTGTTATGACTGTTTGAATGTTATTTTCTTTTAATTATTTATAATTTTAAGCTGCCTTTAGATTGCCTAACCAAAGTGCTCCTTAGGTAATAGTTTTATCCAAAATCAAATCCATTTCATTTACATTTACTAGAAGCTATTGCTTTTTCATTTCTTGTATATTGGTTATGAATAATATATTAATTGCTATAACAATAAATCAGAATTTTAATGATAAACTCAGTTAATTTTATCATCTTCTTCTTTTATTTCTTGTAACTTAGTCTAAATCCCACACATTTAGTAATTCTATATTAAAATAAATTAGAGTACTTAAATCATTAATGCCAATTACATATTAACTAATTTTTGTTTTTCTAATTCCCTTTGACAAATTGCTAATGCAATTTATGCATTTTATTCTTCTTAACTATTAATTGGTTATGCTTAATTTCTTTATCTTGATAATAATAAGGATTGCTGTTTTAAGATATTCTTTGTTATATGTTTATCAGATGACTATATGAGTTTAAATTTAATACTTTTAAATCTGGAGAAAAGCTTCTTTATGGAATTTATACCTCTCTTTCAAGATCATACATAGATTATACTTTTCTTAAACTACATACACTGAATTCAGGTTCATCTTTCTCCTTTTTATTTCTCTCTCTTTTTTTCTTTTTACCGATTCGCCCTTCCTTTCTATAAGTTTATAAAATCGCTTTAGCTGTACTAAAATTCACCCCAAATTCTTTAGCTGCTTCTTTAATTGTAGATTCTTTTGATAAAATTTTTTTTAACAATAACACTCGTTTTGATTAGTCTATAACTGCATATTTTTTATAGGAATCTTTTTACTTTTGATTAGAATCATTTTACGGTTGTTTAAGTCTGTAATATAAATAAAATAGTTAACTGAGAATTAGGAGAGAATTGATCTTCATTTTCTGAAAGTATCATGAAATTAATATTAAAATAAGATAAAATTAAATGAAGAATACATTTGTAATTATTTTATGTATTTAAATGAATTATATATCATTATTAAAGTTATAGAGTAAATTATGGATCATTTGTTCTTTAAAAAAAGCCAATATTATTATTTCATTTACCTTCAAAAAAAAGGATTAAAAATATAATATTATTTTTATAATGTTTGAAAACTAGAAAAATGAAAAGTATAATATAATTTAATAATATAAACAATTTTCATTAGTCTATAATCTTATTTAATTCTTATTAATTTTATTTTTCTTATACTCTTTTATTTTTCCATTTAGAAACTAAATCTTAACCCTATAGAAATTCTAATTTATTATTCTAGATAGATAAAAAATATTTACAAACTATTCTTATTTTTATTATTCATTTTGTATCTCAATCTCATATTATTATTGTATTTACTACTATTATTACATCCAAAAATGAGGTGATAGAATAGGACTCTTGTATGGTGATTAGGCAAGGAATTATGAATTGTATAAATAGAGTGGAGTATATACCATAGGTGTTTACTAAATCTATTATGGAAAAGGTGATAATTATTAAAAGGGATATTGATGTTATTTAATTCCAAATCCTAATCTATTAATTTGACAAGGTGTTTGTTAAAATAGATCATTAGATACATCATTTGTGTATGGTCTAAAACCAGTATATTAAGGCATCGGATCTTTTATAGAAGTTTAACCATTATAAGAAGGTGATTATAGTGAGCATTTTGATTAGGATTAAATTTACAATTAAGATTAAATTTATTATTAGGATTTACATTCAAATTCTGGATTAATTAAAGACCCTTAAGAATTAGAACTAGAGATACCTTTTCTATTCTCTTAACTTTGAGTATCACAATTTCCATATGTAGATAAACAAAATTGTTAATTGAGTTATTGGATTTATTATTATAATTTTTCATCAATTTCTTGTTTGACCTATAAATTCTCTATAACCTTGACTTTTTTCTTTTTAATTTATACCTATTATTCTTATTAATCTTAAACTTTGATTTAAACCTTTTTTTTTGATTTTTATATATTACTATTAGATTATGAATCTTCATGTTTAATTTTTGTTTCTTTTTTAGTAGATTTGTGTAATGAATTTTGTTATTAATTATTACCAGATGCTTATTTAATTAAATATTATCTAATAGCTGCTAATTCTTCAATATCATCATCATCTTCTTCTTTAAAAATTTTATGAATAAGACTCTTAAATCTAAATTATTTAATAAAAGTTGATTTAATACCTATTCTTAACTTAATTTTCAGTTCTACCTTCTAATAATGTTGAAATCATGGACCATCTTTTACCATTATTAACTACTAATTATAATAATTAATTATCTTCCTAATCAGTCCAACTAGATCTAATTATAATCTTATAAATAAAGTTTACTTATTTAATTTAGGATTTAAATAATTCATCCATCTTTCTCTGACCTGTTTTGGTGTTCTAACATATTAACCATTATTATGATTGTAAAGCTCTAAAGCTATTTGAGTCCAAATATGCTTTTACTCTTGTTATCTAAAATAATAATTTTTAAGCTAATAATAATATACATCATCAAAGATCTTATTATATCATCCTCTTCTGTTTCCCAATTCAAACTTTTTGCCATTGGATTTATCAATGTAATCCATCTTTATTTCAATGTCACTTCATCAAAATTAAAAATTTATGTCAATTCAATCCACTCATCTTAATTGGGATTAATAGTTTTTTTATTTTTCATCTAGAAGTATTTTACTATAATCCATATAAATAACATCTTGCACTATTTATCCCATTTCCTTTTCAACCCTTTATTATCCTCTGATAAGAGTCTTTTAAATATTATGAATTACTTTTAAGCAATTTGATCGAAATGCTTGCTATTTGGATTAATAAAGTTTTCCTTTATTTTAAACTAATTCTTATAATAAAAAGGAATCTCTATCTATTTTATTTAGTCTAAATTATCCAGGAACTCTTGAAAATTGACCATTAACAATATTGTCACTAAATCTTGAATTTATTTATTTTATTCATCCTCACACCAGTTAGTTATAACTCAATTCAGTTAAATATTAGTATATAATATCATTAATCATCTTCTTCAATTACATCGAACATTGAAACTGTTGGTATCTTCCAGTTCTTTTTTGTTTCTTCATCTACTGAAGTATGAATTAAATGAACCATAAAAGCTTCTAATTTATAATACAATGGTTATGAGAATCTTTATTCATAAGTCCATTCTTTCTATATAGTTATATAAAAACAATACATCATTTTACTTTCCAATTCCTATAGGAGAGTATTTATCAGCTATTCTAGCTAATGCTTCCATAAATTCTATCCATTACATTTAAAAGAGTCTATCACTTTCTAATTCATCAACTTAGGTTAACATAGATAAACAAAATGCTAAATTAACATCTCTTTCGACAAAATTCTCATCATAAAGATTAGCTGTATTACATACATCTTTTAATTCATCCAAACACATAAATGGTGCTTATCCTGGTTTTACTTTTTTTTATGAATTATGCATATAAACATAATCAATAACTTGTTTGTGCTTTTTACATACATCATCACATTATTCTATAAAATATCTTTCCATTCTCCATTTATGAGAATCAAATTAAGACATATATGGTAAACATTAATCTAATATCATACGAGTAGCCTAAGCATATGATGGTGAACCAGGTTAATTTCTGATATATTTATCTTCAGATAATCTCACTAAAAATTCCATCATTTAATATCTAACTAAATATCTCTCTGGATTCCTAAAGTTACCTTTCCAATCAGATTATGATGCACTACAAGTAGCTATAAATTTTAAATCAACATCAGCCAATTTCATTTATTTACCATCAATTAATTAACATTGATTCACAAATTCTGAAGTTGGATTTTAAGACATAGAAAATACATCACCACTTGGATTTATTGCTGAATAATATCTATATGTCTCTCTTATTGGTTTATACGATTACCAAAGCATTTCTTTTATTTATTCTTATTCCTCTACCTTCTTTACGAATTTAGTTATCTTACAACAATTCCAATCTCTCTCAAAACATTTCCGCAATAATTCTTCTGTATCAAATTTATATTTTGGTGCCCAAATTGATATTGGAAATGACCATGCACGTTTCTATTTTTTTTATTTTATAGGTATATATATTGGATCACAAGTTCTTGGTTTTACATCATAATTTGGATCCCAATCCTATATAACTGGCTTTCCTTTATTTATCATTTAATGATTTGTTTCATCTAATAATACATCTGTAACTTAATCAGCTATTTTCGTTCTAACTCTAAATTTCTCATTATGAATCTTTAATGGTTCAGTTAAACTTGCCACTTATAATTAATTTCCAGTGTAAAAATAATCTAATTCACCTGTTGGTACCATTCTATTTGTTGAGAATATACCATTTTCATCCGGTTTCCCTAAAAATATTGCTTCATATCCTTCAAAATCAAAATGTATAAATATTGGTTCTTCTGATGCATTTCCACTCTTATCTAATTATTAGTATATACTTCTATTACTTGGAATCCATTCAAATTTTTAACCCTGCCATCCATCACAAATCCAGCATACATCCATCATTTTTTCTGATCGAGGACCTTTGGAATAAGGCTTACTATGAGTTTCACATCCTCTAATTCTATAATCTGTATGTATTTAATTAAAGTTTCTCATTTCATTCTAAATTATTAAAAAGCCTTTAGAATCAACATATCCAAAATTGCCATTGAAATGAAAACCATAAATTGTATGATTTTCCTTTAAAGATTCAGATATAGATTAACTATCTGGTAAACTGAATTAATTTGCAGAAAGATCTAAATGAATCATATCTTTATTTTCCTCAAAGAATTATTTGAGAATAGGTGTTAAACTTTAACCACCACATCCTAATAAATTATAAGACAAATCTAAAACTTTCATATTCTTATTAGGAATTAATGCTTTAAAAAGTTCAGCTCCTCCACTTCCTTTGATTAAATTCCAATGAAGATACAATTCTTCTAAAGAATCATTAGTTTCAATCATTTATTTAATGAAAGGGTAGGAAGCATTAGTGATTTGATTTTTTGATACATTAAGTAATTTTACAGTATTATTTTTTTACATGGATTTAAAGAGTTCTTAAGCTAAGAGATCTCCCAACTGATTATCTTCTAAATTCAAGATTTATATCCTTTATATTCATTAAAACATATATACTTGCAAGTTTATAATGGAAGTACATTTAGTACTGGTTCTAATCCTTTTCTCCCAATTATGTTTGATACCATTTCAATAGACCTTGCTTATTTAGAAATCAAAGGTAATATCAATGATGCACCATTTTCTTTAATTCTATTTGAATTAAAATTGAAATCCTAAATTACAGGAAGAGTTCTTAAACCTTCAGATAGTACTTCAACATATTTATCACCAAATTTATGGTTTTCTATTGCTAGAACTTTTGACTCTCCTTTTTATTTTATTAAACCCATTTTACATGGTAATAATCTTAATTATTCTGATTTTATTATAAGATTAGTTTGGACAGAGTCTAAATAAATTATAATCTATTTTACTCTATATTGCAAAAAGTTTGTTCTACTCCTTTATTCTTGTTATCTTTTTATAAGTTTAATAATAATTTTTTATTGATTCAGGTCCAACCAATTCTTTTGGTTTCATGTCTTCATATATATCCTCTTGATTATTTTACATCTAAATATAAACATCCTTAAAATAGATTAATAAATTAAAATACCTCAATTCCTTTGTCTTTTTCTACTTTCTCTTATTTCTCAGCTTAAGTTTGAATTCTGAAATATTATCTGTTATATCTTTTATTTGATTCTTGAAATGATTCACCTAGTTTGCCATCCATTGGAAAACGACCCAATTTACAAGTAGACATTACTTATGGTAAGACAGTAGGCTTAAACGAAAACTAAGTAGTTGTTTTTTTCATTTTTTATTCTTCATTTGCTGAATTCATTTTTATATAATTATTAAAAACTCATAATAAATTAAGATAATCATATTTTGCCTCAATAATCTTTACTATTTTTTAATGAATATTAATTGCTTGTTCCATCAAACTCTCTTCTAATTTAATCATGTAATATATTGGTACATTAATATATTATTCTTTTAAGTTATATTGCTATTTATCATTAAATTTTTATTCCAAATTTATTTCATCTGATGCATAAAGTTCATTATAATAAGAATCTGTTTATTTTTTATCTGTTTTAAGTAATTTTTTTCTTTTTTTTATTTCTTTCTCTACTTCCTTCAATTACTTTTCAATTGTTTTATCTTCTTAAGACACATATTTTTAATGATTATCTGATAAATATTATTTTTTCTATTTAAGTTCATAGTTTGGATCTTCAACTTCATAAAATTATTCAAATTTTCCATTAAATTTTGGCACACTTTCAAGTTTTTATTATGATAGATCTAAGCCATTTGATTATTAATTATTCCTTTTATAGAAGTGTAACCATTATTTTATCAATATAGGTAATACTTAAGTTTTTTCAGCGACTTATTTTATTGCTTCTTCAGTTGGATCTTCTCCTAATTAGGATAATATATATTCTTTTATGTTAGGATTGTTTTTATCCATTAACTAATTAGATAATTTTTAATTAAATATGCTTCATTAATTGAATCCAAAACATTTCCATACAAACATTTAAATAATATGAAAATTACTTATATTATTTTGAGCTTAATTAAAATTATTTAATCAATTTAATATTTTATATACAAATTAATTAAATACATATGAAATTAGAAAAATTCACAAACACACAGGTTTCTGATCAAGTTGTTCAAAGAATTTATATTTGTATTCTTCATTTCCTTATGAACATCCTATAACAAGATATTCTACTTTATCATGAAATCGAACTGATTTTTTCCTTTTTTGTTGTTTTCTCTCTGATTCTTGAATCACTCTCTCTGTAGACATTGTAGGCAGTTGAGATATTGATCTTTTCTCTTTACTTTAATTTTTCAATTTAGAAATTAGTTTATGTAATGGAATAGAATTTAGTTCTTACTTGATTATTGATGATTAATTTATAGCTTTTAGGATGATTTAACTAACTTTTTATCCACTTTTAGTAGAGATCTTAGAAGAATTACTTGATATATAAGATTTATTTTAAGGGTTGTAATACCTTATTGAATTGGTGACGGCATAATTAATTAAACTATAAGATGAATTCAATTGTTAAATATTCTTTTAATTCTTAATAGGACTTTATACATAGTTCTTTTTAATAGGACTCAATATTTAGTTAGGTTAATTCTTCGTTGGAGGATTCGTTGAGGTCGTCCTAAGTAGATTCTACATTATCTTTTCAGAAATTATCATGCTTGAGACCTTAGGAATGTAGATTTGATTATTCTTAATTTCATTTTTGTTATTGGAGTTAGGCCTTATCACTTGGCTTTTTTTCATTAATTTTATTATAAATTTCATTTATATCAAGAATTTAGTTAAATTAGTTATATTTCCAAATTAAACCTTAATTAAAAATAAATAATAATTAATTAATCATCCAATAGTTGACTCTGAATATTTAACTAAATAAATTAAGGGTTTACTCATTATTATTTCTTTGCAAAAATATGTATTTTGTCTAAATAACCTATTTAAAATAGTACAAATTCTTACAAAATAATGTTGTTATATGTAAAACAATGGAATTTTTCCTTTATTTTAAACTTATTCATATTCCAATTGATTCAATGTATCTACAGATATGCTAAATTAAGTGACCTTTGCTATAAATTTTATTAAATTCTTAATCTTCATTATTTCAAAAATACCTCATCACAATCGTCATTCAAATTTGTACTAAATTGTATATAGAAATATAAATATTGATATTTAATTTAAAATGTAGAAAATTTTATAGATTTTAAAGTGATTCAATTAATTCTAATAATACATTCGTAAATGTATTCAAAGCTGAACAATCTAAAATATTAGAAAGTATTTTGAGTTGCTTTGAAAAAGATATATGGTAAACAAAGTTTTTTACTAAAAATTCTGAATCAATTAGTTTTAGATTGGTTATAATAAAGTTCTGGTTATAATATTTGTTCTTAATTTAAAATAAACATTTTTAGAAAAATTGAAAACTTAAATCTGATTATCTAAATTCAATACTTGATTTTAATTAATAAATAATGATTTAAACAAAGAGGCTTATTGATAATATGATTCATGTATTTGTTTTTCCTAAAATTATTGATTTTGTTAGATGAATTTAAAATTAAATAATTTTTTATGGGGACATCGACTTGTTATCATTATTCTTAGAGTCACTTAATGTTTTTAGAATTTAAATTTTTTGTTTACTTATCTTTAATAGTTACATAATAAGTTAGAGTATGTTGATATGAAAGTAAAAAAGTTTCTAAAAAGTGAAAATGATGAGAATCTAAAAAAAATAATAAAGTTAGGATAAATGTAGAAAACAAGTAGTTTATGAGGATTTCATATAAAAAATTTAATTTAATGTTGATGCTAAATGGATTATGGTTTAGAATCCTAAATTTAAAAATCGCTAATAGATAAAAACGAAACAAGAGATTAGAAAAAAAGAGTTGAAATAAGATAGTAGATATAATTCTTGTGATATTGAAATTGAATCAATTTCTATGATATTTAAAATATACATGCTGTTTTAGTACATTTAATAATTTAATGTAAAAGTTGACTGATAAACAGAAAGGTAACCCTCTTGTAAAGAAGGACATAAGCAGGGAAGAGGAGATAGAAAATGATGGAAAAGTTCGTAAAGTTAGAAGTCCTTCCAGCGTTGCTGATCTGAATGATTTGAGATCAAATAGAAGCCAACATAGTGTAAAGAGTGGAAAAAGTGGAAGAAGCCCAAAATTAGGGAATAATTAGAGTGGAAACGATGAGCAGAGGAAAAAACCTCCTAGAAGATTGAATAGTACAATAATGGCAAGACTATCGAGATTGCAAAACATAAAATAAACATCTGCAATTTAGAAATTGATTACTTAATTGATTGAAGGGTGGACATTCTCTATAATTATGGCCATAGTGACTCTTTATGCTTTATTTGGGGATGATATACGAATCTTATCAGTTGATAAAACAGAAGATGACATCTTTTTTATTCTAACTATAATAAGTATGTCTTTTTTCTCACTTGAAATAATATTGACATCTATAATAAATCCTAACTATATTTTGAATGTATGTAATTAGTTCCTATTAATTTGATTAGTTTTACTTTTTTTTGGATGTAATTTCAACTGCAACGATGATTTTAGATATCGGTTGGATTACAGACTTATGGTATGGAGAAGAAGGAGATATTGGAAATGCTACAACAATAAAAGCATTAGGAAGGGCTTCTAGAGTAGCTAGAAAAGCAGCAAGAGTGATTCGAATAATTCGTTTAGTAAGATTGGTAAAATTATATAAACATGCAAGATAACAATATGAAAAAGAATAATAAAAAAAAATATTTTAATAGATTCTAAAATAAAATAAATTTGTAAGCGCAGAAAATTAAAAATAGTAATAATAGTAATAAATTAATGGTAATTTAAACCACCAACAATATTTAATATAAAGAAACTCTTCATAACCATCTCCACCTCCATCAGGTAGATAACATCTCAAATCTAACGAAGAGGGATTAGAAATTAATGAATAACAATAAAAATTGATGACTGAATGTAAATAACCTTATATAGGACAAATTCAACAATAATAAACACCTTAAAATATTTAGGTAGGTGCTTCATAATTATCAGCTTCATAAAATCAACTATAAAATTAATAATAACCTAATGTAAATGCTATAATTTCAATAAACGAATAATTAAAGTCTAGTCAAATATCTTTAGCGAGTACTGAAAATGTGAAGGAAAGCAATGTTGGTACCAAATTATCAGATTTAGTTATGAGGAGAGTTATAACAATAGTTTTATCAATTTTAATCAGTATACCTGTTTTATCTCTAGATACTTATCAAGAGACCATAAATTCTTATGATTCAGGTATCTTTAGAATTGCATAGTTTAAGGATAATTACAAGATAGTAGAGAGTCTAACTTAACAATATGTTGGATTTCATTAGGATGAGATTTATCCTATTCTTGCTGTATTTGTATAAAAGATTAATGTAACTGAGAATTCTCCAAAACTCAATGATTCTAATTTTGAGATATTCAATTATTCTAAAAAGTAAGATTGGTTCAAAGAAACTAATTATAATTTAGATGAATACAGATAATCAGATAAGTAATATTATGCATCAGTAGATACAAATGATATTTTGATAACTTGTTCAGTTGCTGATTTAGTTGAGTATAACAAAACAAATGCTATTTTGTCAATTTTTTAGACAATATTTGTTTGTATAGTTCTAGCATCTAGTGCAGTTTTATTTAATAAAGATGTAAATGAATTGGTAATCGAACCAATAGAGAGAATGATGGAGAAAATAGAATTAATAGCTTAAAATCCATTAGAAGCAGTATCTATCGAAGAACAGGAAGATCTTATAATGGAATAATTAGAAAAAGATGAAGATAACGAAAAGATAAAATAGAAATATATTGAAAAAACAATGGAAACTTATATGCTTTAGAGATTAATAATGAAAGTTGGAGCATTATTAGCAGTAGGATTTGGAGAAGCAGGATCTGAAATAATAGCTGAGAATATTAAAAAAGGAGGTAGTGTAGATCCAATGTTACCTGGTAAAAAGATTATGGCTATTTTTGGATTTTGTGATATTAGAAATTTTACTGATGCAACAGAAGTACTTTAAGAAGATGTAATGGTATTTGTAAATGAAATTGCAGAAATTGTTCATTCTACAGTAGATTGTTATGGAGGATCTGCAAATAAAAATATCGGAGATGCCTTCCTTTTAGTTTGGAAATATTTCCCTATGGAATATCATCCAGATCCTTAGAATTAATCTAAATTAGTACTTAGAAATGAACATCAAATTAAGTAGAAAGGTGATATGGCTGTGTTATCATTTTTAAAAATAATTACTGCAATTTCAATTTCTAAGAAATTAGAAAAGTATAAGAAACATGCTGGATTGAATGCTAGAATGAAAGAATATTCTGTAAAAATGGGTTTTGGATTACATATGGGATGGGGAATTGAAGGTGCCATTGGATCTTCTTTTAAGATTGATGCATCTTATTTAAGTCCCAATGTTAATTTGGCATCAAGATTAGAAGCTGCCACAAAATAATTTGGATCTATTATACTTATAAGTGGAATATTAAAACAGCATCTTACTGAATAATGTCAAAAATAATTAAGAATGATTGATAGAGTTACTGTTAAAGGTAGTATTGAACCAGTAGAAATTCATACCATAGATATGTCAATTAAGAATCTCTTAGCTAAAACCAAAGAGTTACATGATAAATTTGATATTAGTAAAATGAATTAACAAGAATAAAAATAATTTAGAGTACTAAATAGGATCAAAAGAAATTAACTTTAAAAGGATGTATCTAAGGACAAAATCAATGTTGCAGATCAATTTAACACTGATGAAGAAATCATTCTTGCTAGAGAACCTTATACAAAAGTAAATTATAATTCATCTATTCTATTAGGAATTTTATAACACTTGGCAAGATGCATTCCAATTTTATATCAAAGGTTAATGGGAACTTGCCTAATCTCTTTTTTCCAAAACTTTAGTATCTATTACTTTCTAACTATTTAGTATATGATTCCTGATCATAAAGATGGTCCATCTAATACACTTCTTGAAGTAATCCATTCCAATGTAGGAAAAGCTCCACATGATTGGAAAGGATACAGAGAACTTACAGAAAAATGAATTTCTTATCATATCACAATTATTACTCATAATTCAATCTATATCATTTTATATATATATATCTCTGTATTTACTTTTATTCACATTTTCTTTAATCTTTATTACTACTATCCAATCTTTATTAATTATTTTATGATTTCTCAAGCATTGCTAAGATAGGAAACCAAAAAGCGAAGTCTCATATCTAGACCATCCTCTAAAAGTAACAATTTTCTCCCTGAAATTATTCAAACTCCCTCTTCAAATTAATTCCAAAAACAATAAAACATCATCTTCAATCCTCCAAAAGGTATCGATGTACTTAATTTACATAAAATTACTAATCATGAACATCCTGTTGAACTTTATTCTTCAAGAATTGAAATGCAAAGAAAAGAACTTATAAGAGAAATATTTGGATCGGAAAAAAAGCCATTTATCAAATAATAACAATTAACTCATCGCAACATAGAAAAAAAAGAAGATAATCAATATGATTAATAAATGCAACTGAAAAGTATTCTTAAAAGAAAAAGTTCAAACAGTCGGGAACATACTGATTTATTTGATTTCTTTGAACTTGATCATTAAGATTTAAAATAATAATAAAAAAATTAGAAATTTATAGAATAAATATAACAAACACCAAATTCTTATCAACAATAATCCAATTTCAATAGATTAAAACATAATAAACAAGTTTCTTTATAACCAATTCAAAAAGAAGAATTCTCACCAACAATAAGTCCTGGAAAGAAAATAGTTTCATTCAATAAATAAATTTAAATAAAAATGATTGATCCAAATGAAGATAAACCAAAATCAAATTAAAAGTCTTTTAGAAGATTATATACAATGGCAGATCTTTTAGATAAATCATGAAATTTCATTTTATCAATAAAACATAAAGTTTTAAACCACTCAATTTACAAGAAAATGATCAATAAATTTTTAAATTGCCTTAAGTCTGTGAGATATTTTATTCTTAACATCTTTATCCATTTCAGCATATCTCAAATATTGTGATATTCATTACGTTTCAGTAAATCCATCAGGTTAAAAAATTGGATCCCAACCAAAATGTCCTGGTCCTCTAGGTCTTACAATAACTCCTGGAGTTTTTCCAACAAATTGAATAGGTTCTTTTAATTCTGGCCCCATATATGATAAAATGCATTAAGCATAACCTGTTTTATCTTCAAAACCATCTAACATTTTACTCAATCCTTCTGGTCCTGTAGCTTCCAAAAACCATTTTCTAATTAAAATATTAATCTATTATTTACACATAAGGACCAGGCATTCCATTAAGAGCATTAAAACACAATGAAGTATCCTCTGTAACACATGCTTTTCCTAATTTTTCATAGGCTAATAAAGCTTTTTCTTTTGCTATTTAAAGTGGTGGTCCTTATAATTCAGGTACTATTAAATAAGAATAAATAATTACAATCTACAGGTTCTGAATCAATATTAAATCTATCCCCCATAATTTAAATAAACTCCTTCAGTTTATTTTTCTTGATTACTAAAATATATTTACATTTCCTGTGCATAGTGTAATGGTCAACTTTTTAGGTGCTATTTTTGAATACAAAAATATTACCTTCCTCATGTTAATTTTAATTCATTATTTAAATTTTTAGGAATGAATAATAATGACATTATATATTAATAGTAATAAGAACAAAAAGAGAAAAAACCTTCACTTTTAGAATAATTTTGTTCATGCATTTACTTTTTTAGAAAAAAGAATGTCAGGGCTAATGAAAAATATTAATTAGGAATTGATACTCCAAAATCTCATGTAAGTTGAGTAAAATTAAATATGAGACTAGAAAAATCTGCGTTTTAGATTTAGACGAAACTTTAGTGCATAGTTAATTTAAAGGAGAAAATAGTTATGATTTTTTACTTGATGTAATAATTAAAGATATTTTAGATTTTTGTATAAAGCCAATTATTCAAAGTATTTGTTACAGTTAGACCAGGAGTTGAAGCCTTTGTGGAATCCTTAAGTGAATATTTCGATGTTGTATTATGGACTGCAAGTTTAAGAGAGTACGCAGATCCAGTAATAGATATTATTGATCCATAAAAAAGGATTTCAACAAGACTTTACAGAGAAAGTTGTACTAATATTAAAGGAGGACTAACAAAAAACTTGAATATATTAGGAAGAAATTTAAAAGAAGTTTTAATAATTGATGTATTGAAATTTGATTTTATAAGAATTCCTAAATGTCATTTCTTTTTTAACCAGAAAATGGATTTTTAATCAAAGATTTTATTTCGGATAAAAATGATAAAGAATTGGATTAATTGCTGCCATTTTTAATTTGGCTTAGTTAAGTAATTAGTTTTTCTTATAAAGTAATCTGATGTTAGACCTGTGTCTAAATTATATTAATAATTTATACTAAACAATTAAATTTCGCATAAATTTTCAAAAAAATAGATTCTTTCCTAATCTATGGTTTTGAATTAAAACGGTATGTTAAAATAATTCGAAGTTTCAAGAACTCATACTATAAATCATTGTGAATTTGAGGAAATAAATTTGAGATAAGAGGCTGGTCTTAATTCCCCTCATGTAGAACCTAAAATTTAAGTCTAGACAGATGATGATAATGATGAAAGCAAAGAAACATTTGAAATCAGTAGTAATTGTTGATTATATTAAAATTTTATATATTTTCACTCATTTATTTTGTTGATCTATAGACTTATTGTTAATAGAATTCATGAACTTACGAGAAAGCATAAGAAATATAGAGTAACTAAAAAAATTATATGATATTAAATAGATTATTTTTTAAAATCTTCGTTTTAATACGTTGCATATTTAATTGAATGACACAAAGCTCTAAAATTTTCATTTGAGAGTTGATCTAAAGTCAAAGTTGAAATTTTGATGAATTTATTTATTTTTTTAATTGTTTTAATCATATTATTCAACAAAATATAAAAATATTCCTTATTATGTTTAAATAATAGTTATATCATTAATTCAAGGTTTTTATAAAACCATTTCTTAGTTTAATTTTGCAAACTTATATTGTTCAATTTATGACTATTAATCTTAATTTAATTTCCATTGCTCACATAATTAATGTGATTCTTCTCCTCTTTCATTTATTTCTTCCTAATTCATACACTTTATTAAAATAATTATATTACCTTCTCATAGAATTAAATTAGAGCTTTTTTTCATCTCAATTTATTCTTCAAAAGATGCTTTCAAATATTCAAAACCAGTATTTTATGTTCCGTTTAGAATGATTATATTCATGTTTCGCTATGATTTTTATAACAATCTCATGAAAATTACATCTTATTTCATTTAAGGCATGAATATATGGCCATTAATTTTTTAAAACTACAGTTTTTAATTAATAATGATACTAATCACAATTAAATTGGATTAGTTTAAATTAAGGTATAAAAATTTCGATTTCTATGTTAAGATTAGAAGTTCATTTAATACATAATTTTTTTTCTATTTCATAAATTTAATTTATGGATTAAATTAAAGTAAAGCATTCTCCTATAAATCAATTCTAAATTTCAGATAAAGAGGTATAAGTTTACTTATAAATTAAGTTTCCACTTTCATTATAATTTATTAATGATACTGTTTTAATGGCAATGACTGATTTTTCATTGAAATGGATTGATTTAAATACTTAATAAGTTATATGGGAATAAAAAAACCATCATCAAAAAAGAATATAATAATTGATAGTTGAAAATAATGTTGCATTTACTTGTTCTAATGATAGAACAATTAAAGTGCTTGATTTACAATCTAAATAATAAATTCATTAATTTAAGAATGAAAAAGAATTTTTTTCAATAGCAAAATCTAAACATATTTTGGCAGGTGGAAGTGATGGAAGAATTGATTTTTATGATCTTAATGTTATGAAATGGAGATCTAGATTTGATTCATCTTAAAATGAAGAATTATCTTCATTAAATTTTCATCCTTAATGTTAAACATAACTCTTATCATCTTCAACTGATGGTTTATTAGTATAATATGATTTAACTTAAAAAAATGAAGAAGAATCATTATAAATGATGATTAGATTTGATTAACCATTAAATTCTTGTGGATATTGGAATAATTTATGTTTTTGTGTTACGACCACAAATTAAATTACGATCTTAGATTAATAAAATGATTAAAAATTATATCAATTCTAAGCCATAAAAAATGTACAATATAAATATTCATGAATAGGATGAATTCCATGAAGATTACTTGATTGATGTTATGGCTGATCATGAATTTAAATACTATGTAGGTAATGGAAAGGATATCTATTAAAAAAATGAAAAATAATAAATAGTTGCTTTATACGGAACTAATTCAACTGAGTAAATTAGACATATTAAATAATTTAAAGATTGTTATTTATTATTTAGTGAAAATGGATTACTTGAAATATTGAAACCATAGCAATTTGTTTATTAAGCCTAATCAATAGAATAAGAGGCATTAGATTTAATTGAAGAAGAAGACAACGAAAAAAAATAAAAAAAAACAAGATGATATTTATAATTGATTATTNATTGGATTAGTTTAAATTAAGGTATAAAAATTTCGATTTCTATGTTAAGATTAGAAGTTCATTTAATACATAATTTTTTTTCTATTTCATAAATTTAATTTATGGATTAAATTAAAGTAAAGCATTCTCCTATAAATCAATTCTAAATTTCAGATAAAGAGGTATAAGTTTACTTATAAATTAAGTTTCCACTTTCATTATAATTTATTAATGATACTGTTTTAATGGCAATGACTGATTTTTCATTGAAATGGATTGATTTAAATACTTAATAAGTTATATGGGAATAAAAAAACCATCATCAAAAAAGAATATAATAATTGATAGTTGAAAATAATGTTGCATTTACTTGTTCTAATGATAGAACAATTAAAGTGCTTGATTTACAATCTAAATAATAAATTCATTAATTTAAGAATGAAAAAGAATTTTTTTCAATAGCAAAATCTAAACATATTTTGGCAGGTGGAAGTGATGGAAGAATTGATTTTTATGATCTTAATGTTATGAAATGGAGATCTAGATTTGATTCATCTTAAAATGAAGAATTATCTTCATTAAATTTTCATCCTTAATGTTAAACATAACTCTTATCATCTTCAACTGATGGTTTATTAGTATAATATGATTTAACTTAAAAAAATGAAGAAGAATCATTATAAATGATGATTAGATTTGATTAACCATTAAATTCTTGTGGATATTGGAATAATTTATGTTTTTGTGTTACGACCACAAATTAAATTACGATCTTAGATTAATAAAATGATTAAAAATTATATCAATTCTAAGCCATAAAAAATGTACAATATAAATATTCATGAATAGGATGAATTCCATGAAGATTACTTGATTGATGTTATGGCTGATCATGAATTTAAATACTATGTAGGTAATGGAAAGGATATCTATTAAAAAAATGAAAAATAATAAATAGTTGCTTTATACGGAACTAATTCAACTGAGTAAATTAGACATATTAAATAATTTAAAGATTGTTATTTATTATTTAGTGAAAATGGATTACTTGAAATATTGAAACCATAGCAATTTGTTTATTAAGCCTAATCAATAGAATAAGAGGCATTAGATTTAATTGAAGAAGAAGACAACGAAAAAAAATAAAAAAAAACAAGATGATATTTATAATTGATTATTATAATAATTTAAAATTTGTACATGTTGTCTACATAAAGTATATTCATTTAATTTTTATATGATTAATAAGTCTAAATGGTGTAATTTTATATAAATTGAAAATAGGAAAGTTCTAATAAATTGAATGATTTTAAAAATTAATTAAATTGTATTGTAATATTTAGTGATTATGAATTGATGTTAAAGTTAGAATTAGAACAGTATTAAAAAATGAAAAAGGTGCAACCAGGAAGAACTTGGACAAAATAAGAAGATAATTAATTACTTTAAGGAGTAGAAATATATGGTAGAGATTGGGATAAGATTGCTAAAGTGATGAATATAAAATCGAAACCATTATTAGAAGAGAGATATAAAAATTTGATAAATTAAAAGCCTAAACCTATATGGGAATTAAACGAGGATATTTTATTATTACAAATGGTTGATAAACTAGGTAAAGATTGGGAAATGGTATAAAAAGTAGTAAAAACAAAAGATATTGCTTCATGTAAAAGAAGATTTGCAAAAATAAGAGATTCTTGTTTGAATTTAGAAGGAGAAGACAAAGATTTAGTTCTTTTAAATTAATATTGGTATAGAGAGGATGAAGAAATGTTACTATTTTTATATGAATTATATAATGGAGATTGGAGTGAGATATTTAAGAGAATACCTGAAAGATATCCAAAATATATTTAAGATTAATTTAAATAAAAAGGATTAGCAAATTAATTACATAAATGGAATAATGAAAAGGATGCAAGATTATTGACTTATGCATTTTATGGTATTCCATTAAGTAATTTTGAATAAGAGACAGGATTTTCAGTACCTTAATGTGAAGAAAGATTGAAGAAATTACTTTATAAGATTTCAAAATCTTTATAATAACCTAAGAAGACAAAAGAATAATAACAATTTGATGAGATAATGTAATTTAGTGAGACAAAGAGAAAACCAAATAAATCAAATGAATAAAATTCAATGAATTAGTTAGAAAATCAATAATTAAATTATTATTCAGAATTTTAAGCTGCATTGAATTAATCGAAATAATAGAAATAGAATTAGATACATAATAGAATTGCATAGAAATTAGAATTAGAAACAGAATTTTAGAATGATGATGATTTTGGAATAGTATTGGATGAAGATTTTGTAAGTGATTGAATATTTAAAAAAATATAAAATTTAAAATTATCATTATTTTGTAACAATTTTATCTAATTCTCTTAAATAAGTATCAAATGGTAATAAAAGAGTAGCAATAGAAGCTAGAATAGCAATAACTCCAAAGATACCATAAGATAAAAATGTACCTATATCATTTATATATACAACAATCCATGGCATAATAATACTGCCTAATCTTCCTACTGATGATGCAAACCCTAATCCACTAGCTCTCATATAAGTTGGATAAAGTTCACTAACAAATTAATAAGAAACAGTAAATGAGAAACTTATAAACATCTTTAAGAAGAATATCATGGAAGCAAAGAAATAACCTCCTTTTGCTATAAATGCAATAAGCAAACCCACTAAACCCACTCCAAAATAAGATAAAAATAAGGAATTCTTTCTTCCAAATATCCTTATATTAACAATAATCATAGCTACAAATATTACTGGAATTTCACCAAGACAACTCAATGTTATCACTGTCAAATCTTCAATATCATCTTATTATGGTTCATCAGGATTTAACTTTTATAATGTTAATGGTAATAAAAAGGTCACTCCTGCATATACAAATGTATTTACAAACCATTAATACCAAACTATTAAAGTTATCCTCACAAATTGATTTTTTAAAAGCTTTTTAAATTAAATAAAATATGACATTAAAAATGATTTGTCTTTCAAATCTTCTTACAATCCTTATTCCTCTTTCTCTTATTTTATTAAATCTTATGAAATATTTTAATAAGTATTAATAGGTATTAAAACTGGTACTTTATTATTTAATCGAAATATCTTATTAATCACTTTAGAAGCTTCACTTACATTTCCTTTTATTAAATGATATCTAGGACTTTCTAATAATAGAAAATTCGATATCAATAATGTTAGTAATGCTGGAGCTGATGCCCAACAAAGTACTGCTCTCCAATTTCCTGAAACTAAATTTGGCATAAATATATATGTTAATAAACACACAGTCAATCTATATATTTTATATATTATTTTACTCTCCAGCCGTATAAAAAAATCCTATTGTAACCAAAACTATCCCTCTACTCTTTAAAGGTGTATTTTCTGCTAACATACTAAATGAAACTGGAATAATAAATCCAACACATGTTACTAACAATATTCTCTACAATAGATTTATGTCATACGAATATCATATAAGAAATAAAATTTGGCATGAATGCACCTATTATTGCACACATAAACATTATTCCTGATGACCATAATAATGATGATCTTCTACCATAATTATCAGCAAATACACCAGAAAATAGAGATCCTATGAAGTATCCTATATATATTAAGGATCCTAAAAGACTTTTTTATGAATCACTAACATTCCATTCTTTTTCCAAAATAGGAAATACAATTGATATTGCTTATGTCTCTCCTCCATCACACATACCAATTAGTCCAACTATAATAAAGACATATATTTAGTATTTTTCTAAAAATTTTAATTATTGACATTTATTTACTAAACCCTATATATGATAAAATTTCATCAAATTAGGTAAATTCTTGATAACTTTAATTATCATTAGTTTCATTAATATCTGAGTCTTCTTTATGTTGCATGAATAATAAATAATTTAATTTATTTTGTAATAGTGATAAGCAGAATTTACATATTTATAATTATTGAAGCTTTAATTATAATAAAAGTATATCAATCATATCTCTTAATGAATGAAAAAGGTTGTTATTTGTTGAGATTTCTTTTATTTATTAACAAAAATGAAAGTTTATTATATTAATAATTAGCTTTTCCATGCGAACGAGTTGTTTAGGACCCAAATTGGTTCTAAGTAGAGCTTAGGTGGAAGATCAAGAAGATATACCTGAAGAGCCTGATGACTTTGAACCAATTATCATTTAAAGAAAGAAGATTAGATATAAATCAGGCAGGAGTGATCGATATGATAGCAAAGGAAGAAAAATTGCAAAAGGCACTGGATATGGAATTAATTTCGATAATTTCATTACAGTTTGCGTTTTTGAACCAGAAGAAGAAGTAGTTTAGATTAAGGATACTTTATAATTATGTGCTTAAGCTATTGATAAAGAAAAAATAAATCCTCGGCTTGATCAAAAGTTTAAAGAAGAGCAAACAGGAAATGAAGTTATCTTATTTTCAATTCTTAAATAAAGCAAAAACAAATGATAATCTGAAAATATATTTTATTATTATTTTCATATATCCATTGGTTTTAATTAAATATTACAATAGAATTCCAAAAAATTACAATTTCCACTTTCAATATAATAATGAACAACAGAAAAACTTACATCTTCATATTTAAACATAGATATAATATCATATCAATTACTCTCTGCTTATTTCTCTTATTCACCTTCTTTTGGTGCTTAATCATTTTTTTATACTTCTTCTTCTTTTTCTAAATCATCAACATTTCCTAACATTAAAAACTTCTATTTATACCTTCCTTTGGTTATTCTTCTTCACCTTCTTCATCATCTTCATCTGCACCACCTTAATCGAAATTTTAGAATTTGTTCTAATCCCAATCATCTAAACCTTTTCCTCCTTCTTCAGCTTCATCATCTTCATCAATGTATTTTGTCCAATCCACCTTTTATTAGAAAATATATCAAACCTATAAGTATTATAATTTATGTGTCTCCTTTATTAATCTTGTCCAATATGAAGCAGTTTTATCTTTCTTAGATAAAATAAATCTGACATTCAATCCATAATTAGTCCATTTACTTTCCTATAATTTATATAATAAATTTATTTACTTCAACAACAACTTCGGCAAAGAAATTAATTTCAAAAGCATAATTAATACCTTCTGCATTAGCTGAGAATTTTAGTGAGTTAGAAGTCAAATCAACTTTTTCATCTTTCAAATCTCTTGTTTCAACTGTCAAAAACACATTATCTTTTCTTTAAGCCCATTTTACTATAGGAGCGCTAAAGAAATTTCGAGAATAAAATTTACATTGTCTTTTGCATCACTATTTTTAATTATTTTATTTCTGTAAAAACCTCACTTTTTAAAACTCTATATAATTACTACTAAAGCTTCTAGAAAATGCTATGTATATAAAAACTAATTCGCTCAAATTATTGTTTTTCTTTATTCAAATTTATTTCTAAATTTCCATAAAACTTAATAAAATCAATTTGAGATTTAATTGCTATTTAAGGAAATTTAATAACAAAGAAAATTATGTTTATTTATCAAAAAAAGCTAAAATTAGATAAAATTTTGATTTGATAAAATTGATAATATATTTTATTGAATAAAAGTTTATCAACAACAAATTGAATTATTCTTTTAATTTTCTTATTCTTATTCATTATCCTCAATAAAACTCCCTCTAGAACCTAATTTAACTCCAAATTTCTAATTTATTTATAGATTTATATACTTCATTAGATAAATCAAGTTAATTTAATTCAATTTTCTTGTATATATTTTCAGTAATAATTTAAAAGGCTTCATCAACTTTAAAATTCTATTTAGCACAAACTTCAATGTATTCAAGACCATTATTTTTAGCCATTTCTTTAGCATCATCTTCTGATACTTTCCTACTGAAATATATATTAAGTTGTACATATCACTTAAATCTGTTTTATTTCCNTATACCTTCCTTTGGTTATTCTTCTTCACCTTCTTCATCATCTTCATCTGCACCACCTTAATCGAAATTTTAGAATTTGTTCTAATCCCAATCATCTAAACCTTTTCCTCCTTCTTCAGCTTCATCATCTTCATCAATGTATTTTGTCCAATCCACCTTTTATTAGAAAATATATCAAACCTATAAGTATTATAATTTATGTGTCTCCTTTATTAATCTTGTCCAATATGAAGCAGTTTTATCTTTCTTAGATAAAATAAATCTGACATTCAATCCATAATTAGTCCATTTACTTTCCTATAATTTATATAATAAATTTATTTACTTCAACAACAACTTCGGCAAAGAAATTAATTTCAAAAGCATAATTAATACCTTCTGCATTAGCTGAGAATTTTAGTGAGTTAGAAGTCAAATCAACTTTTTCATCTTTCAAATCTCTTGTTTCAACTGTCAAAAACACATTATCTTTTCTTTAAGCCCATTTTACTATAGGAGCGCTAAAGAAATTTCGAGAATAAAATTTACATTGTCTTTTGCATCACTATTTTTAATTATTTTATTTCTGTAAAAACCTCACTTTTTAAAACTCTATATAATTACTACTAAAGCTTCTAGAAAATGCTATGTATATAAAAACTAATTCGCTCAAATTATTGTTTTTCTTTATTCAAATTTATTTCTAAATTTCCATAAAACTTAATAAAATCAATTTGAGATTTAATTGCTATTTAAGGAAATTTAATAACAAAGAAAATTATGTTTATTTATCAAAAAAAGCTAAAATTAGATAAAATTTTGATTTGATAAAATTGATAATATATTTTATTGAATAAAAGTTTATCAACAACAAATTGAATTATTCTTTTAATTTTCTTATTCTTATTCATTATCCTCAATAAAACTCCCTCTAGAACCTAATTTAACTCCAAATTTCTAATTTATTTATAGATTTATATACTTCATTAGATAAATCAAGTTAATTTAATTCAATTTTCTTGTATATATTTTCAGTAATAATTTAAAAGGCTTCATCAACTTTAAAATTCTATTTAGCACAAACTTCAATGTATTCAAGACCATTATTTTTAGCCATTTCTTTAGCATCATCTTCTGATACTTTCCTACTGAAATATATATTAAGTTGTACATATCACTTAAATCTGTTTTATTTCCAACCAGTATGATAACAATATTATGGTTGCCATATTTTTTAATTTCATTAACCCATAAAGAGGCATTTTCAAAAGTTTCTCTTCTAGTAACATCATAGACTAAAATAGCACCAATTGAACTAAAAGTATTTTATTTATAATACCCTCTATAATATGATCTAGTTATTGATCGAAATGACTCTTAACCAGCAGTATCCCAAATTTGGATTTTGATAATTTTAGACTTGAAAATAACTTATTTAGCACCAAATTCAACACCTATTGTAGGTTCATGTTAATTTCTAAATTTTTTATCTACATATTGAAGAAGAAGACAACTCTTTCCAACACCTCTTTAATAGTTTAGAATGTTTACTTGTATCCCCTACAATGATGAATTTGAATAAGTAATTATATGGTTTATTCATTATATAATTGAATTCAAAGACTTTTTGTATTTTGCATGTTATAACAATGAAATAGTTTCATCAAATCTGAGTTATAAATTTTTACAACTCAACACAACAATTATATAATATTCCATTTCATTAGATCGATAAGCACTAGCTAAACAAGGACCAGCAGAATCAGTTATTCCTGTTTTAATTCCAAAAAATCCTTTTTCTAATAATTTATTTGTGTTTTTCCATTCATAACTTTTCGTATTATTAAGTCCTTTTGAAATATATTCTTTACAAGAAATGACTTAATGAAATAAATCATATCTTAAGCATTATTATGATAATAATACAATATCATAACAACTAGAATACTACTGTAAGTAAAACAAATACATTGTCTTCATTAGCCAATCCATGTACACATGCAAATTAAGAATTTTATTATCCTATTAGATTTGAATAATGATTCATTTTGCTAATAAAAATTTCAATAGGACATTGATGAGTTTTCAATTCAACATTGTAATAATGACCTTCAGCACTCATTTATTCAATATCTATTAATCTACAATCCAAATGTTTTTCTTATTGATTAAATAATCTAATTTTATATAATATTTCTTACATTATTGTCCCAATAGCTTATGCTATAAGTGTAGCAGCATCATTTCCTGATGGTAACATTAATCCATACAGAAGATCTTAAATTGTTAAAATATCATTATATTTTAATTCAGCTGTTGTGCCTATTGTTTCTGATGCTTTTTTAGTTACTTTAACTCTAATGTCTTTGAAATTGAGATTTAATTGTTCTAAAATAACCATTGTTATGTAGAATGTCATAATTTTGGTTAAACTAGCAATTTCCATTCTCTTATTACTTTTTCTCTATGAAACTATTTTATTTTCTATGCAATCATAAACTATAAAACTTTTAGCCGAAACATTAACTTTTCTTTTTCTTGGTTTTCCACAATATGAATATATTATATTTTTAGCACATATTTAATATTGTTAATTACTCTAATTTTAACTTGATTCTTTGCTACTTCCTGTTGTTGTGGAATTGTTTATAAGATTTTGTTTTTAATTATTGCTGTTCGTTTTAAATTATGATCTCACTAACGATCTTTTTGTATCACTATTTTTAGGTGATTAAACCATATTGTTACTTCGTGTTAAATCATTTAATTTGGTTTGAGTATTCATTGTTGATAGAGGAATCTATGGCAAACTACTTTAAGGATTTATTTATTTAAATTTGCTGGTCATTATTTCAGAATCAATCTTTATTGATTTACTTTCCTTTTCAATCAATTATTATGATTATTATAGTGAATAATTTGAGTCCTTTCTTATTTTTATACTATTCACTATTATTGGAGAATGAAATTCTGTTATTATTTATGGGATTTTTTGATAGCTTTTCAATAATTGCATCGCTTTACCATTTTCCAAAACTTAAATCCTTCTTGAAGGATGTTGTGATTTTATTGGAATTATAATATCATTGAAATTGATATTATTCAAGTTAGATTAAGTTTTATTTATAATCATTATTAAAATATATATTATTTAATCCATGCTAATCTTCCTATCAATATTACCACTATAGAGATAGTAATATTGAAATAGAATTAATTCATTTCGTATTATCCATTTAATTTTATTTCTGTTAATCCAAGATATTGATCAATAGATTTCATGGTTACAAATTAAATAAGTATTCCTAAAATCAAGAATACTAAAATTGGAATATTTAAATGAAATTGTTTCCAAAATGCTATTTTAAATGGTCCATAAGTATTGATGGAATAAAAAGACAATAAAAAATAAATATTCATATTAATGAACTATTAAGTGTTCATATCTCCATAAAAGAAGTATCTTGTTTCATTTTCATTATTATCATATGGTACATACCATTCTTAATAATAAAGGATTAAATAACTTCCCAACATATTTAAACCACTAAAGATTAGAATTATTAAAATAGGAATAAAATTGGATAAACTAATCATTGAAGTATTAATTTTATCTTTAGTTAATTTACTAGAAGCCGGAGTTAATGTTTATAGAGCTACTATTGGAATATTGCTCAAATAATTTAAATATAATAATTCTTCATTATTAAAGTTCTGCATCTAATACATCATCAATTATGCAGAAACATATTTACTTACATTTATTATCATATAATATTTAAATATTTCCATAACATTACATGACGTAGCTTTACTTTGTAACAATACCTCACATATACAATGTATGCTATCGTTGGTATTAACGAAAGAAGCTGTTAAAGCTGCATCACATTATTGAAATGATATTCCTATATTAGATTATTTTAAAGCATGACAATCATTTGATCCATCCCCTATCATGCAAACATGAAGTTTTTATTCTTATAAAATCTTGACTACTTCACTCTTTTAAGTTGGACTCATTCTTCCAAAGATTTAACACAATTAAATTAGTTCAAACATTATCTTTTTATCTCTAAGATATTCAAAAGCTTAACCACTCATTGCCCATTAATAATTCTAACTAGTTTTTGTAGCATAAATTGAATTTACATATAATGAACTTGGTAACAATGATTATAACAATTCATAAGACGATTAATTAATACTTTTACCTTCTAACTCTTTTATTTAATTATTATTTAACTCTTCTAATATTAAATCATTCTACTCTACATCAAAATCTATTAAAATTGTAAACTTTTAAAATTCTATTATTCCGCTCTCTATTCCGCAGTTTATGCAACTCAAAATATGATCTCCACTTATTATTTTTAATTTTTACTAAGCTTTTTGTAATTCCTCAACAGTTTATCTTGTATCATTTTTTAATTCATTTTCAAAAATAATTGATCCTGAATAATTTAAATATTATTCCAATTCAATTTATGGTTTAACAATGTCTTAAAAATCTATTCTCTTATATCCTGTACTAATTATTCTCATACCTTTGAGTGATTCTTAAGTTATTAAATCTTTAAATCCTTCAGGTACAGAGACACATAATTAGGAAATCTTTTCAGCTGATCCTTTACTAAAATAATAATACTAGTTTTATATATTTATATCTTCCTAATCTGCTTCTTTATTTTATTTATCCTCTCTTATAATTTAATCACTCATTGCTATTACACCCATTCTTTATAAATCACTTGAAAACTCAAAGATTTTAATAACTTTTAAAGTAATCTCTTCATTTAAACCATTTTCATTAATTATTACTTTAAACTTACATTCATTATCTTAAAGAATCATTAAATTTGAATAATTAATCATGGCTATTTCTAAAGTATCACCTATTAATTAATTATCTAATAAATAACATTAATGACAACTAGACATCAATATTTACATCATTTTTTTATCTGAAATTGATATGATTTTATTATTCATTTCATCAAATACATATTTCACTTTAATCTCATTTGTTGTTAAAGTACCTGTTTTATCAAAACAAATAACTTCTGTTTATGATGCTTCTAATGTTTTATCTGGTTAAGTTCCTAAGATCTTTTTTAATTTCAATCTACTTAAAGTAGCTGTCATTGTAAGATTAACTACAGTTACTAAATTTGGTGGCAGAATCCATACTATTGCATCACCTAATCTTAATGCAATTAGTGTTGGATCATAATCTAATAAAACCATCTTCCAAAGTAATCCAAAATACAATGCTATAATCAAAACAGCAATTATAACAAGGAACTTTACTGCATCTATAAAAAATATTATCTTTGGTGGTTTTGGATATAATGCATTCCTAAATATCTATCCTTTATAAGATAAATATCCAGTTCTTAAAACCAATACCTTTACAGTATTTTTTATATCTAAGACTTTAGTTCCATCAAACAAAATTGATTTTTTGTAAGTTTAATAATTGAAATTAATCAAATACTCTTTTTTTATTTGCTCTTTTTAAACTGGAATAGACTCTCCTGTTAATGATTATTCATCAACCAATACTTCACCTCTTAATATTAAGCAATCACAGGGTAATATTTAATTACAAAAAATTTAAACTATATCTCCTGGAACCAATTCAATCGAATTGATTGTTTTACATTCCACTTTACCAGATATATTTTAACGAAAAACTGTAATTTATTAATGGTTTTCCGCTTTTTTCTTTAATTACTACATAGCTCTTCTTAATATAATATAATTTATTAATGATGTAAACAATGCTATAATAGGCTATAGAATCGCTAACTAATAGAATCCTTCCAACATAAATACAGTTATTGAAGTATATTGAGTAAAATAGAGAGGTGATGTAAGCTCATTTTCAAAAAAAGAAGTTATACTTGGGATAGGAACTACAACTTCACAGTTTCCAAATTTTTTATTTAACTCAAATACTTTTCCTTCACTTAAAGAATTCACATTCTATGTATTAATATCTTTATCAACATATCCTGTGTCTAAAGGATGAAATTTATTATCTTCAAAATAATATTCTATATGTCTATATTTAAAATAAATGCTATTTGAATTTGAATTTCTTTTAACTTTATGTATTTCTTTCTCTCCATGTAAATTTATTATAAGTAAATGGGTTGCATAAAATATTTCCTTCTCTTCCTTATAATAAAAAAGCAATTTTATATTTATAAACCAACGACATCTTAAAATTTTAAGTTTAAAAATACATTAAAGAGAATATAAAAAGAGTTAATATTGATAAAATACTTCCAATTATTTTTCTGCTTCCAACAATCCTCAATGGTATGATTTTAACAATCATTAGATCTCCTTCCAAGTCGGAATTTTTAATCATCAAAAATTTTTTATTATTCTTAATAATAAAACTTATAAAAATCTATATTTTTTTTTTTTATTTAAATCACTTATTTCTAATTTATAATATGATTAATTTAATTTTTCAAATAAAATTTTTCAATGAATAATTTGAATCTAGATGTTTTTTGAATTTTGGAATCTTCTCTAAAATTTATGACTAAGAATTCAATTATAATGTTTTAACAGTTTTAATATATTTTGCTTTAGCTTTAGAGTTTTGAAACACTTTTAGTTTTTAGATCAATTATTTATAAATAAAATTTTAAAATTGATCATATTAGGTAAAAAAGTCATGAATTAAAATAAAAATAATAATTTAAATGTCTTTAACTTCTGTTCTAAAAGTATTTTGTAATTAAATATACATACATATTTATGAAGGGTTAATAAATGTACAGAAAAATTTAACATATCAAGGCGAATCAAATTAATCTGTCTAAATTAAATTTAAAATATTTGATGAAGATTGAAACTCTATACAAAGAATTTAAGAGAAAAAATTATATTAGATTGAATTAAAAATAACTTTTCTCAAATTTAAAAAAAAATAATATTTATATAAATGGTTTCATTTATAATAACATTCCTAATGTTGGCTTGCTTTAAAAGTGAACCATTATTGAACTACAAATTAAGCGAAGGATCAAAAAGGAAATTATAAGAGAGTAAGCCAAATATAACTTCTTTATCATGGGAACCATTAAGAATTCATTATGAATTTTTAAATAGCTCTTACGATGCTAAATAATTGAAATTTATATCTAATGTTCTTGATGTAACAAGCGTATTTTTTTAAAAACATTTATTAATACGAAGAACAAGTTCAAAGATTACTTACAAGAAAGATTATCCAAATAAGATTTTTGGTTTTAATATAAGCGAGGCTTTGAAAGCTAAAGAATATGATGCAGATTTAGTATATTATTTAATAAAAATAGGTTTTATTTGTAAATGTTGAAAATTCAACAACAGAGACTTATTTAGCATATTGTGGTCCGGCGATTTTCGATGAAATAACTTTACGACCAATATTTGCTTTGGTTTCATGGAATATGTTTTATTCAAAACTTGAAAATATGACTCATTCATAATTTGAAAATAATTTAGAGACAGCAATTCATGAAATTATTCATGGTTTAGGTTTTGTAGATGATTATTTCTCTACTTATTATGATTCAGTCACAGGAGAAGATTATAATTCTTCAAATAGTTATACTATTTAAAAAGTAATTTATTTATCAACCCCAAGAGTGACAAATTATGTGCAATATCATTTTAATTGTACAACATTAAAAGGATTATAAATGGAAAATAATGGTGGATCAGGAACTTAAGGGTCTCATTTTGAGAGAAATCTATTCTATAATGAAATAATGACAGGTTCAGATATGACAGGAAACTTTTTAATAACAGATTTTACATTTGAATTATTTTAAGACACAGGGTAAAAAAATAATTAAGATTAAAAGATTTTATCGAATATCAGAATATTCACCAGATAAACCATTATGGGGAAAAAATAAAGGATGCAATTTTGCAGATCAATAATGTTTAGGAGGAAATTTTTCTGAATTCTGTTCTGTTGAAAATACAACTAATTGTTCATTTTATAAATCAGGTGTTTCTAAGTGTAAACCAGAATAATTAACAGGTCCATGCAAATATTATTACATATATTCTAATTATGATTGCAGAGATCCTGATAATATAGAATCTTAAGCATCCTCAGGATTACTACAACATTTTGGCTCAGATAGTATATGTGTATCAGGTTCTGTTTCAAAAAAATAATAAGCATATTCATAATACTCTTGTTTGTAATATAAATGTGATGATATAAACAATACCTTATTCCTTATTATTGAAGGATAAGAATTCGATTGTTCAAAAGGAGATAGTATCAAACTTCCAGAAACTTATTATGGCAGTATTAAATGTCCTTCAAATCCTTCTGAATTTTGTGAAAATAAAGATGAATGTTCCAATTCATGCAGTTCTAAAGGTTTTTGCATTAATAAAGAAGTATCTTATATTTACATATTTAAGTGTATTTGTAAGTTAGGATACTCCTCAAAAGATTGTAATACTGAATGCACAAAATATAGATATAAGGGTAGTTGTTTAGATAAATGTCCAGAATCTACTTATGTATATGAAAATATCAAATATTGTGTTGGCTGTCCTGCTGTAATTATTCTTTTTATTAATTTAAGAATTGTTTGACTTGTTCAAATTATAATAAATGTTCAACATGTTAACCAGGTTATGTTTTGAGAGGAGGATTTTGTGATAATTATTAATTGATTGAACTTCTAATAGGAGGCTTAGGAAATTCTACTAATTCAACATCTAATTCCACTAATGTTTCATAAAATTCTACAAATTCATCAAATACAACAAATTTATCATCTAATGCAACAGAGACTACAAATTCAACTTCAAATTCAACTAATTCAAATAATTCAACTGATCCAACCAATTCAACCAATTCCACTAATTCAACCAATTCAACTGATTCAACCAATTCAACTGATTTAAGTGATTCTAAAATTAACATTAGGACGAAAGATGATTTAATGTATCTGATAAATTTATTTTTATTAACATTAAATTTGTGAATACAATATCAATTTCAAAACTATATTAAATATATATTTTTCATTTAAAAATAAAGATTAATACACAATAGTTTATTAAATCTTCTTTATCATCCTTTAAGTATCAGAGAATACTTTAAAACTTAAATAAACTTATTTTTGTCTAAATTATTAATAAAACATATATATTTTAAGTGGATTAATTTAAAAAAAAAATCTAAACTGCGATAAAGCTTTTTTTACTTTAAACAAAATATATTATTCAAAAAATGACAATTTTTTATGATAAAGAAATTTAAAAGGAAAAGTTTGAGAAATCAAATAGCTCATTTGATTATTAAGAAAAAAGTATTAAATTGTTAGACGGAGCCATAAATTTTGATATTTTTCAGATAAATTAGAAAATTATGAACTTAAAACGAATACAAATTTTTTAGCCTATATGAAATAAATTAAAATCATATCCTTTGAGTAAATAAAGTATAATAGGAGAAGTCAAAAAAAATTAAAAATAATATGGGTTAAATTGAAAAGAAAAATGAAAAAGAAATACTAAAATAAAAAGTAAAAACTTAAACTGAAATGAAGATTAAATATAAATATTAAAGAGAAAGATTAAATAAAGTAGAGTTAAAATTACAAAATGAAAAAGTAATATATTTTTGTCAACATTTTTTTTGTATTATTTCTAAAAGTATCTCAGGTTCTTAGGCTAATTTATTAAAATCTTTTCTTTTTTTAATGGTAGAAATATTATCAACTAAATATTTCATAGTTTAGGCGAGTAATAATTTAGAATTGTATCTAAATTAAATATAAATTATACTTTTTAGAAAATAAGATTAATTCAATAACATTATTAAAATTAATTTTTCTAGTCAATTATTCTTCACATAGATATTTTAATCTTAATAGCAAATATTGATCAGATAAAATGATAAGATTTAAAAGTCTATTTGTATTAAAGGAAAAATCTAATTGATCAGTATAGAGATATAAAAGCATGTCCATGAATGTTTAATAGCCACATTCAGTAATTTCTATATATATTTATTCTTTATCTCTAAATTCTTCGAAAAATAAAGTTTAAAAGTGTTCACTCCTAGCTCCTAGAATACATTTATTAGCATAAATTTAACGATCTTCTATGAGAAAAATGACATCACTCATTAAAGGATTATTAATTAAAGAATTTAAATCTTATAAAAAGCTAGATCTTGGAATCTATGCATTTTTGAATTCTAGTTTATAAATATCATTTAGAAGTTCATCTCCATCATATCCTCCAAAAATATAAAGAGAATCATTATAAATTTAAAATACCATAGATGATCTTCCTTTAGGAGATTCATGTACTTCTAATTTTTTCCAGGTTTTATTTCCGAAATCAAATTCATATAAATCATTTAATCTTGCTTAACCATTAAATCCACCAAATAATAATAATTTATTTTAATAAATTTCAGAAGCATGAAACTAAAAATGAATTAAAATATATATACATATCTTGGACATGGTATTGTGCCATGTTAACTAATTCTTTTAACTTTACCTGTAAAAATATTAATTTTATAAAAATCATTTAATCTATTTACTCCATCAAATCCACCAAAAATATATATTTAATTATTTAATACACTAAAAGAAGGACAAGATCTAGTAGAAGGAATGTCTCCAATTAATTATAACTTATTCCAAACTTTTTCTTCAAAATCAAAAACATAAGCATCATTTAAATAATGATTACCATCACAACCTCCAAATATAAGCATTTTAGTTTAATAAGCTCCACAAGCTATTCCAAATCTTTCAGATGGACATTGACCAGTAGGTTCAATTTTTTTCCAATTAAGAGTTTTTAGATTTAATGAATAAAAATCATTGAGCCATAATAATCCATCACATCCCCCAAAAATGTACATTTAACCTTTATATTCAATAGCTCCATTATTTTCTCTTGCAGTTGGTTTAGATCCTGTTGTGTCTAGTCTTTACCATTAACTAGAATGAAATTAATATCTATGAACATCATCTAATCTTCCATTAAAAGTGAATCCACCAAATATATATAAACAATCTTAAAATATAACCCAAGAACAACTGTTTCTTTAATTTGGAGAACTTTAAGTCCATTTATCTATACGTTCCCAAGCTTATTAATCATATTAAATAGAGTCTTCTACATCAAATTCTTCATTTTTTACAAATAAAGAATTTGAACGAAATCTATCATCAATTTCAAATTCTGTATCAATTCTATGAGATTAATTTATTTATTTTCTCATAAGAGCTCTTTTGATTTTTAGATTCTCATGCTCAGTTTATTATCTTTTATTCATTTGAATCTATGTTTATAAAATAACTAATAATATTAAATTTGTATTATAAAATTTATATGATTAACGAAGCCAAATTCGAATTACTATAATAAATTGATTATTGGACACAAGATTTATAAAAATATTAAAAATAACATGCAAAAGAAATTGATATATTTTATTTGGAAAGATTGGCTGTATCATAATATTGAAATTTATTAGATAATAAATATGAATATAACAAATATGGAATAGATTATAAGAAAATATGAGTAATTAAAAATGGTTTATTTAGAAATCACTAATAACCATTCTTCAAAAAAATCTGATGATACATTCAATAAATTATATAATAAATACTGTAATGAAAAGAAAAGTAAATAATCAGTCAATTAATCATAAAAGAAATCAGTTAGCATTAACACTACATAAAATAAGGTTTATAATTAAAATTAAAATCTGAAAAGCTAAAAAACAAAAGACTAAAAAATAAATGATTAATAGACAATCATTTAGGCAAACTAAATCATAGATGAATATATAGATGAGATTGATTATTATACAGATAAAATCACGCATTTACAAAACCGAATCGAATAGCATTCACATGAAGAATTGTTAGGCTAACTAAAATAATTATAATTAGAATAAGAGAGTTTACAATCTGATTATACTGCAATCATAGAGGAGAATGAAAGACTAAAAATAGAGATCTAAGATAATCAATAGAGAGTAAATGAATTGAGAGAATTATAATTATAATTGATTGATGAATTCAAATAATTTAATTGATTATGGGTAATTAGAATACAATTGATAATGGTATAAAAACCTACATAAAAAATGAGTTTGATAGAGTTAAGAGTGATAATCAAAGACAACATCTTAAAATTTCTGAAGTCTTAAAGCTCTAACATCAAGAAAATTACCCATTCACATTTGCACATTTAGGAACTCTCTTTGTTTTAGATAGTAAACGCACAGGCTTAATCACAATTGATTAATTAGTTCTCTTTGCTTAATATTGTGGTAGGAATCTTAAAAATGTTTAAACTTATGAATTTCAATCTCAACTTCAAGGATTGTGTACTTCAATTTTATGGGATGAAATTTGCAAAAATGGTATTGATCATGTAAGTGAATGGTTTGTCCGTCTATTAACAACTAACGATACTGTCATTACTTATTAAAATCATCAATTTATTAAACTAGAAACTGTTTAAATACTATATGAAGTAACTTATAATATTACTTATTAGTTATCTAATACTAAAATAATGTCAAATATTGATATATAGTAATTTGTTGATCTTTTACAATAAGCAGGTGAAGAAGCTGGACTTATGTCTTTGGATTAAGAAGAATTAGATGAATTTGTTCCATTAGAGATATGTACTGAATTCATTAAGAATTTTTTAAATGGATTTAAGACATTAATGCTTGAAATAGGTTTCTCAAATGGAAAATGAAAATTATAACAATGTAATTTATTTAATAATATATTTTTAATCAATATATATATTTATATTACAAACAATTATTTTATTGAATCTTTATGGATGTTCTAAATTCCAATGTAAATTAATCAAAGCTATGAACTTTAAAAAGATTAGTATTAATTATGTCTTTAATATTTTACTTTTCTCCATAGTCTCCTCCTTCAAGAGCAGTTCGTTCATTACTTTTGTTGTCAAAGGTTGTTTTTTAAGGCAAAATTGTGGATCTAATGAAAGGAGAACATAAAACTCCTGAATATTAATATATCAATCCAAACTAATCTTTGCCAGCACTAGTAGATGGAGAATTGAAGCTTTTTGAAAGTCATGCCATTCTAAAATATATTGCTATAAAAAAGGAGTTAACCCAATTTTATCCAAGAGTAAAACAATATAAAATTATAAGGATTTCCGAAGCAGAGCAAGAGTAGACTGTTACTTAGATTGGAGTCAAACTGGTTTAGATGCTATAGGAACATATACAAATTAATGTTTTCTATTTCCAATGTTGATGAAGAAACCTGTACCTTAAAATAAAGAATAAATGTATGAGGATACAATAGATACACTTAAATTCTTTGAATCTATTTTTTTAAAGGGAAGATACATATAAAATCAACCATCAATAACAATAGCTGATTTAAAGTATTTATAAAAAATATTAAAGATGTATTGCTGATTTGACCCAACTCTTATTGACCGGTTTCGATTTCAATTAATTTCCAAAAATTAGAGATTATCTATAAGAAATGTTCTCAATACCAGAAATTAGAGAAGCTTATACTGAATATATAGACGTTATTAAAAATACTAAACCTAATGATTCAATTACTTATATCATTAGTGGAATTGACAAAAAATAAAATTGGTAAATTAATTTATATCATCATCCTTTCTCATCTCCTTCTAGAGCTGCCAGAACTACTTTATTACATAGTGGAGTTGAATATAACGAAAAAATTATCTATATCTAAAAAGGATAAAATAAAACTCCTGAATACTAAGCAATTAATCCTAATGAATCTCTTCCAGCTATTTAAGATGGAAACTTATCTTTATTTGAAAGTGGTGCTATTATGAAATATGTGGCTCAAAAATTTAAATTATATAATCTGTATCCTTTCAATTTCTAAACCAAAGCACAAGTAGATTAATATTTAGATTTTCACATAACTGAAATGTAATCACTTACTAAATATGCTTTCTCTTGTTTTATTGGTCCTACTCTTATGAAATTGCCAATACCCTCTAATAAAGAATAATAATTAAAAGATGTTAAAGGCACTCTAGAATTCTTTGTTAAAATATTTTTAAACAAAGGAAATTGGGCTTATATTAATGGATCATCAATTCCTACTTTAGCAGACATTAAAGTTTGTTGTGATTTAGCTTAATTATTTATTACAGATTTTCCTTTTGAACATATTTTAGGTTTGGATACTTATATATAAAGAGTATTTCAAATGCCTGAAATGAAAAAATCGCATAGAGAATACTTTCAATTTTTGTAAAGTTAAAAAATTGGAAAATTTGCTTTACAAATTACTCAAATTCTAGATTCAATACGTCCAAAAGAAAAATTAACTTTATACTATAATTTTGTATCTCCCCCTTCTAAAGCTGTAAAATCATTATTAAAAATGGCTTATATAAATTTCACTGAAAAAGATATTGACATCTAAGGAGGAGAAAATACAAGACCTCCTTATAATATTATTAATCCTAACTAAAGTCTTCCAGCTATCACTTATGGCAATTTTAATTTATTTGAAAGTCATGCTATCATGAAATTTATATGTATCCAATTTAATCTCACTGATTTCTATCCTAATTATCCATTAAGAAGCAAAATAGATTCCTTTTTAGATTTCCATCACACTGGTTTCAAATCATTAACTCTATATTCTATGGATTTCTTTTTTGGTCCTAAATTTATGAAAAAATAAATGCCAAATAATAAATAAGAAAGACTTAGAGAAATAAATGAGTTACTTCAATTTTTTATTGATACATTTTTAGGAGGAGGACATTACAAGTATATCATGGCATCCAGAACTCCAACAATTGCAGATTTAACGTAAATTAATTATATAAAATTAGATTTATAGCAGAAATTTCTGGCTTGTTTTTTGTTGATTTTGATTTTACACCTTTTCCTTCCTTAAAAAACTATCTAAGAAATTTATTTGAAAACAGATAAATTCGAGATACTTATAGCAAGTATTTTTTGGTAGCAAGATTTATGACTTCTTCAATGAATCCATATATTTCATCAATAGTAAAAGGAACAAAAGAGGGAGAAAATGCATGTTGCGAATTAATTTGATATAATTTATTAATTTCATAATTTAAAATTAGCAATCATCCTATCAATAAATTTTTCCTCTTAAGAGTTAATTTCTTATTCTTAAAAGTAATTTCTGCTATTTTAATTTATAACAATTATCTCTAAGTCCTAATTGATTTCTTAATTTATTTAAAGCATTTAACTTCAATTCCAGTTTTTCTTGAATTTACTGTTATAATTGACAAATTTAAACTACTTAGATTAACTAGAGCATAGAAACTATTAACTATTAAGAATGAAAAAATTTTTCAGATAAGCAACGAATTATGTTAATTGATTGTCTTGAATATTTATTATGCATAAGTAAAATATTTTTTTGAATTAAATATTAAATAGATTAAGTAATTGATCATAAATCAAATTAAATTCTTAGTTTTGGAAATAAAAATAAATAAGCTCTTGGTATAACCTCAAAAAACAGTTCCTCTTATCATTTCTGCTAGAACAGGAATAGGATTTAATATTAATCATATATTGATTAAACTGAAATATTATTGTGCTCCTAGATAATATTTATTATAATAGTAGAAAGGTCTTATGATGGATTTGATGATATCTTTCTAGGTATTCAATTATTTTTAATATAATTACTTAAGACATATATGATAACAGGATATAATATGAGGTATTATAATTATAAGATTACCTAGTATTTAATGAAATTCAAAAGGCTTTCTGTGTTAAATCTTAAATAATACTTCCAATCTTTATCTATATAAATAATCAATAAGGCTTAATTTTCGATTTATTAAATATATATTTTAATATTTTTTATAACTTTCAAGGCAAATTGCAGAATGTATATTCAAAATTATCATAATCAATTGTGATTGCAGCAAAAATAATCAAACATTTGTCTTAAGAAGTACACTATGGAGGAAATTCGATTAAAAATTTATCAGCTTTGCTGCAATATTCTTAAGCACAGCCATTAAAAATATTTCTAATTCTTCCAACTTTCTATTTCATAGGATTATAAATGTCATAGTCAATAAATTAACAAGGTCCTGTACATCTAGGTATAACACACATTCTCGTAATACAACCACACTATACAAATTCTCCAGATATAAAAAATTTAGTATTGCCAGATGGATCACAAATATCAATTTCTTCAAGGATTGGTAATGGACATCTTAAATTAGATCTTATATGTTACTCTGATCTTCCACAACACATAAAGGGTTATTTTAAATATCCAATCACCTCAGAATCACGAGATACAACTAATTCTGGTCTTTCGCATGGCATACATAAAACTGAAGGAACTTTATAAATTCCTAAATTATAAAAGGTTTAATTACTATGCGCTTTGAATAAGACCTGGTTTTAAGTGTTGATAAATAATAGATCTAAAGCTCTCCAACATTAACAAAAGAACCTTTAAGGACATTCGGATTCCTCATTTATAACTCCAATCTGCGTATTTGCAAGGAGACCCGTTTATTCAGAGACTGAAATTTGATAACTGTTTTTCTTTTCTCCAATGCATGGGCATATACATTCTACACAACTAAAAATTATATGGATTAATTTACTCTGGTTTTTAATCAACAAGCATGAAGTTTACTCCGGCAAATGGCTAATTTAAGATTTTTAGTTTACATCTGCAGTGAAAAATTAAGCTCCATATTATTAGAGTTATCCTACAATTGCATTTCCAATAGCATTCCCTACTGCTTGTGGTACTACCCCATATTAGACTTGCATTGATGATTTAATTATTATTATTTTATTAATTAATAGTTTATGAATTTAATATATATTTGATTAAAGTGGAAAATAAAAATAATTTTAAATAAAAGATAAATGAGTTAAGAAATATTTGTTAGTGATGATGGTAAAATAAAATTATTAAATGAGAGATAAGAAGGGATGAGATTTGTAAATTCTTAAACCCGAAAAGTCATTTAATAAGTATTTATATTAATTTCTAAAAAAGTAACCAATGATGGAATTTTAATAATAGTAAATCAGAACTTAAGAGGAGGCACCACTTATTTAAACTTAATAATTGCCTCTTCCTCGAATTTCAAGCCAAAAGGTTTTAAGATAGAATGTATCAATACCTTAAGTTTCTTATCCTGGTACTTACAGTGTTTAATAAAATTGTTAACAAGCTCCACCACTTTGTATGAATATTGTAGTGGTTTCAAAGGAAGAAATTGAAACACCATGGAGATTGGAATGTGAATATTTATAATCAATAATTGCTGATTTAGAAAGAAGAAAGGAAGCAAAAGTAGTAGAAAAAGAAGTAGTAAAAGTAGTGACAGATAATACTAGAATTGAATAATTGGAAGCTCAATTATTACAATTACGTAGAGAGAATGATCAATTAAAAAATCAAATGATGTAAATGCGAAATAATTATGAATCATAATTGGAATCTTTAAGAGGAGATATAACATTACATAGTGCTAATGCTGCTGATTCAGCTTCATTATAAGCAGAATTTTTTGCCATGAGAACTTAATTGGAAGATTAGATTGCAGGATTGAGAAGATAAATTTCTGATCTAGAAATTCAATTAAGTTAATCACAATCAGAAAATGATAGATTTAAATAATTACTATAAAATAGAGATTAAGAAATTTAATAGCTTAGATTATAATTATCTAAATTATAAACAAGTGCCTAAGACACAAGTTAATTAAGAGATTTAGAAAATCAATTAAGATTGTCTAAAGAGGAGAATTCTAGACTTGAAAGATTACTATAATAAGCTAATTAAGATATTTTAAATTGGAAAAATAAATACACACTTATTGAATAAGAATCATACACCAAAAATAATGAACTTATCATGTAATTAAGAGAATATGAAGTAATCATTATCTCATAAATATGTAGAATAGATTAGCTTTGATATCTACTGATATTGAAAGATTACAACTTCAAATCAGAAACAAAGATGCGGAATTAGATGAATGGAGAATTAGATACACTTAATTAGAATCCTAAGGAACAACAGTTATTTAAGAGAAGGTTACTTATCTCTCATAGGAAGTTGAAGTGTGGAAATAGAAGTTCATTAAAGCAAACCATGAATATAATAAATGCTAGGAAGAATTGACAATGTGCTAAGCAGAATTAGAATCACTTAAGAAAAGTGGATCAAAGAGAGTATATTTTAATACCATATTTAGGAAGTTGTAGTTTCATCAAGAACAGTTACATCAAGGGCTGGTAATACTCTAACTGTTACTGGGCCTACTGGATCATCATAATCTTATATTAAAAGAAGTGGTTTATAAGAATGATTATTCAATTTATCTAAGTACAAGTAAAATTTTCAACAATCTTATTATGATTTTATAACTATCTACTCTATTTTCTTTTATTGATGCTTATTTAAATAAATTAACAACTATCATTTAATATCAAGACATTTTAGAAGCATTTCAATCTACTAAAATTATTAAATAAGGAACTAGAGTCAATATATTTCTTATTGAAGAAATAAGAGCCATCTTTTTTTGATTTCTCTCTTAATCTTCAATAAAAGATTAAGCATTGTTAGTATCCAGAAACTTAAAAGAGAGATTTAGTTAATGTTTAATTTATTTTATGTGGAATGAAAGAAGAGAAAATACTTAACCTTTTATATCAATAGTATAAACTTAGTCTTTTAATTCAAAGTAAAGAAATATTTGAATTTATTGTAAAGTGATTAGATTGGCATGTTCTAATTTATGGAATTGATCCAAGAATGTAAACATGATTTTTAATGCTGAAACACATTATATATATTAAGATACTTCTATCTATTATTTATATATTCGAAATATGCATTTAATATTTCAAAATAAGAGACCAGCTTAACTAATTAGATGATTGAAATATATACTGTTTTCTCCATAATTGAATAATTCCTGTACATGCCATCACTGAGTTACATACCACTAGCATATATTATCTTGGTGATAAAACCCAGCACCATCTATTTAATTATTTTATCTAATACCTAGCTATTAAGGTTCCAGTTAATGTAATAACTGATTATTAAACAGGATTGATTGTGTCAACAGGCTTCTTAATCATATCATTTATATTGGCTATTGATATTCCCCATTTGGCTAAAGGGCAATAAAAAAATATTGTAAATGGTCCTTTTTCAGCTTAAAACCATCTTATCATGAATTATGGCCAAAATGTCTATGCACATACAAAGGCTTATAACTATCTTATGGGACCCATTTAATTTGTTATAATTATTATTCAAATCTTGTTTTATATACACTATTTAACTATGTATTTTTAAGTATCAGACTATAATATAAATGATTGAGTATTATAATATATAATATGTAATTTTTACTAAAAAAGATATTTTCTTATAGAATATGTTATATAATTTAGATTTGAAAATCTTTTTAAGCAATTATAACTACAAATTTGTATTCATATAATTCAAATAATATGAAATGATTTTAGAATAATTCTAGTTAATTAAAATCATTGAAAAAATTTCAATAAAATTTATTTATAGTTGATATTCCTCAAAATTAAAATCAAAAGACAAATTCAAATATCTAATCTAAGTTTTTAGAAATTTATTTTGAACAATAAAATAAGAAATTAAATAACTACTTTATGAATTCTTAACATATGAATAAAGTGATTATTAGAATTATTATCTTGAAAAAACTGAATTATTTTAATTATATCAATTTGAAGTTTGATATGTCTTTCTATTTAATGAAATGAATTGAATTTTTATACGTTATAACGCGCTATGCTTATATAACTCAATAAATAATATTGCTCCTCCTTTTCTAAGGATGAGAAAAAGAGAGAAGCAATTCAAGAATAAATAATTTGATATCGATTTTTTTCCCCAAGGTAATTTCTTTTAATGAAACTATAGAATCGATTTTTAACATGGTTTTCCTTAAAAAAATAAGAAATTTTTTGTACAGGTCTCCCAACAAGTTACTTAGAGATTTTTGTCCATTTGGGCCCATTATTAACAAAGTAATCTAACACCAACATATCCTCTTCATAAGTCCATGGCTCTCTGTTAATTGATTAGTCAAGCTTATTTATATAACGATCACGAGCTTATTTTCCTGTTATATTACCAAGTACTAAAAATTGAATAAAATAATAATTACATTTAGCTATTTTCATCCATTGTTTTCCGAATTGATGAACTAATTATTTCAATTGTTCATCATGTTATAAAGTCCAAATATACTTTGCCTATTCATTAATATATCAAAGACCATACCTCTTTTGGTGGATTTATTCTTCTCCATCTTTATTGGCATTAAGATGCATTTCTTTAAGGCATTCTTTTCACTATTTCATTCCATTTTCCCTCATAATACTTATATAGATATTTTAATCTTTAATCTTCTTCATCATTCCAAATTTTCTACTTTCTTTTATTTATTTCCTAATTCTACTGATTAGAACAGGTGTCTTCCTCTTTGATTTTTAACAAACTAGGTGATAATACAGTCTAAAATCGTAAAATTGGTTCTTCCGTACAAAATGACACTATGTAGTAAAATAAAGAAAAATTTGGTACAATGAAAATTTGATTCAAAATCAGAAAATGGTTCTTGATCCATTTTGTTAGGAGAGGGTAAATCAGATTCTGATATCTCTTTCTCTAACCAAATAGAGTCCTAGATGATATTTTAAAACATATATTTAATTGCGTTTATTGCTTATTGAAATAGATTAATAAGAAAATGTATAAATATATTTATGCAAATAAACTGAAATATAATAATTAAAATAATTATATTTTTGTAATAAACTCATTTCTGTCATGTTATATAAAAGGGTTAATTATTTGTATCTCTTAAAAGTTCAAGCCTTTGATTTTAAAATCAAAAATTTAGTTTAGATTTTTATTTAAATATCACATATTTTTTCAACAAATTAAAGTATTCTTTAATTTTTTATAAATCATTAATAATTGTAACAACAAATATTTTCATTTTTAAATCTTTAAATATGAATTATAGAACTTCATTTTTGTGTAATTAATAGATTAATTTTAAATACAACCAAAATTGAAAATAGTGAGTTTTAAGATAGAGATTGAAAATTTAAATTTGTAAGTACTATTTCATATAATTACTATAAATTTTGTAGGACAAAATAAAAATTGACGATTAATAAAAATAAATTAAAAAGAATTATATCGCTTGATTTTGTTCAAAGATTCAAATAGAGAAATTTTTTTATATAAAAATATTTCATTTGTAACTATATTATTTATTGAATTCAAGATCCATATTAATTAATTCACTTAATTATTTGAATAAAATTGAGCACGAATCTCTAAAATATAAATAATTTTACATAATTTCTGAACCTTTGGCTGATAAATTCGGATAAACTATGCTAAGATTTTTCGGAGTAGTTTCAGATTCTTATGAATGTAAAAAAATAATTACTTGGAGTATTATTTGAGTATGGAGTTAAGAAATTAAGTTATCTAGAGACTGGATCTCGTTTAACCAATTTTTCAGGAGTTTTATAATACATATGTCTCCTCTATACTTGTCTTCTTGGAATACTTTTAATATCAGTTTCATCTTATCTTGGTAAGACTTAAAGATCTTCCCATCTATTTTACATTTTCAATCTTCTTTTTAAAGTGCTATTCCAATGATTTTTAATAGAATTATCTGTTCTTCCTTTCAATAAGCCAGCTATCAATGACCAACGATTTCCTAATTTTTTATGAGCTTCTATTATAGTTTAATCTTCTTCATCAGTCCATCTTTCTTTATTGATCTTTGGATCTAAATGATTGTGAAACCTAATTGATTATAATTTGAATACCTTTCCCTACATTATTTACCAATTCTGCCAGGTAAATGTTTAGCAATTTAACTCCAATTCTTTGGCCCATAATTAGTTACTAATTTTACTAATAATTCATCTTCTTCTTATGTCCAAGGACCTTTTACAAGATCTGGATTTAAAACTTTCTACCATCTATGTAAACATTAAACATCAGTTCTCTCTTCAAAATAAGAAGCTATTTTCTTCCAATTTTTGGCACCATGTTATGTGACTAATTCTTTTAGTTATTAGTCTTCTTCTTCTGTCCACCATCTATCTTATTAATTTTAATTTTACCTTTTCTTAATTGTCAAAGGAGGATCAATATTATTACTATTAAGAAGAGTTTCAACTTTTGTTTTAATTTCATTTATTTTATTTCTATTCTTCTTTGGAATTATGCTATCTAATTAAGCATAATCAAATCTAGGAGTTGTAATCAATGGATCTTTATCCTCCTTTATTAATTACAAAATATTTGATTTTAATGTCAATAATTTTCGTTGTTGAGGAGATGGCGAAGTATTTGTAAGTATAAAGTCCATATCAATTGGATTTTATTAGAGTAGATCTTTCAAAAATGTAATGCACATGTTCTTTTCCATCAAAGGCAAAGTATATCCATTAAGTTCAAATTGAGTTATTAATTGGTGGGTACCTCTCATTAAACAAATAAAAAAATTAATTAAAAGATAAGAGAGTAGAGTTTTTTAACGAATTTGATAAAATTTATTAATAAATATCAAACTATTAATTTACTAATCAACCATTGAAGATTTATTTTATTTATTTTTTACACCTCCATTCTTCCACAATAATTTATATGCTATTAATTTATTTTTATTATTCTAATACTTATTTTCAAATTGATACTATATTTTTAGTCAAATTCCTTCATTTCATAGTTGAGAANTCTTTTTAAAGTGCTATTCCAATGATTTTTAATAGAATTATCTGTTCTTCCTTTCAATAAGCCAGCTATCAATGACCAACGATTTCCTAATTTTTTATGAGCTTCTATTATAGTTTAATCTTCTTCATCAGTCCATCTTTCTTTATTGATCTTTGGATCTAAATGATTGTGAAACCTAATTGATTATAATTTGAATACCTTTCCCTACATTATTTACCAATTCTGCCAGGTAAATGTTTAGCAATTTAACTCCAATTCTTTGGCCCATAATTAGTTACTAATTTTACTAATAATTCATCTTCTTCTTATGTCCAAGGACCTTTTACAAGATCTGGATTTAAAACTTTCTACCATCTATGTAAACATTAAACATCAGTTCTCTCTTCAAAATAAGAAGCTATTTTCTTCCAATTTTTGGCACCATGTTATGTGACTAATTCTTTTAGTTATTAGTCTTCTTCTTCTGTCCACCATCTATCTTATTAATTTTAATTTTACCTTTTCTTAATTGTCAAAGGAGGATCAATATTATTACTATTAAGAAGAGTTTCAACTTTTGTTTTAATTTCATTTATTTTATTTCTATTCTTCTTTGGAATTATGCTATCTAATTAAGCATAATCAAATCTAGGAGTTGTAATCAATGGATCTTTATCCTCCTTTATTAATTACAAAATATTTGATTTTAATGTCAATAATTTTCGTTGTTGAGGAGATGGCGAAGTATTTGTAAGTATAAAGTCCATATCAATTGGATTTTATTAGAGTAGATCTTTCAAAAATGTAATGCACATGTTCTTTTCCATCAAAGGCAAAGTATATCCATTAAGTTCAAATTGAGTTATTAATTGGTGGGTACCTCTCATTAAACAAATAAAAAAATTAATTAAAAGATAAGAGAGTAGAGTTTTTTAACGAATTTGATAAAATTTATTAATAAATATCAAACTATTAATTTACTAATCAACCATTGAAGATTTATTTTATTTATTTTTTACACCTCCATTCTTCCACAATAATTTATATGCTATTAATTTATTTTTATTATTCTAATACTTATTTTCAAATTGATACTATATTTTTAGTCAAATTCCTTCATTTCATAGTTGAGAATACCATATTTAAACTAATTTACATTCCCTATATAATAATTATTGCAATCGTTCTATAAATAAAATTCCCATAATAAATAAATTATTAATTATTTCAAAAATATAAAAGTTAACTTAATTTAATTATCTAATGATGAGAATTTCTGATTTTAATGAAAAATGATTAATATATCGATTAGTCTTTTCTGATTATATATATATTTTTAAATTTTAGAATTTTTTAATTTGTAATTTTTTTAATGTGATTAGTTCAATTTTTTATTAAAAATATTGAAATAAATAAATTTATAATACTTTTAAACCTGACAAACAATTTTCAACTTATCAAACATAAAACACAAAAATTGAATGAAATTCTTAATGTATATCACTTTTACTTTTGAAAGGGTATTACTGGAAGGATCATAAAACCTAAAGCTTAGGTCAATTAGCTAAAATTCTGATAAAGCTAAACATTTATAATAAAATTATTGGTTGATTTGATTTATTATATAAAAAATAATAAGAAGTATTAATTGTATCATAGAAATCTAACTGAATAAACAATCAAGTTTAGAAGACTTTACAAAAGAATTAGACACTTCTAGTCAGAATGAATTAAAAGTTTAAATTATATAAAATTATAATAACATTTTGAAGTAATATGTTTATTGAATATTGAGACACTTCATTACAAAACTTCATGAATAGTAATAGAATGAACTTTATAATGAAATAAAAAGGGAAGAAATAATTGTTTTAAATTAAATTTAATCATCAAAACTTCTCCAAAACAATATCAAGTCAAATGTCATTATAAAAGCTGTATAGAAACTAGAACTATAATAAAAGGAACTTGATCAAGTAAAAACTCAAATCAATATGAAAATAGAGGGAAAATGAATATAATTTTAAATAAAAACATATATCGTTTTTAATATGTTTATGCTTATCAAATCATTGGATGATAACTAATAAGGCTGCCAAAGAAACCAATAAGGAAGGACTACTTGAATCTTCAGATTCATCTTCACAAGCAACACAAGCATCATCACTCCAATAATATCCTCCATCTGTGATCTTTGAACAAGTGTCTTATGTAACACCTGTAAGATTTTCTCTGTCTATACATTAGCCGGTACTCCATTAGCATAAAGTTTAAGCACCAAATATTCCATCGTCAGCAACTGTGCATTTGGTTTCTATCAGAGAACCACATGTCCAACCTTTGCATTCTGTTCCACTTGAATCACAACCAAAATCTGCACAAATTTCCATTGGAAGGCCTACGCAAGTGTTCATGTTAAATTTATCACACTTGTTTGTAGCAGCATTTATCCAGCATAAATTATCGTCATCTATAAAACTATATTTGCAATCTGTTTGTGTCAAAAGTCCACAATCTTAAACAGGAGTATATTTATCACATGTATAGCTTCCATTTGCATTTTAAATTAAAGAGGCTCCGCAATTTCCTTTTTGAACCATACACAAAATTGGTTTTGTAGCTTCATAAGTTGAGCAATCTTTTGTTTCTTCACACTTTCCATCTTTATTTTTTGAACATCCATCAAGAGTTTCACAAACTGTGAGATCTATTTCCGAGCAGGCTTTTTTTGCACAAGCACTTCCCCATTTACAATCAACTACATTGTTGCATTCATTTTGACTTGTGAAATCTTCACAATCACACCAAAATTCAGCCTTTAATGCTCCGAATGAAACAACAGCCAATAAGGAGATTAATATGATTTTTTACATAATTTTATTTATTATACTTTAGGAATAAGATTTAGCCTTTGAATTATTACCGGTAAATCACTTTTTATATTAACTGAATATTAAATTCAATATTAATTTTTTAGACGTACATTTAGTAATTAAAAAATCTTTAATATTATAAAAATTTTATAGTGCAAATATTTATGTTTTTTTTATCAAGTCAAACTTTATTATGCTTCAGCACCAATTCAACAAATAATCATGTTTATCTTAAATTCTAATATATTATACAAGCTATTTTATATTAAAACTTACCTCAGAATTACTAAACTTATTTAGTCATTAAAATAATTATATGCTAATTTTATGTGTTTTTTATATCAATTTATTTAAAAAGAGCTTTCTTGTTTCTTTTTTTCTAAAAATTATTTCTTATCAAGTTGAAAAAAAATCTTAATAAATTGAATAATTTTGTACTATTATACTACAAACAATTAAACTTATCATTTTCTTTTTGGCTTTTACTATATCTCTTAAGGAATAAATTCTTTCAACCCTTAGCAAAATAAACCTTTGATATGATAAATAAAATGAATTTAGTTCTTGAATTATGAATTTTCATTTTCGAATTGGCTATGAATATTATTATCTATAAACTATATAATTATCCATACTATAAATTCTTTACTACAACTAATGTAGATTATAAGAAATTAAATAAATAAACTAAAATTGAATAAATCATAAAATTGAGTCACAAATAACAGAATATTTTAATTTCATTTAGGAGTCATTAATTTTTCTAAATATTTAAGTAAAGAAGCAATAAATTTTAGAGTATAAAAAATGAAGATTATATAATAATTTAAAATAAAGTTTTTAAAATGATATATATAACAGATTTTAATTTGAAAACTATTTTAAATATTTTTTTAAAATTCTCATTCAAATTCTATAAAATTAGAACTTTAAATTTAAGAGTCTAAAGAGAGTGCCTATAAAACAAAGAAAATTAGATAAATTTGGTTCTCATTCAAATCAAAATCAAATTTCTAAGGGTATTTAAATCATTTGGATAAAATCAGGATATAAATTCATCTTAAATGCTGTAGTTATTCAGCCAAATATACACAACATTACCATAAGAACTTTTACTTATGATATTATTATGAAAAATTGAATATGAAAATGTGAAATTTTATTTTTATGTTTATTATGATGAATTCTTATTTTTTCTTATTCTTTAAAAATTTATACTTATAGTCTCTTTTTATGTGCTGTAATTGATAGAAATAACAATAGAACAAGTTATGAAGGAAAATAAAAAAATAATAAAGAAAAATAGATTTCCTCTAAAATTATTAAATAGAGTTTCTACTTTTATTAATAATTGATAGTTATTCACTATGAATCTATGTTTTTAAAAATATTAAATTAGGCTTATAGTTTATTAAGTCACCAGATAGAATAAAATTATATTTTACAAATGACTATATTAATTATAATTATTTTAAATAAGAAATATGATTATATTACTCCTAATGTTCTTACTAAATTTTGAGGATAGTTCTGCTGCTAATTGTATATAAACTTATTATAATAAAGGTGATTATAGTTGTTTGACTTGTGATTCAACAGATGCAACAATTTGTACAGCTTGTGATACAAGTACAAGAAAATTGTTAAATGGAAAATGTATTTGTAAGGATGGGTTTGTGGAAATAACATCTTTTAAGTCTAATTAATGTTTATGTATAGAATATAGATTAAAAGATTAGAATGTTCTGAAAATTGTATGACTTGCGATATTTCCAAAAGAGATTTTTGTTTAAGTTGTGGAGATGAATCTATCACATTTAGATAACTATTAAATAATGATTGTGTTTGTATATAAGGATATTAAGCTGTACCATATTAATATGCATGTGAAGTCAATACTTGGGATTAGAGATTGTTTACATTCAAATATAAGACTGATACTTCTCGTAATTATTGGAGTGTAGTATCCAAACTTTTTGAAAGTAGTAATACTATAAGTGAATTAACTAATTTGATCAAGATTTCCTATTTATAAGATACTTCAGAGAGTTCAGTCTAAAAATATTATTTTGATTTAGAAACTAATTAGAAGAAGTTTTTCTTAATTTAGAATACAATTCCTGTTGGTTAGTATTATCAATAATTTGATTAAAATATTTTTGCAGTTGGATATATTTAACCAAAAGAGACACCAAGTGTACTTTGGAAATTTGGTTAGGTTGCTAATATTGCATCTACTTCATATTATTATGCAAGTCGTGTATTGGAAAAGTAGTGGAATGCAGGAATGTTTCAATATTAAAAAGATTAAGGAGTTTATATATAAGTAATGTTGACTTAAGAAGAAGTTACAGGATCAAATAGAAGATTTCTATCTGAAGTTGAAGACTATTCAATTTATAAGATAATGTATTTTTTTTATATTGGATATGCAAAAACTTCTTTTTTAAGTGATACAGAATGTGAAACTTTGATGGATGGTTTGATGAATTTAATTAATGGATGTTAAAAATACTGTGATGATTGCTATTTTTATAAAAATTATGAATAATGCAGAAGCTGTAAATTAAATAGAGTAAATAATAATGGTGATTGTTTATGCTAATATGAAACATCAGATTAATCTCAATGTTATCAACCATGTAAAAGTTAAAATTGTATAACATGTGCAGATGGTTTATGTATAACTTGTCCTGATGGATCAATTCCTCCTTGTAATAATCCCCATATAGTTTGTGATCAAGGTTATTATGAAGAAAACTCTTAATGTTTTAAATGTACAAGTCCATGTGTTACTTGTTCATCTGAAATTATATGTACTAAATGTTTAGATACTTATTTTATAAATGATTAAAATTAATGCTAATAATGTACTTCACCTTGTCTAAATTGTACAAAAGATGGATGTACATCTTGTATCGATAAGTATTACTTAGATGAAAAAGTATGTATCTCTTGCAGTTAAATTGAAGATTGTATAGATTGTAAAATAAAAGATAAATGTATTACTTGTATTACAGGAAAATATGGTAATGATGCTGGGGTATGTGTAAATTGCCCATAAATTTGTACTTCTTGTAGAAAAATAAATGATTGTTAATCATGTATTGAAGGGTATTACAATACTATTGGATATTGTAATAAATGTGATAGAGTTTGTTCAAGATGCTTAAATAGCTCTTAATGTTCTAAATGCATATCTGGATATTATTTAAGTTAATATAACTGTCTCAAATGTCAAGATTAATGTACAACTTGTTTTGAAAAATCTGATAATTGCTCAACATGTATTTCTTAATATACTTTGGTAAATAATAAATGTATCTAATGCGAAAGTCCATGTACATAATGTTAGAATTCTAGCACCGAATGTTTATCTTGTGTGGATAATTATTATTTAACTGTGGATAATAAATGTTAATCATGCTCATAAGGTTGTTCAAAATGTTAATACTCAGATGATAATTGTACAGTATGTAAAATAGGATATTATTTAAAAAGTACTTAATGTATTAAATGCAATTCTGATTGTTAATAATGTTAAGATGCTTATACTTGTAATTAATGTGTAAATGGATACTATCTAAATGCAGATAAACATTGTATATCTTGTCCTGTATAATGTTAAAATGATTGTAAACTTGAATTGAATTAAGTCGTTTGCAACAATTGTTCTACTACTTATTTCTTAACTTCAAGTGCTTGTTAATAATGTTAATCACCTTGCTTTACTTGTTAATAATTAAATAATCGTTGTTTAAATTGTATTTCAGGGTATTATTTATCTAATTATAATTGCAATTAATGTACTATAACATAATGTAAAGAATGTAATGAAACTTAATGTTTAGTTTGTAAAGCTGGATATTTATTGAATGAAAATAATTTATGTTAATAATAAACATATACATGTGATGATGGCTTTGTTAAGGTTAAAATAACAGATGAATGTTTGCCTTGTCATAATACTTGTTTAACTTGTTATGGTAAAGAATTTAATTAATGCTTAACATGTGATGATGGATATTATTTAGATTCTTAGAATAAATGTTTATAATGCAAATATCCTTGTAATAAATGTTAAGACAATTAAAATATATGTCTTTCATGTTAAGATGGTTATTTTTATGCAAATAATTAATGCACTCTTTGTACAAATACTCTATGCAAAGCTTGTTCAAATAATATAAATGATTGTTCTGCGTGTTTCTATGGATATTATTTAGATGGAAATTCTTGTACATAATGTACAAATAATTGTACATTATGTGATTCATCAACAAATTGTTCTTAATGTTTAACTGGATATTATGTAAATAATTAAAATTTATGTATAAATTGTGATGATTAAAATTGTGGTTATTGTTCTGATGCTCAAACTTGTGTTGTTTGTTTAGATAATTATTTATTAGATTCAGATAAAAAATGTTATTTATAAAATTGTCCCATATCTAATTGTTTAAAATGTTATAATAGTGATGTGTGCAATGTATGTTTACCTGGTATGTTTGCTGATTCTGATGGAATTTGTTAATATTGTAAAATTAATTGTAAAACTTGTGTAAGTACTGATACATAATGTACATCATGCAATCCTAAACACTTTTTAGATAGTAACAAAATTTGTTAATAATGTAATATTGGTTGTACAGCATGTAGTACTTCAAGTAATACATGTTAATCTTGTGAATAAAGTTATTTTTTTATAGAAAATCAATAGAGATGTGAAAAATGTAGTATTTATTGTAGGACTTGTGTTGAAAATAAAGATAAATGTACTAGTTGTGAAATATATCAATACTTACGATCAAATTCATCATGTGAGTAATGTACATCTCCTTGTTATAGTTGTAATTCAGGAAGTGAAACAGATTGCAAAAGTTGTTTAACAGGTTATTATTTATCTAATAAATAATGTTTACCTTGTTCAAATAATTGTTTAATTTGCACTTTCAATAATGTATGCACAAAATGTGCTTCTGGATATTTTCTTGATGGAATTGCATGTACAAAATGTCCAATCAAATGTAAAGATTCATGTACAAAATTATCCTCCTTTATTAAATGTAATGAATGTAATACTGGATATTTTGAAGGTGCAAGTGATTGTTTATTATGTAAAGCTCCTTGTAAAACATGTTAATCAACAGAAGATGCATGTACTTCATGTATTAGTGGATACTATCTTGCTGTAAATAAAGTATGTCCTAAATGTAGAACTCCAAATTGTAGAAATTGTTAAATATCATCAGGAGAATGTTTAGCTTGTGATTATGGATACATTTTAACAGATCCTGAAAAATGTACAGAATGTACAACATGTACTTGTGGAAATCATTAATATTATGATTGGGATGAATTAAATTCAAATAAATGCAAAGAATGCGATGTTTCATGTGTCACTTGCTATGTATCACCTAAAAATTGTACAAGTTGTTTAAGTACATAATATTTGGATCCTGTTGATAGCAAATGTTATAATTGTAATTCATCATGTGTAACCTGTAAAAATTCAACAGAATGTTCGTCATGTAAATCATTGTAATACTTATCAAATGCTAAATAATGCTTAGCATGTCAGCCACCATGTTTATAATGTACAAGTGCAACATAATGTATATCTTGTCTTGATGGATATTATTAAGATGGTACTAATTGTTTATCATGTAATTCTAAATGTTCCATTTGTGAATCTGCTAACAAATGTATAACATGCATTTAAGATGGTAAAACTTATTATAAAAATGATTATACTTGTAATTCTTGTGAAATAAATTGTTAATAATGTTATAATGGAGGATGCACAAAATGTGATGAAACTTATTATTCTTCAGATTAAATGTGTTTACCTTGTAATTCTAATTGTACATAATGTTCAAGTTCTACTTGCTATTAATGTAAAAGAGGATACTATGTTGAAGGATAAAATTGTGTAAAATGCCATAATTTTTGTTAAGAATGTTCATCATATTAATGCAACTAATGTTAAACTGGATATTTTATTGATGGATTTAATTGTACTTAATGTATGCAAAATTGCCAAAAATGTGATTCATTAACAACTTGTTAAACATGTTCAACTGGCTATTTCTTTAATGAAATCAATTCAGTTTGTGAAAAATGTAATGAAAATTGTCTATCTTGCACTTCAGAAAAATGTACAATATGTTAAACTGGATATTATATTAATGGTTAACTCTGTGAAAAGTGTTAAACTAATTGCTTATCTTGTACATCAACTATTTGTAATTAATGTATGAGTCCATATTAAATTTATTAAAATATTTGTATCTTATGTTAAACTGGATGTACAAAGTGTACAAAAGAAGAATGTTTATAATGTGATAGTATACATTATTTGGATCCAACGACAAAATAATGTGTTAATTGTAATTCAAATTGTTTGAGTTGTACAGCTACACAATGTTTATAATGTAAGAGTGGTTATTATGGCAAAGATTTAAATTGTGTACAATGTAATCCTAATTGTATTTCTTGTGATGTTAATACTTGTTTCGAATGCAATTAATAATATTATATAGATAAAACTAATTGTGTTAAATGTTAAGAAAATTGTACATCCTGTTCAAATACTGAATGTTTTTAATGTAAAACAGGTTATTATTTATAATTATAACAATGTACATAATGTAATCAATCTTGTAAGGAATGTACAAGTGATACAATTTGTCAATAATGTAATAATCAATATTATTTGGACGGAGATAAATGTGTAAGTTGTCCTTAAGGTTGTATTGCTTGTACAAAAGATGAATGCACATCTTGTGCTTAAGGTTATACATTATAGAATAAATAATGCATTGCATGTATGTCTAATTGTTTAGTTTGCAATACTTCTGCATGTACATAATGCGAGATAGGATATTGCATATAAAATTCTATATGTTAATAATGTCCATCTGATTGTTCATAATGCTAGAGTGCTAATTCAATTTAATGTTCAACTTGTACTAATCAAGGTGGTGAAGATGAAAGTGAAGAAGTTTAATGCAAGGATGTAGGCCAATTTAAATAAGATTAAATTTGTGTAGGTAATAAAATTTTAATTATTTAGATTGTATTGAGAACTGTTTAATTTGTACTTCAGCTGATACTTGTATAACTTGCTAATCTGGATTCACTTTATAATCAGATCAAACATGTCTTTTAATTTCTAATAGTACTAATAGCAATTAACAAATAACTTCTGTTGCTGTAGGAACTATTGTAGGAGGAGTTTTTGTTGCTGTGGCAGCTATTTTATTAAAGAAATTAGCCTTTGTTAATGTTGTTCCTAAATTATTTAATAATATACCTATCAAATTTAATCCATAAAATTGCAACTCTGGCGCCTCTGTTTCAAATTGGGAATAGTTACCTAATTTATCAGAATAAGAATTCGAAGAAGCTTTCTCTAAAGTTTAATAAAGAGGACGGTGATACAATAATTTCATAATTTTGAATTTATATTTTTAATGAATAAAGAATAACTCAAGCTGAATAGGTTTCTGTTAAGATAGCCTTTTATTAATTCGCTGAGGGATTCCAAGGACTTGTATATATATTTATAAGATATACCAAATGTAAAGGTATACATCATATATTTAATATGATCCTTCTCCATTTGAATATAACAATTTAATGTTGTAATTTGTTCCAGATACAATTTAGGTTTACACTTCCAACACTTAATCAAATTCATATCCCTATTATTCTGGATTATATTATTGAGTAACTACAATATTGGCTTAATTTATTATGTTAGAATTGTTTTGTTCAAACACTTCTGGATTTATCTAATTAAGAATTTATAGAATTTCTACTTATTCCCATGTTCCATTTGCATGGCTATCTGCCTTATCTTATTTTCTTAATCTCAATCTCAAAGAACTTGGTCTGGTTTATTATTATTGTTCTTATTCGTTCTCAGTTTCTGCAAATGAACCTAATTATCCATTTATTTATTCACATTTTGTAATCTGGTCTTATCCATTCCATGGACTAAAATACTTAAACATAAATTACGCTGAATATATTATTACATCATATTATTAGATCTAGCCTTCATCATTTTCATACTATAAAACTACATTGTAATTTGTTCCTGCTACTATTTGAGTTTCAACAGAAACAACTTATTCAAATTCATAACCTTATTCTTCGAGTTGATACTTATTTTAAACTGCAATTTAAGCCTCTCTAGAAAAATCTCAAAGATAAAAAAATAATAACAATATAAATAACATATTATAAAATATTTAGTATTGTATTTTTTACATAATTTCTCAGATTTAAATCAGATTAAAATTAGATCGACTTAGATTATTAATTTAATATCAAAATGAAATCATTTGCCCTTATAACACTTGTATTCTTGGTCACTGCAAACGACATTGTAGTGGAATAAAACAAAATGTAGAAATTAATGGATGAGATGTCTGAAGTCAAGCATTCAATAATTTTAAAGAAACTCTTAGAGAAATAACTATAATTGACAAAGGCTTAAGAGCTAATAGAAGTTTAAAGTGAAAGTAAGAATTTGTAGAATTTTAGGTGATTCCATAAATGATTCCATATAATTAATCAAAGTATCCTAAAGTACATACAACAGTAGTAATAGCAACTACACATAACCTAATACCACATATAATTACACCTACAGTAATTATTCATAGCCTACAAATACTTACAACTAGAGTAATCTAACTAATACAACTAACGCAATCAACTAGACAAATTCATCCTATCCTTATAACTACACAACATCATATCCTTACAATAATGGTGTTTATAACTATGTTAGTTATGATAATTAAAGTGATACAACCAATTCCACAAACACAAACTCTACTAGTATAACATGCTCAGTTGGATATTTCTTATCATAAAATTCAACATGTTTACCTTGCTTAACCAATTGTGCAACATGCTCTTCATCATATGTTTGCTTCACATGTAACTATGGCTATTAATTAACTACTACAGGATGTTTATCATAATCAATTTATAATACTACAAACTCTACTAGTGAAACTAATTCTACTGTTCTTTATGATAACAGCACCTTAATTAATTCCAATAGTACATCATAAGATTACAACAACACTTAGTATAATACAAGTACTAAC